AGTTTATAACTGAATTAACATGCAACTGTTGATTTTAATAGATTCAGAAAACATGCTATATATATATATATCAAGTTAAAATTTCATTTGGTTAATTTTTTCCAATAAACAACAGTACTGGATCAGTATTTGCTTGTATATATATGATGTGTATTTCGAAAGGGTTCTCTTGCCAACTGGGTGCCTGTTTGGGGAATCAAGTTCGAAGAAAAGCTTAAATTTGAAGTTTGAATCCAAGTCCCAGACCTTCACTTTTGCTTAAGGACCAAAAAGCCGTCGAGGCACTGATAAGGCTCTTTTGTCTGTATACACACACACACCGCAATTGAATTTATAAGTTCTTTGTTCCTGTGATTTTACAAAAGCTAGAAAACTCGTCACTTTTTATGTTAGGGGAACCTTGATCTCCATAGAAACAATCCATTTTCTATCGATTTGTCATATATGTCCGTGTGGCTTTTGATCCGTGTGTTAAGATGTCGCTACAACTCATGCCAACCAAGGGTTTGAGGAATCTTAAGGTCCCAGCAAAGCCTTTGAAATACCATAAGGTGCTTTCAATTTCTATGGACTAGATAAGCTTTTGAGAAGACACTCATGAGGTTCTTTTGTCCCAGTAGACTTGGCAGTACAAATATTGGTGCCTTTATGTCACAAAGGTTCCTAATCCTGTCATTTTGGAGTTTGGAGACATGAACTTAGAGAACCTAATCCTACCCCACCCATCCTAACTTGCCCTATACTGCAGGGAGGGAGACTATATGAGCATATTAGGTGGACTCTATAAAGAAACCAGCTAAATTATACAATCTCTCTCTCTCTCTATATCTCACCAAAATATGGTATCAACTTGCCCTATACTCCATAGCATTTTATCAAATCTCATGTAGCAATTTTTCTTGCATGTTAAATTCCACAATCTATTAACCCTAGCCGACTAACGTTATTAGAACAGCTCACATGTCTCAAATACGTAGACACTGTTGGGGCCATGAGATTTGGCACTTAAAGAGGACTATGACCTATGGTCCCAATTGTAGTGTGGGTCCAATTGGGACATGTAGAGGGGTCCGTCTGGCCTTGCATGTGAAAGACATGATGAAGATATAGTTTTCAATAGACTGAATTTATGTAGAGCATAGGTTTCCTTTTAGGCATATTATTGGCGTAATGGCCGTTGCTTAGACATAATGTCTCAACAAAGGTTACAGGACTCCTTGTCACGTGCCTACTACCACTTTTGACATGCCTAAGAAGACCTGCTGTTGGAAGGTTGGGCCTTTCGTTCTCAAATCTCAACCAAAACCAAAGGTCTTCTCGTCCGTGCTCATGGCAATATATATATATATATATATATAACCTTGTGAAAGGTTTCAAAAGCTATTGGCACTACCATTGAGTGGGAAAAGGATAAAGATATTGGCCAAATTGATGTACTTTCTCAAGCGAGATAATATATTTGGAAAAGGATGGCAATAATTTACCAAAATAAGGTTTCTTTCTTGCATTTGCATTATGTATAGGGATGGTAATATGATGGATATAAAACAGTTACCCACTTTATCTAATTCAATAATTCTTATTGAAAATAGTTAATGAATATTGAAATATATAAGAATAAAAAAAAACATAATCGCTAATATGATTTTAAGATATAAGCATTCACTTTATGCGTTATAAATATTTATTTATTTTTTGAAAGAGGGAATTTGGTTGCATAAAATTTATAAATATATAGATAATTTTTTAATAAAAAATTTAAGGACAAAAAAAAATTATCAAATAGAACAAATCATTAAAAAAAAATTTGATGATCATAATAACTTTTTTTGAAACTCAAGTAAACTAAAATAAAATGTTTTGATAAATTATTTTTAACGGAAATTAAATAGACAGATAAATCGAATATGAATTGAGGATGAATTTAAAAAATAATTTCTTGATAGATACATACCGTGTTTTTTTTAACGAATAGGATAGTAAATTGGAATGATGAATCTGAATCTGATATACCATCCACCGCCATCTCTAATTGTATATAATCCTTAATTAACAAGTTAACGAGTTGAAGTTATGTACAGGCCCAGAACGTAGATGACAAGTTTTAAACCATCCCTTCCTTCGTTTCCAATCCCGCTAGAGTCGATATTGTGTAGGACTAAATTAATAGATAAGTTTAATTAGGCCCAAATGAGGTTGGCTCATGGACCAATAAGTTTCTTCTGTGATCAGGCTTGGCTTTTTTATCAACTTCCACAGTTCCACTTGTCTGATTTTTCATTTGAGAAAAGGAAAAAAAAAAAACAGTAGTGTTTGAAAGGGTTGGATTAAACAGAAACTAGATCGCTATATGTGTAAAGTTTTTTTTTGAATAGCTGTGTCTATCTAGTGCCTCTGATCGAAGAATAAAAAATTAATCTAATTTTTTTTTAAAAAAAAATCCCAGTACATATCACCATAGTGCCTAATTGGCTATATTCGCTGTTAAATAAGAAACATACAAAGTAGTTAATTCTTGCAGGTCCCGTGACCTCAATTTTTTTTTTTTTAAATGATATTGGGGAATATACAAACAACAATAGGAAAAAAAGAGAGGAAAACCATATTAGGAGATAAATGAAATAGAGCCATTGATTTTGAAAAATGTAGTTTTTCCCTTTTGAAAAGTAAAAAAAAAAAAAAAAAATTGTTTTGCTAACATTTCTCTTTTAGAAGCCTAGAGAGCAAGAGGAAAAGTGCACACCATATATAACAGACAACAAAAACCATACAAGGAAGGAGATAAAACAGAATTGAGATATTCAATTTCAAATAAATTAAAGTTTTAAAAATATATATAAAAAGGACCCATTTTGCCATAATAGACGCTTTGGCATCATGCTAAGCGTATGCATTTATGAAATAAAAGGTCAACAATACATAATAAATAAGTTTGACTCTATTGAGACAAGGTTAATCCATTGATCCATATTTTTACTGGATCAAATATCTGAACGGGTCTTATCGATATTATTGATATAAATATTCAATATACACTTATCAGCATGAGTTCTAACTAAGGCATGCCGATAGTTTTTTTTTTTCGGTTTTTTTATATTGAAAGGAGAAAACCAGTGAGCAGGATAGTGGATAGGAAAATACAAAATGCCAAAAATGAATAGAATTGAGAAAGAAAACAACCATAAAACACTAGACCCATGAAAACCTATAGGATCAGTGGCGAATTCCAGGTGTATTAGATGAAATCCTTCCTTTACTCAAGTTTTAACAATAAATAAATGAAATCGACAGGACTATTTTTGTGCAATAAATAGATGAAACGTGCAAATTTTTTTCATTGATGCAAATATATATGCAAAAACGGGAAGTTGAATGTCACTATGTTCGAAGAAAATTATTTGTAAAGGACGTACAAGTAATATAATATAATTAAGGCTAAATAGTTAAAACTATTCTCACTTATTGGTCAAAAGCAAACTAGTTTCTATTTTTTTTTTTTTTTTTTAAGTAATGTCATCTTTGGTCTAGCTTATTATTTTTCGACGACGATAATTGCAAGTGCTTTTTTAATATCACGACTTTTGTTTTACGAGAAACATGTCTCTCAGACACTTGATTGAAATTATTTAGAAGTAATTGCTTTTCTTTTAGATTTCAATAATTATGCAATAGGATTGTTGTGATTAAAATAAATATAAAAAGAGGAGTCGATGGTTTTTTTTTTTTAAGAAAATGATTACTAATTTAAGAGTGTTCCTTTCAAAGCACGTATCGTGATACTAAAAGATTATATGTCCCTCATTAATGTTTAACGTTATTAGAAATTGATTAATTAACGATGACGTTAGTGATATATATAAAAAAAAAGATCCATAATCCAAATAAAAAAAAAAGATCCATGACCCAAGTTAAAGAAAAAAATAAGGACTAGTTTCTTCTTTCTCGATATTTTGGAAGAGTTTTTAACCAAATAGCCTATAATTAATGATCATCATGAGTTCAACTGCCATGCGTTGATATATTTTGAAGTCAAAACACGCCTACCTTTGGAGCTAGCATCAGTCCGCCTGTTCCATTTTATTGCTTGGAAACAGAACAAAATATATCAAAATAATCCGCCCTTTAGTTACTAGTAATTTCTGTCAGCATCAAACAGAAAAGCAAACTCAAATCAAATCAATCAACTTTAAAGGGGAGTGGAGGTAGTATTTTGTCTGCAACCAAGGTAGTAATTCATTGACGGAGAGAGGAAAGCAAATGGTCCCCTACATCAAAGTACGGTTCGTATCATAATTTTGGAAACAACATTACCATATTTTGTCAATCCCAGAAAAACCTTTCACGAATTTGGCAATTTCTTTCCATTTTAAGCAACATGGACTTATAATATTTTTCCTCCTTGTTCTTTGTCTTTCTGTAATCATCCTTCTCTAGATCTTTATATTATAAAGAAAGGAAAAGTCTAGATTAAATTCAAAGGAGCTAGCTATTTTGAATAGAGGAAATCAAGGAAAGAAGCAGATAACCAAGCAGAAACTAATAGTAATATGGCAAGAGGAAAGATCCAGATCAAGAAGATTGAGAACTCAACTAACAGGCAAGTTACTTACTCCAAAAGACGAAATGGTCTCTTCAAGAAAGCTCATGAGCTCACTATTCTTTGTGACGCTAAGGTCTCTCTTATCATGGTTTCTTCAACTGACAAGCTCCACGAGTACATCAGCCCCTCAATTACGTATATCCAACCTCTCTTCCCCATTTTTATTTCCTGTCAAACCCCATTTTTTCCCTTCTATTTTGATTTTTTTTTTCATGGCCAGAACGAAGGAAATATATGATCAGTATCAGAAGACACATGGGATAGATCTTTGGAACTCTCACTACGAGGTGTTTATTTCTATTTCTATTTCTATTTGTGCGTGCTATTATCACTTGAGAGTTAAGGAATAGACCCTCTGTGCCTCTTTGTAACGGTATAAATTAGTTTGTGCGTGCAGAGAATGCAAGAGAATTTGGAAAAACTGAAAGAGGGGAACGGGAAAATCAGAAGGGAGATAAGGTAATAATTTTGTTGCCCTAGTGTTCTTTATTCTTATGTGGGACCTGTTCTGTTTTTTGCTAAAAAATTATCATGTCGCTGTAATTATAATTTGCAGGCAGAGGATGGGTCAGTGTTTGAATGATCTGAGCTTTCAGGATCTGCGCAGTCTTGAGAAAGACATGGAAACTGCTTGGAAGGTTATTCATGAACGCGCGGTAAGATAATCGGCCCAGTTCACAGCATTCTTAGGTTCTGTACTAAGAAAATTTACAGTCCATACCAACATTTCGATCACTTATTGTGATAGTTTTTGTGTTCTATAGAGTGTAATTTCCAATCTGAAATTTTTTGCCTTGCTAATTTGTGAAATGTGCAGTAGCTTTGTAATGGTTGAAGCAGCAATTCAACCGCCATGTTTTGCTCTTAAACTATGAAAACTTTATGTATAAATATTTTAGCAAGAAAATTGTCTGGCACGTCGTTTGTTATTTTAATTTGTAATAATTTCGCAAATTATTTGAGTAGCTATAAGTTTTGAGTCTAGTAAAATTTGTGTTTTTGTTTTAATAACTCTTTGAATTATCTTTTAGTGGTATTAGACTTTGACTTATTTGGCCTAAGAGATAGCGGAGGCTGGTTGACAAAGGCTTAACATGTTTTGGTGCTGCCTTAACCATAAAGTGGTGGACTTAGTCTAGATTGACGCAAAATGACATGAGATATCCCAATTCTTGTAAATATATATATATATATATATAAAAACAACTCTTTGAATTTCTTGACAGTTTTGGTTAGTTCCTTTATTTCATTTTTAGTAAAAAAAATTTATGCACAAATATTATTTGCATCTTTTGTCAGTTAAAGATGTTTGATAATATTCCCTTTGGTCCTATATTCTTAGGGTGATTGTGGGAAGTAAGCATAATGTTTAATTTGCCCTATTTAGCTCTAGAATGATGTTTCTGTAGATGATCTAAATAATGAGGTCTTGTATTCTTTCTCTTGGTGATAGAATCGTGTGCTTAGCAATCAGATTGAAACTTGCAAGAAAAAGGTAATTTTGTTGGATCATATAGTTTTGTCCATCTTCTTTAATGTTTTTTCGTTTCGGACATTGAGTGATTAGAATCCCTTTCTTCTTGCTTCACGGTTAAAGGTGAGGAATGCGGAACAAATCAACAGAAAACTTCAAATCAAACTAGTAAGTATGAAGCATAACCCTCTTTCTCTTTATTTACCTCTAATGAGTTAGAAAAGTGGAAGAGATTATTAAAGGTTAAATTTTTTTTTACTTCTTTTCGTGAAGGAAGCAATGGATGAAGATCCATACGGCTTGGTTGATAATGGAGGGGACTATAATTCCGTTATGAAATTTCGAAACGAAGGTCCTTGCATATTGGCTCTGCGATTGGAACCTAACCTGCCTAATCTTCACAGGGAAGCACCAGATCTCACAACTAACCCCTTGCTTTAGTAGTATGGGCAAAATTGAGGTTACTCTACATCCAAGTTGTTCGAAATTATCCATGTATTAACTGTTACAAATCAGAAATACTTGAATGGCTTCACTTTTATGTATTTGTAGACTGATCTTTTATTATCCCAAACTGCTTCTGTCTTAACAACTAATATGCTGCATGATTCCTGAGTTTCAGTTTTTTAACACTTCATTTTCCTAAGTGATTACTGATCATTGCTTGATGATATATGTTGGTCGTTAGCTGGAATATTAGTGCACCATATATGATATACGTTTCTGGCTTGAAATTGCATTATAAATTCTGCATTCTTCATTACCTTCGATCGATTGAAGGAACATTGCATCTCTGAAACTATATTTCAGAATAAATCTGGATATTTCTTTTCCTTAATACTAAGATCCATAGTGGTTGAAAACACGGTCGCGATTGCAGTTTATAATGGTAGTAAAATAATGGTCGCGGCAATCGATATCGTGAATACATGAGTAACTCGTTGATAAATTTATTCTAATTTACATATTTTTAAAGTATTACTAATTAAACATACTAATAAATAATAACATTTCTAATAGTTTAATATTAAACAAAAATAGTTAAATTTATTTTTTAAAAAAAGTTAATAATACTTCTAATAGATTATATCATACAAAATAATAAACTAATTATTTAATCTTTTGATTAGTGGTGATCATATTTAATGTAATATCATTTTATTCCACAAAGTGTTTGTTTTTTTCGTCAATTTTTTCATGATATAAATTTATTTATTAATTTTTAAAACAAAAAGGAAAACAAATTCAAAAATAGCATAAAATGAACAAAAAAAAAAACTTAAATAATTAGTTTTTGAAACAAAAGGTATCAATTAATTCATTTATCAAGACTAAGAAGACGAATGTGTAATTTACTTCTTATTATTAAACCAAATTTCAATTACATGCACGTGCACGAAATCAAAGACCTATACAAATATAAACTTTAATTGAGTAAATTATAAAATTAGTCCTTCTAGTATGGATAAATGAATTAATTAGTTTTTTTTTTTTGAAAACTAAATAATTTAATGTTTTGATGAATATTGATCATGTTTAATGTAATATTATTTTCTTTTATAAAATATTTTTTTCCGTCAATATTTTTATGATATAAGTTTATTTTTTTCTATTTTTTAAAATAAAAAGAAAAAAATTAAAAAAAAAAAACATAAAATGGACTAAATAATTATTATTTGAAACAAGAAGAAAGAACTAAATTATTTTTCCACGCTAAAGACATTAATTTGTAATTTGTTCAACTAAAGCCTACACTTCTCCTGCATTTGCATATATTTCCATTTAACATCTTTTTTTTCCTCTCTCTCTCTCTTCTCTTTATTTCTGTTACACATTTTTCTTTTTTCATCTCTGTGTCTATGCTCTCTTAATCGTTCCTTGCTTCACATCTTCCTTTTTTTTTTTTGTCTCTCTCTACTCTTGTACATCTCCTCAATTCACATCCTCCTTTCTTCGTCTCTTTACCTCTGAATTCTCATCTTCTTTTTTTTGCCTCTTCTCTTTAATTATCTATTAGGTTTTTCTGTAAGTCCCATTTATTCTTTTTTCTTGTATTATTTTCATTTTAAAGGAAAGAATCCGAGGAAAAGAGCGAGCGATGGCCTACTGTCCTTTATCTCTACACTGAACCTTAAGGTCACTTCACTACCTTTCCATCTTCATTGATCGAGTAATTGGACAAAGAACAAAGAAGGTGACCAATCTCAGCAATGAGGAGAAGACTTGCAAATTGATATGAAGATCAGAAAGATTTCTAATCTCTGAGACAAAGTGCATAGATTCTTCTAGGGTGTTCTTTGTAATAGATTTAGAAGTGGAAGCATTCTGAAATGTAAAATCTTTTGCATTCTTCATTTGGGTTGGTGATTAATTAGGACAGAGTTTTGATTTTTGATTTTTTTTTTTTTTTTTTTTTTTTTGTTTATGTATAAAGCCATTATACAACGACAAATAACAATAATGTCGTTATTTATCGTTATTCTTGTGAAACGATGTTGGAGTGCATATAACGTTGAATAACGATAATAGAATGTCTCGTTACTATTATATAACGGCTGTTATGTTACATAAGAGCCACTATTTAAAACCATATTAATATATTTTCACAAATTTAATTTGTCACTTTAAGTTTACCCAAAAAAACTCAATTTTGTGATTTATGGGTGCTTTCTCTTGCTATATCTCTATCAACAAGAATCTTGTAAATCTCTTATTGCATGGGATTCAGCTGCATAGTTTGTTGTGCAATAAGGAATTCTCGTGGATCAATAATTTTCAAAATGGATGACCCATCATCTAATCCTAAACAAGCATGCATGCTTGATGTTTCTATTTCTCAAGTAAATCTTTCAAATTGATCGAAGCACTTATGTGATCTGCAATGTAGTTTTAAATCATGAATGTAATTGAAAAAAAAAATCACCATCATGATTGGAGGTCGCAATTTATTATAGTAGTAATTTTTTTTAATGATTTTACTAATTAAGTATAATAATAGTATCATAATAATAGTATCACTAATGGTCTAGTAACATACAATAATAGTTGAATTTATTACAAAGAATATTAATAATGCTTCTAATAATTTAATAACTACAAATAATCAATTTGTTTTTTTTAATAATGACTTTTATTCTCCAAATAAAATAACGAGAAATTACGAAATTATGTAACGGCAACATACACCAATAGTTGGATTTATTACACAAAATAATAATAATTTAATATCTATAAACAATAATAAAATACAAATAATTAATCACTTTTTCAAATAATAACCGTTATTCGATGAATAATGACAAATAACGATATTATAAAACGATAAAGATGTGTAATATCATTATTTGCGTCAAATGTCATTATGCTTCTTACAACGGCATATAATAATATTAAACATGTTCGAATTAGTTAATTAATAACCGTTATTTGAAACTATAATCTATTACGTGATTTAAATTTAAAAAAGGTCTTTACCAAATTTTGTTTTTACAATGTTTTTGTAAGTTAAAACGATACTAGAAAATTATTTAGATCATAATAGGAATAATAATTGAATTAACAACAAGTCATCCGCCCATTACCAAATCATCATCGAATAATTAATGATCAAATTGGTAGGAACACTGCAAAGAAATTTAGGACAATTATTACCTGATGTGCTCTTTTACTTGAGACAAAAACACTTCCTTTTCAATTAGCCAGCCTTACCCGTCATTCAAAAACAATACGAATAAATCCCATAAGTCATCTCAAGGGAGCATCTCAAACAAATGTCTGTCAAATTTATTTCTTCAAATATACTTTGAGATAAAAATGGGCTGTTTAAGACTCGAAGAAATTTAGTTTCAACAAAAGATATACCCTAAACGGAGACAAAAATCCAGAAAAAAAAAGACTTGATGTATGATTCATTCGAATTTTATTGATAACTAATTGATTTTGTTATCATTGTCCAAAAAAAATTGATTTTGTCTTTAATGATTATATGATTCTTGATTTGTCTCGAGCTAATTGATTTTTATCAAATTCATTCGAATATTGACATTCTACCTAACCATTTCCAGATTTTATATGCATGTTGACAGTAAAAATATAAATAAATTTGGATTAAATTGAGAAATTAATTAATTTAGGATGCTATTGAGAGTCAGGAGACGAAAACGAAATTTTTCAAAAAATAGAAAATAAAAATGTCAGGCATCAAAACTTTCTTTTTTCGACATCAATTTCCTTAATTATTTCAGAGTCCAACATAAATTCGATTTCCTTTTGTATCGCACAATTATATTTTTTTTAAAAAAAGCATTATTTTCACAGGCTAACAGTAAAATCTCTCTGTCCCACGTCTCCTAATTCACTTGTACGCAACTACCCTCCGATATAATGTGAAACAACACAAGTGAATTATATTTCGGCTGTAAAAGGAAACGTAAAAATTCGGGTGGACGCGTCCCGCAACCAATTGAACTTCAACTAATTTTCAACTCGAGTCGGACGATAGCCGTTTCCGGTGATAGGGCCACCATTATCGATAGAGTAAGCGGTGGAAAGAACCAAAACGATGGTTCTTATCTATTCTTGTTAAGGGTAATTCCGTCAAATTCACTTAATTCTCAAGAATTCCTCTTTTCAGTCAAAAGGTCAAACCCCCAAGAGCACTTTCTGCCCGCGACAATTAGCAAAGTTTCCCAGTTCCCCGTCACCTAAGAAAGCAACAGTTAGCACACGTGCCCTATCCCGACGTTACTTTTTTCATGAAATCTCCGGTCACCTGAGAGAGCCGATACGCCAGCAAGAACCAGAGTTCCTTTACTGTCCACGTTTTAATAAAAGAAAAGCCCTCAGCTGCTTCTTTTGGATGTGTATTATTTAGTCATGGGAGCTCTTGGCCCTGTCTCTCCTTGGATGCCACAGGATGACGTTTTGTTAAGAAATTCTATCGAGGTAAAAATTTCTTTTTGTATTATTTATCTTTTCCGTTATTTTTTTTTGTTCAGCTTCTAGTTCACCCAATAAAACCTTTTCTTTTGTATTTGTATAAGTAATTTTTTTTTTCAGAAAAAGCTAATAAAACCCGTTCATTTATACTTGTATAAGTAATTTTTTTTTTTTTTGTAATGTTGGGTTTCTTGTGTTGAAGCATGAATTTCTGGAAAAAAGTTTGTTCTGTTTCTATTTTTACTTGTAGCATGATTTTTGTCTGAAAATTGAAATAATTATGCGACATTTGATGTTTTAATTAGGGCAGGATTTTCAACATGTTAAATTGCAATATCTCGGTATTTGACAGCGTTGAGAAGAGAATCTGAATTCAAACTTAGAAATATGGCATTGTAAGCAGTATGGGAAAATATCAGAAACTGGTAGTGAAAAGAATTTGTTAACAATATTGTTCTTAATATGTAAATGTAGATAATTTATTCTTCTATGCTATCATAACGAAAGAATCTGGCTTGTTGGTGAGTTCCCATTTTCTTGATGATAAATGATGAGGGTCCTGTTCTGATTTTCGGGTATGCTGATTCTGGTGATTATGGGAATCTATGTGGCTTCGGTAGTCCTGTGAATAGCTGTTATCAGAGGCATTGGGATAGTAAATATGTAAGGTATAAGCCAGGAGAGATATTATAATGCTCTATCTGGTATGGAATTTTACTAGGGAGTTATATGTATATTCAATGAGTGTGCGTCTCTAGTAACATCCCAAAATGGAAATCTTTCATAAACTAGTGCAAAGAGGGCCACATAATGGTGCCTATGGTGGCATTACCAACACCAGAAAATGTTAATGGCGAGATGTATCTCCAAGGCCAATTATTTTTCTAATTCATAGGCATGACCTCATTAAGTATTTTAAGAAGAGATATTTTGAGTGTCCGAGAGAGAGGTGTTGCATTCTTTTATTCTGGCTGTTGTCTATATGCCTAATACTAGCACGTATCAGTGAGAAAGAGAGAACAGACATGGATATGGCAAGGGGTAATGGGGGGTCGAAGTTTAAGTTCCTTCTTATTTCTACTCAACCAAAAACTAGATACCATATATAGGAAAATACCATATAAAGGAAAACATAGAATACTTACTTGAAACCATGAAGATTTAGGTTACAGTTGTCGGCTAGGATGTCTTCTGAACTGGTGCATTTTTAATTGAAGTCTTGCTCGCATTGCACACAACAGGAATTTTACCATGAACTCTTTTTGCTCGCTATATAATTGCTTCATCTGTGAGTAAGAAACCTTGTTCTGATTTCTCTTTCTTTTAATCTTTTTGGAAATCTGTTTATTTACCAGACTGCTTATAGTTAGCAGCATATGGATTTTAGTAATTGTCCATTTTTTTATGCTTCGTAAGACTGAAATGAGATACCATGTATTGCATATAAATTTTTTTGCCAATTGGTGCTTGACGCAGCTTCATCGTCTTTTCTTTTTTGTTGTTGTGGGGTTGGGTCATTGGTTTGCAACTATTATCTAATTAAATACCTATTGTTAAAGCTTGTTGACTTTTGTTCAGTGTGATTGTTTTGGAAATTCCTTGTTATTTTTGCTTCTTTCTTATGTTTTGCAGGCTGGTGCTTCCTTGGAATCGCTGGCAAAAGGTGCAGTACAATTTTCGAGAAAATTCACTGTTCGAGAAATACAAGATCGCTGGTATTCTCTCCTTTATGATCCAGATGTTTCTGCAGAGGCTGCTTTTCACATGACTGAGTTTGAGCGATCTGCATCGAGTCTTCAATCAAAATTCAATAGAACTGGAAATTCAAAAGAAAATAAATGTTTTTTGAGGAAGAGGAAAACTGAAAGTGTTCGTAGTTGTTACTATGCTCTGCGTAAAAGAATTTGCAGTTCACCATTTAACTCCATGGATTTGAGTTTTCTTGTTGCCCCCAATAATAACAATTATGTTGGCAGTGGATATGAGCAGCTATCTGGACAATGCATGCTAGGAGATCCAGTTACAAATCACTTTGTACTTCAGGAATCTAATTTGGACATCATGCATCGTGCTTTTCCACAAATTGCAGATAGTGGTACTGCCCATGCCTTTGATACTCAATTTCAGAATACAGTTCAAGAAGACTATCCAATGGAGCAAGACAATATACGTAAACACACCCCTCATATACTTGGAGAGGATCTGGCTAACACTGAAAAGAGAACTGTGGTTGAGGAATTCAGTCAACAATTGCCAGTGAATGATGATCTAGTACATGGGTGCTCTAACTTTGATGAAAAGGAAGCCCTTCATTCACCAGTTCCAGAGTGTGGCCCATCATTTCTCAATTTGGAGTACCCATCTCCACTTTCTGAGATGCCAATGTGGAGAATGGATGAGGGGATTTCAGTGCCTGATATTCCAAATAATCTTGGATTATGTGACAAAGATATGCACCCTGGAGATGCCTTTTCACTTCTTGATGACGGTGATATTAAGAATACATGTTCGACAGGATATGATGATCTCCACAAAGACTTGGAGTTAAACATGGAGATACTGAGTGATGTGCCACAAAATTCATCTCACAGCACAGAAGATTTTCTGGCTGAACTTACCAATTATTTGTCAAATGATGATGAAGGGCCAAGTGTGGATGTTGATGGAAAAGACTTCAGCACTGATTCTTACATTGCTTGTCTCAATACAATTTTATTGAGTTCACCAAATAATGCTAATGAAAATCACATGCCCAATGTAACTGAACCAGAATCATCAATATCAGCAGACTGTCTTAGAAATCGCTCTGGTGTAAGTCTCGGAAACTTACAGGAGAATAGGGTGTCTCACCACAGTGTTGATGCAGTTTGTAATTCTGAGATGCAGTTTGTTTCGTCTACTTCAGTTCTAGACCCTCATCCTGAAGTGAAAGATGGGGTTATTTGCTGTGTTCTAAACACCGAGGACACAGAAATTCCATGCAATGATGGTATAGTCTTCGCCACCAGCTGGTGCCCAAGATCAGTTGCCTCCTTGGGACCAAGGAATTCTCAAGCTGCTGGCAAACCAAATTTTTTATCTGCCAATGCATTGCCAAGTAATAAAAAAGGTAGTGGAGTTCCAGTAGTGGCTCACAGGGATCTAGAAAATCCTAGACAACCGCATGCATCTTCACAGATGACAAGATTACACGTGATGCCGGAACCTGGTCTGCTCCATCCTGTAGGTGCTCATGGTTTGAAATTTGAGTTGCCCAACAGTGACTCCACTCATGGGGGTGCAGTTTTTGCTTTTGGTGGTTCAGCTCAATTTAATTCAGCAGACCCTGAGATTGAAACTCTTGTGCCTGCTAAACTGAAGGAAGAAACTACAGAAACCCCACTGGCGAAGCATATGAGTCACGAATCAGCTGATTCTTTAATAGAGAAGCTGACTTTTGTTTCTGATTGCTATACATTTCCCCAGACAAATGGGTCTGCCATTGAACATGTAGAGGATGCTTCAGCTAGAGTTCAAAATCATCAAGCATCACATATGAGAGTGGGCTTTTCAGATATTGCCGCTTCAGAACTAGTAGAAAACCATTCAATATTAGATCCAGCTGAGCCACCTATTGAGAGTGATGACGATGTACCGTATTTTTCAGACATTGAAGCAATGGTAACCATATACTAATCTTCAAACAGATGGGTGATTATTCTCTTTCTTTTGACTATTCTCCTTTTTTAACCTTAATATATATTTTGTAATCTACTTGTTATCAGATACTTGATATGGACTTAGACCCAGAAGACCAGGATTTATATTGCAGTGAGGAAGGTAATATTCAGTCTGCTTAGTACCTAGGAAATGCTTTTCTTATGTATGGATCCACTGGATTCATTCCAAAAGCTTTGCAATAACTCTCTGTTTGCTGTTAGTCCTTGCCATGCTTGAAATCTGTTATCTCATGATGATAAACTTTGGTGCTATCTTTTGCATCTTGGGGTTGGGGGCGTTCTTTCTAATTTCTGGCATTATTTTCCTTATCTTTTTTTATGTAGCTTTACGTGATTGTATGCTAGGGTTTGATCATATAGGCATACAGTAACTTAGACAGGTGTGTATTAGGGAATCACATCGTATGTGTAATGTAATATTGAATTTCTGCCACGATGAGGATGGAATTAGGACAATCCCTTTGTTGTCGTAATTTGCATGACAATGAAAATACAAGTATATGCTGCTTGTATTGGTAGTTGCATGATTTGATTGAAGTTCTATCTCAAGATTTGTAATTGAAATCATTGAAAGATATTGCATACGCTATCATCTGTGTGTTTGTACGTGCCTTTTTGCACGTGTGTTTAAGTACACATGTTTTTGTGCTTATATTCATATTATTATCCAAGTTTATTGACATACACATGAAAAATGATGCACTGCATACATTCATTGTATCTAAGCATGGCATCAATTGTTCTCTGCAGTCTCAAGATATCAGCATGAGGATACGAAGAGAGCAATCATGAGGCTGGAGCAGGGTGCTCATTCTTATATGCAAAGAGCCATTGCATCTCATGGAGCATTTGCTGTTATATATGGTCGCCGTTCAAAACATTATATTAAGAAACCTGAGGTATTTCAAAGCTGCAAACTTGCTTTGCTTAATCTGCTGGCTATTGGCTCTAATGAGTCCTATTCTTTTAATTCCTGTGTACCGGGGTTGCCTTTCAAATAATATCCTCACCTGCAAAGCCACAAGTAGAGCTATATCTGTATATATGGACTCCATGATTATCCAAATGGTGTATCTGGAGCACAGAGCACTATTTAAGTAGTAAAAGTAAGTTATCTGGATGGTTTGGTAATTTCATATAATAAATATTCATGGTATATGTAAGTTAGGAGTATGAAATTATGTTTCTTTTTCTTTCTTTTTAAATCTAAGATAATGGAGCCTCAATAAGGTGTCATTTTTGGCCCGGAGCTTAATTCCTGAAGCTACATATAATGTTTGATAGCCCACAAAGTTGAAAATTCATGGTAAAATTCATATCTTGGGTTGGCACGCAGGATTAAACTGCATGTGAATTTTCTTTGCGACCGTGCAGGTATTACTTGGTAGAGCAACAGAAGATGTTATTGTCGACATTGACTTGGGAAAGGAAGGCCGTGCTAATAAAATATCTCGACGTCAGGTGAGATTTGACAAGTTCGTTATTGTATTTTAATGGTATCGTTATTGGTTTCTTCTTGTTTTCTTTTGTCCTAGAGTTTTTAGAGTTCAGTAGTCAATTTTTCTGTTTTATCCTTTATTTGCATTTTTTTATTGCTGTTTTCGTCACTTTAAGGATTCATTGGGTTTCTTTCAAATATTTTATCTGCATTTATTAAATCAACAAACTGTTAAATTAAGAAAATTTGCATGTTAAAATGAAAATTGTTTATTATATATTGACTAAGATAGGTTGAGATATATATTGGTTAAGATAGGTTGAGATTGATGATGGTATTTACATACATTTTCCTTAAAAAATTTGTAAATATAGCAGTGCAAAATGACATGAAAATTAAATTTGCGATTGTGTTGCTTGCCTTTGAAGAATACTTGTGGTGGGTTTTGGATTGTGAAGTGCTGTAAACCAAAAGATTCGAAGTAAAGTTTACTTAAGTTGTAGTGACCAATAAGAATGAAGCAGTCTTTTTGAATTTAGCCTCCTTTGGCTCCATCAGGCACACATGCTTTCAGGCTGCTAAATTCCATGTCTCTTATTTTTACCTTCTCTGCTAGTCCACTAAGGTACTTACTTTTCTTTACATCAAACTGCATTAACTTTTCCTTATTCATTTCTTTTGTTTAGGCCACTATAAATTTGGACAAAAGTGGATCTTTTTATCTGAAAAACCTTGGCAAGTGCTCTCTCTCAGTGAATGACAAGGAAATACCCCCTGGAGAGAGTCTAACCCTTACTTCCGGTTGTTTGGTTGAGGTTAGTTGTAATAGATCTTTCGTCAGCATTAATGCATGGTTAATGAGATGTTCTTGCTGTGTAGAATTTCTGTGCAGTTATCTCTGCCATTTTATCTATATTGAACCTTATGTTAGCTTAACCCATACCTGCTTTTACCTATCGGGATTTATGCAAGTAATGCTTAACAATAACAAAAACATTTCTTTATCCTGACCAAGTTTAAACTTTGTGTAGATAGAACGAAACAGATGCCATCTTTCACCAAGGCTCTTTACAATGAAGGAGATGACACTTAATTTTGTTGGTTCTACAATCTTTAGAAAGAGTATTTATCATCTCGAATTGATTTTCATAAATCTTATGAAGTTTCTTTCTTGTATATTATTCATTAACATGCTGATACCCATTAGGTAAAGAGCCTAATAGGTAATGTTGAGAATTTACTGTTTCTTCATATTCTTTTAACCTTCGTCTCTTCCTCTCTCTTTCCCAGTTGCCCATAGGTATTTGCTATTTGGTTTTTCTCAAAAGCCGAAATAATTTCTGAATGCTGTGAATTGACTACAAATTTGCACTCTAGTTTTCTGATGTGCCAACTGCTAATCTTTGTTTACAGCCCACGTAATTGACCGCCATTAAACAGCATCTGTAACTTCCTAGGGAAACCTTACATTGCTTTCTGCTAACATTAACTAAGGCAGTTTATTTTTTTTGCAATTGTGTATCATAACTAGCATCCATATGTTTCAGCTACTTCAACACACACGTGTCTTATCCATGAATGCTTTTGTCTTCTACATATTTTATCCCTCAAAGTTTTATGCTTGCACTGCACATCTAATCCCAAGTAATTTGTCGGTGTTTGTGATTTTGCAGATTAGGGGAATGCCTTTCATATTTGAGATAAACCAAACACGTGTGAAGAAATATCTAGATAGCACAGCCCACAAGAACCAAACCCAGGAGCACCTGGTTTGAATCACATCAGAAATATCATGAATCAGAGCGTCTTCAGAAGGTGCTAATTTTTTTCCCTTGTGCTTTCTGGGTTCTTTCTGTAAGCTATTTAATCTGCTGCCTCTGAAAGAGGGAGTAATGTTCTCATTTTAGAAAGGATTTTTCCTCATGGTGTTTTTAACACTAGAAACTTATATAGGGATTTCAGCAAAAATTGTATCATCCTCTATGAGCTACCTATCTTTCCAACGGAATTCTATTAAACAACAGTGATGCGTGATGCAAGGAATAGTTTTCACTTTTCACTTGCATCATGCAAGAGGAAAAATAGCTAATCTAGGCATACTGAACAATTCCTCCTTAACTGCTTCTCTGTTGGAAATTACACTTACCTGCAAAGAAACTGCATTAGTTCCCCCGCCGCAACAACCCCCCCTCCCCCCCCCCCCCCCACGCAACCCATCAGCTTAATCTGTATAGTCTCTTCCTGGCGGAATGTTCAAAGTCACATTAGGATAGCAAGGCGGTCCGAGGTAGGCTTTGTGTGTGTTTATGATTTAATTGCTTGTGCTCAAGCAAGCATCCGAACTTTGGTTTTCCACTTCTAGTGGTTGATTGAGCCTTGACCTCTACATCACCCAATCTCACTCGAGAATGATGGATTACTCCCATCAGCTCTGAATCTGGCAGTGAGGCCCTATTAATTACTTTGTAAAGGATTAGGCTGGAATCTCCCGTCAAAGTCATTTCTTTTCTCAATCTCAATGTGCCCTCATCACTCATCAAAATTACTTATCTGATTGATTTTGTTTTGTAAGGCAACAGTTCCCAAAATCTAGAACCAAAAGTTCGGACGTGCGACGGTTCGCTGGCATTCCTTAACGATCCGTTGCACTAGTATACTTTACCCTTACTGGTTGAAGCATCCAATGTTTAGGAACATTGTTTTCATTTGCATGTACTTACTGAATCTGAGCAGACACGTGCAAAACCACCATAACCGGCTAATCGATTTCTGTATCTATTAGGTTCTTTTTTCTTATTTTTCCATGTACTCAATTCATGCCGAGTCAGAGGATCTCACATGGGACCCTGCTACATTCCTTTAGTCAAATCCAACGGTTTGAATCTTACTGATGCCGATTGTCTTAACTCACATTCTCACAACTCTCTCCTCTATTAAATAAGTAGTCCGAAAACACAAATCGTACGGCACAATCCAAGTATCTTACTCTCTAGCCTTGTAAACCCAGATCCAACATTCACTCACTCATTTCCGTGGGTACTTTTATCGATTTACTCTTTGTGAAAATGTCAAAGAACACATGTAATCTCAATCTCTCTCTACAGTATCTCCTTTCTATGATCGCATTATCGTTGCTGTTGCTTAAAGCAGATTCAAGAACCCACCGTGGAGACACGCGGATGCTCAGGGATCTAAAACAGGGGTTGAACCCGAAGTCCATAGCCCTTGGATCTTGCTTGAGCTCGTGGGACTTCTCAGTGGATCCATGCGACCATATCTTCGGCGACAAATTTACTTGTGGATTCAGGTGTGACTGGGTTTCTTCCGGTTTATTCCGAGTCACTGAGATCACTCTTGACCCGGTGGGTTACTCTGGTTTACTCTCGTCAACCACCTGGAACCTGCCTTACTTACAAACTCTTGACGTATCAGACAACTCCTTCTATGGTTCAATCCCAGACTCAATTTCCAACCTCACTCGGCTCCGTCGACTCAGTCTCTCAAAGAACTTGCTTTCTGGCAAAATACCCATCTCTCTTGCATCTCTTAGACAACTCGAAGAGCTTTATATTGATAACAACAGTCTCCATGGACCCATTCCATCAAGCTTCAACTCTCTTGTAAGCTTAAAAAGACTTGAAATCCAAGAAAACAATCTCTCCGGTGAGTTTCCTGATCTGGGTGCTCTAAAAGACCTGAACTATCTTGATGCTAGTGATAACCAAATATCTGGTGAAATTCCTTCAACACTACCGGTGTCTCTTATTGAGCTATCTATGCGAAACAACAAGTTACAAGGAAAGCTACCTGATAATTTGGGCGATTTGGAGTTTTTACAGGTCTTGGATCTTAGCCACAACGAGTTATGGGGTCCTATCTTGCCAGTTCTTTTTTACCATCCTTCTCTTCAACAACTTACTCTTTCCCATAATAACTTCACGTTCTTGCAAGTTCCAGGTACAATGGGTTTAACAAGCAACTTAATAGCTCTTGATTTGAGCTATAATGATCTTAGAGGCGTGTTACCAGGTTTTTTAGGTTCTATACCGCAGTTGTCAGCTTTGTCTCTAGAGAATAACAAGTTTACCGGAATGATACCAACTCAGTATGCTTTGAAAGTGGCTGTTCCGAGGAGCAATACTTCCTCTTTTGAGAGGCTATTATTAGGTGGTAATTACTTGTTTGGTCCGATTCCGGGCCCTCTAATGGGTTTAAAACCGGGTTCTGCAAATGTGAGTTTGGTTGATAATTGTTTATATACGTGCCCTGATGCGTTTTTCTTTTGTCAGGGTGGGAATCAGAAGTCATTAGTGGACTGTAAGAAAAGATTTAAGCCTGTGATTCCTTAGATGAGAACACCAGACTAACCAGATTTTTATGATAATACAATATTCTCCTTTAAAGTTTTGTCTCCACTTTTTCGGTTTTAGAAATGATATATTGGTTCTCTTCTTAAAACAAACGATTTGGCGTCCCATTTCTGTTTCATCTGCTCCGGAGAAACGACAAGTGAAATGTTCTCATTCTAATCCCACTTTGATGCAAAATCACCACAATAATACGGTGAATGTTACAGCGACTTTAAGTCATTGGTGACTTCATTTTTTGTTTTGAAAAAGTAATTACTTCTTTATGCAATTTACTCTGAAGTTGTGATGACTTAAAATCATGTAAGAAAAAGCTTCAGTAATATGGCTTGGTCAGTCTCTGCCTCCGTGCTTCACTGCACATTGTTAATTTCAGCTGGTGGGAGTTTCCGTTGAAGAATTCTTTATTTTCTCTGGGACTTCTCCAGAATAACCATTAGGATTTGACTGCCTGGTTATTCCTTTTTCTTATTTTTAAAATGATGGGTTGGTTATTGTCTACAAGGGTTTCTGTGCAAGATATTGTTTAAGGTGATCTAGATCCAAGACTAACCGTAACATTATCAGTAAATAATAGGATTATCCCTTTGTAAAGACTACAAATGTCCAACAAATCCCATTTACCAATTTTTTATGGCCATCTGCTTTATGACACTGAGACCTTGTCTCTTTCATTGTTGCTCTTCCATGTGCAATTCTTTTATAACCTGCATGGTCATTTAAGAACCCCAACATGGCCACTACTTTATGTCCATCACAGGGGGGCAAATTTTCCACTTTGAGATGCAGAATTAAATCATTCGATCGGTTCAGAATTTGATCGGTTCAGTACCGTTGGACTGTAATATTGGACCAGAACGTGGGACTTTCGGCCCTCAGATTTTATAATCTTGGAACCGGACTGACCATCTGGGTTAAAAAAACAAGCTCTCAAGTTTTTAGAAGACAATTAATTCTGAAATTTAATTGTTAGTTTTGATGATCTTCCGAAGTGGCATCACCAAAAACCCTCTGGTTCATTGGTGACCCAAGGCCCGGACCAAGTGTTGGGCTGGGCCTCACAAAGATGCAGCATGTTTAGGAATGGCAATGGACGGAATATTTGTCTCGTTTATTCAATTTTTCACCATATTCGTTACCTTTTAAAAAATCATTGCATTTAATAAAAAAAATTATTTATTTTTTGTCTCCATAATTTTTTAAAAAAATTTTAATCCTTAATTTTTTTTTTGTATTTTTGTCATTTATTTATAAGTTTTTTTTTTTTTGTTGCAAAGTTTTTGAAAAAAATATTTTGATTCTTAATTTTTAAATTTTATGCAATTAGATTCTTATATGTTAATAAAAAAATCTAAATAAATTAGTGGGTATTAATAGGATAAAGAGTAGGTATTCATATCCCGAAATCATATTAATAGATATGTATTTTTTTATTTACTTTTATCCACTTTAATACTCATTGAATATTTTTAATAAATATTTATTAAATCGAATAAAATGGATATCCGTATTATACTCCGGCCATTGTCATCCTTGACGATATTGATACATAGAACTGGGCCTAACAGTAAAAAACCATCTATTGGTTCAGAATTTGGGACTCCCTAGAGCTAATCGGTTCTGTGCCGTTGGACTGTAATATTGGACCAGAACGCGGGACTTTTGGTCCTCAGATCTGGATGATCTTGGAACCGGACTATAGCCATCTGGGTTAAAAACGACAAATTCTAAAGTTTTTAATTATTAGTTTATAGGATCATACAAAGTGGTATCACCATAAACCCTCTGGTTGATTGGTGAACCAAGGCCCTGACCAATTATTGGGCTAGGCCTGACAAAGAGGCATCATACTTGATACATAGAACGGGGCCTAACAATAAAAACCCTTCCGCTTATCCTTTTCAATGAGCCCAGTTACAGGAACCGCCTCTACCTAGCCCATCGTATAAAATCCCTTAAATTTAAGTGCCCAGACGCCTCACCTGACACCCAACGCTCTGTCTCCTCTTTGTTGCTTTCGATTTTTAAAGGTCCTTTTCAGTTCTCTAATCTTCAAGATTTCAATCCATCAAAATTAGCGGAATCTATAAAACCATGCAAACCAAAATTCGCACAATGCTCGGCGTTGAAGTTCGATATAGCAATTGCGGCACACACATTCCACCAGATAAATACTGAATTGCCGAAAAGAAACAGTAAAAGACCGAGAAATTAACGGATTCCTATCTTCAGATTTTACTTCAAGTGCCCTAATTGCCATGCATGCTGAATTCATTACCAATAAAGACCCTCAAAATTCTGATTACACTGTGGAGTTCGGTGCTGAACGTTGTTATGAATCGTGCCACGATGGCTACGATGTTGGAGGATTTGGTGGAGAGGAGGATAGAGTGAAGGCATTGGAAGAGATCCTTGGAATTGAAAAGAGAGATAGACATTGATAATGCGTTAACGCTTGCAGGGTTTTCAATTCTTGATTTAGTTTTTAAAAGGTATTTTTACTTTTTTTTATAAAAAAAATCTCATCGCTTAATGTTTGGTTTTTGTTATATTATTATTGTTTTTTGGTTAAAGTTTTGAGTTAAGGATGTTAAATCTCACTGGTAGATTTTTAAGGTTGATTTTAGTTTTTGTTTTAACCGAATGAATAAACGAATTTTGAAAAAATATATATATTATTTCCATTTTTTTAGTTTTTTTTTTCAAAATTCATTTTGTCCTACTTACAGACTAAATAAACGCATTTTGAAAAAAAAAATTATTTCCAGTTTTTTAGTTTTTTTTTTAAATTCATTTATTTAGGACTAATGGAGAAAGAATTACGGATTTTTGACTATTTGTATACCTTTTTCTTTCTTGTTTTTTTTGCCAGTTTTTTTTTTAATTAATTTATTTTTATTCCATAAAAAATTTTACGTAACGTTAAGATTTAACACGGTTAGTTCAAAATATTAACGGAAGGATATAATAATGCTAAAAACCAAAATTAAGACAAGAAAGACTGAAGGGGCCTTTTAAAAATAAAATCAAGAGTAAAGGGACCCTGCTAAACAATGTGAGTATAATTGCAATGCTCGAAGCTTTGGACATAAAGAAAAAGAGAGGGAACTGCAAGAAGAGGAAGAGGAAGATGAAGCGGTTATGATTAGGAAGTTCATTGAGTTTCGTTAGCCGAGTATGAGTTTTACTAGAAGGGTTTGCGATGATGAAGACGGCGATGGTACGAGGGATTTTTATGGTGATAAAACAGAAAAATTGAGTGGTGATTTGCAGAGAATCCTCTTCATTGGTTGTACCTGATTTTGAAACTTCATTGGTTAAGGTTTATGTTGTTAAGAAGCCAGTTGTAGCTTCTAAAGTCGGCGATGACTCAAGTAGTACTAGACTGCATTTGCTGGCCAAAATTATGGGAGCAACGATGGTGATACTTAGTCCATGATTCGAATTACAGTAAGCTAACTTCACTGTGCCCCCATTACTTTATTGATTGTAATTATACAACGATTTTTCGATTTTGATTGAATTCCTACAGTTTCTCTAACTGTGCTTTTTATCCGTATTAGGAAGCTTCTCCTTATCATTGTTGATATGATTCCTTTTTGTTATTCTCTTTGTCATGTGTGGTCGCAATTGCGCATGGCTATCTATGAGTATATGCAACCGACAAGTAGTAGATAATAACGGGCAACTAATTATCATGATTGTTGTGAAAGTTTCTTGGTTCATCTGGTAGGCCTTTTGAGCTTTTTTGCATGGAATTCTGTTATTTTTAGTTTGATTTCTGTACCTTGAAAAGGTGAAGGAGAGGATAGTAGCAGGAAATAGCGGTGTCATGGTTGCCAATATTGGTGATAGTTTGGTATTGCAAAGGTTGTACAATAATTTGGGCCATCCGATGTTTTTGTTGATACTGTTGTTTTCACTTATCCCTAGCCATTACTGAAATCAACTTCTGAAGAAAAGAAGTGATGCTTTTGCTTGCTGTTGCTTTTTGTGCACTACTTGGAACCCATTAAAATGCTAACCAACCTTCAATCGATGCAACCTGCCTGTGCCTGGGTTATGAGCATTTTGATTTTTTTAAGCGGGTAGCCCACTTGATCATCTCATTCTGTTTGTAGCTTGGGCCTTGTACTGAGGTCTAAGCCCTGAGGTGATCAAGATCTCCCTGCTCTTGAAACCATTTCTTAACCTAATTAAGGTATTCTCACAGTTTTGAGCCCACGATGATTAAAGATTCTATCAATTATTACTACTGTGTCTCACAGAAGATGGTATAGTTAAATCTCCTGATGCTGCTATAAGTATATAACTACATACTAATGCAGGAATTTTGGCCACTCCATTACATACTCTGACAACAATATCTTCACATAAATCAATTGTCCCAATCAATGATCATTTGCACCTTGGCAACTCTATGAAGTACTCTGCTGGAAATTACCTGTATTGTTGTTTTACATGTTTTTCTTAGAACATTTGCTTGTTAGGAGAGCCAATTATTTCTCACATGTGTGACATAGCCCTTCTCATAGTGAGATGTTTTGGCTAATATGCTCAAAGTTAGGACAAAGAGGTTAGTTGATCTTAACGCAGATTTTAATATGGAATTTGTGGTCCTCTCTATTAATGGTTGGGTGGATCTAGTATCAATTCAGACTTTCTCCACTCCAATCCAGCTTGGTGGTGTAATAAAAGCTTACCGAACTTACAATAAGGATATTTATTATTCAGACATAATTGTATTTCAGAATTGTGCTTGCCCACTTGATAAGAGTAAATAACCATGTAGCATGTTTGTCCGGTACTGATGGTGGTGTAAACCTATTTCTTTGGCATATTGATAAAAAACATCAAGGAATTGGTTCCATTAATCAGAAAAGCTTATCCATTGAGTTTGGATGCGTCATTTGCTTATCCAGATGGGTGATGCATGACTCTTTTGGCATTCACTTAGAGAAAAACATTAATTTGTTTTTCTTTGTTTTTTGTTTTAACCATGATGAATACTGTTAGAGTAAGGTCTCTCCGATTCTCTTAATCTATCAGAAGCATCCAGTTAATAATGCTCACTTTTACATGACAGGCAATTAATATGGCCTCATGATGGTGCAGTAATATTCCTACTTGCATATGAAGGAAACGAGCTATCCCACATCATATAAGGCATGGCCCCTCATCTCTTCCGTGGGACACCTTTTTCAGAAATCGGACCGAATGACTTGGATGTCGAGTTAGTTCAAAGCGCATAAATACCTTGTGAATTCCAATTTCAGATCTCAGCCAATGACCCCATTGTTTAAGGGACTAGGATTATGCTCCAGTTAAGGGACAAATTGTGCCAACTTCAGCAAAAGCTGTCCAACGCTTAGAAAGGTTAAGCATGTGGATTTCATGGCATTCCTGCTTGAATGATTTGATTTTGCATGAGTAATACACAAGGATGCCATGTCACATGAGGTTTAACCCTCATCTCCCCTACAAGGAGACTGCTTCGTGGACAAAACTACGTAGTTTGTGTCTCAGGTTGGTCCAAAGCAGAGAATACCTAGTGTTCTCTCTCTCTACGTAAGTATATATGTATCATAAACTTATGTACGAAAAATTGCTATAGTTCTAATTAGACCTAACCTTTCAGATTGAATGCTACAATGAACTCCATTCTTATAATTGAAAAGATGATTTAAGGAACATGGAAAGTTAATGGATAGCTAGAGACAGCCATTGAGGGAAGCAAAGAGACAGCAGTTGCAAGGGATAACTGCTAATTAGAGAATCTTGTACCATAATCAGTAGAAACCCCTTAGTTTCTGTCCAATATAAAATCTCATCAGATGCATCCAATGTTCATTATTATTGAAGATAATGAGGAACCCTTCTGGCAGCATAGAGTTTGTTCCCCGTACCTTTTCAGTTCTAGAATATCGTTACTATTTAATGAATGTATAGTGTATCCCCACTCCCTCACTCCCCCAAAGGCCCATACTTTACCAGCCAATCCTAGATTTCTTATTTAGTACAATCTTTTCTTCCATGCTCGGTTATACCTAAAATATTCCCTAGCATGTTCCCCACGCCCCCCCCCCCCCTAAATCGATGTACAAACTTGATAGTAAATGGATGTTAGGGATCAAATTTTCAAATAAACTTGCAAGTTTCTGATTCAGTACTTGATAGCCAATGGTGGGCAATTTCTCAATTCCATTAGATGAAGGCCAACTGATGAACAAGAAAACTAGATGAACACTAGACATTATTAGTTGGTGAATGTTGGATGTTAAGTACTTTTCACATGAATCGCTCAATATTATACCATCATGCCAACTAACATTAAATAAATGTTAGTGACTTCAAGGTGTCTAGTATGCTATAATTAATTTGCTATTATTTTATATATATATTTCAATCATTTCGGGCATAAAATAATCGTCGTTATTAGCTTAACAGCTGCTATCAACTGTTGCTTTGTTATGACACGATTCTCCATCATCCTTGTTTCAGAAATCCTGTAGAAAATTCAATATCAGGTAAAAAAGTGAATATATTTATTTTAAAAATCCCTTTTAAGACTCTTCTTCCTGTTACTTGTGACTCTAATTGGCAGTAGTAAATTCTTTCAGAAATGCTGCAGGATTAGAAAAACATATCTCATAAAGTCCTGCTAAACTTTTAAGTATTAGGTAATATATAAACACCCATTTATCTGTCGTTGTCTTAGGGCCTAGGGTACAGATTCGAGCCATCATTCCGTCCAGGTGAATGAATTAAGATCTAAACATGAGTAAAATATTCGCGTCGACTTATCACTGCAAAGTGATGCCGACAACTCTTTTCATATTTCCAGATCCTCAGAGAGAGAGTATAGCATCATTTGCTTGATCATCATATCTCTTTTGGGCAGAAAAAGTGTTGTTTGTCTTTCTTGTCTTCGGGTGATCTCACCCCTTAATTTGTTAATGCTTAATCCAGATTTATCTTATCTTTGCTAGTTTAATTAGATTGTGAATCTAGTACAATCTCTTTGAAGCCTTGTCTAAGTAGTAACCACACTGAACAAACTCTCCCATTATTATAATATTTAATGATCACATCCATTTCCAGTGGATTTGATGCGTGCTAACCTGCTCTGGTTACCTCACATTCTAAACTATATACATATTATTTGTTTCAGTGATTAATCAATCAATCTTTGAAAAGAAATATTTTTATTAATTAGCACGGAAAAGTGCTTTTTTGAATCTGCTTGGTATTTCTATGTTGTCATGGGCTCGGATTGTTGTATTGTGTAATGCCATATGAACTCAAGCAATTGACTTTGGAAGTGGTTGAACCGACCTTTCTCCATTTATCTGGGAATCGCGACCTGGATTAATCCTGCTGTTAGTCAACGAAGTTTAGGTTTGGTAAGAAAATTAGGTTTTCCTTTGAGCTAAAGTAATGAGTTTTTGTCAAGTAATTATGAGCTACCTTCAATTAGAAATAGTTGTTTGTCATATATTCAACTCTTCATGTGTGAGAGTAATATAAATATAAAATTATTTATGCAATCTCATTTAACAAGATTAAATTTTTTTTAATAGATATAATTTTTTTAACATGATATTTAAATTCTAATGTCAAAAGGATTCTAAGTTTGAATCTCACAATTCTTATTTATTTTTATTGAAAAAATAAATAAATAAACACGAGATAACAACGAACTTGTGCATGTATTAAGTTACTCGGTTTGAAATAATTTTTTTATACTTCTTAACCTATTGGGTTGGAGTAAATAATACGGTGGATAATAATAAGTTATGTGTCGTTTGGTTATGAGAAATAAAAAATCCAAAATGAAAATACAAGAATTGCTGAATAAAAATTAAGAAATTGGAATAAAATTTACACTTTCATATTGTATTTAACATACTAATAGAAATTGAAATTTTTTAATATCTTATGTTTAATACGAATAATAATAATAATTAAAAAATAATTCCATCAATTATGATGGTAGTAAAAATAATAGAGGTAATTGTGGTAACGATGGTGATGATGGTAGTGGTATAATAAAAATAGCGATGGTAGTAGTGAAGGATGAGTGATAATAAAATAATAATAATAATAATAATTATTTTTATCATCATTGTCAATGCATATGACGATGTTAGTTGTGGTGCGGTGATAAAAATAGTTAATACATAATAAATAAAAATAATATATTATTATTTGAAGAAAAAATTCATTCTCACTCATTTTTTTTATTCTCACTTTTCACATGGCAATAAAGATAAATGTATTCTTTATTCTCATTTCGGCTTCATTCTTTTCAACAAAACAAATGAAACAACTAAAAGTGAATAAAACTTTCATTTTTATTTTATCACTGCATTCTTAGTAATCAAATAACATTTTAGAGTAAATAATGCGATGGATAAATATTAATTAAATCTAGAGCTAAGTTGAGATGGTTTTTTATTTTTTATTTTTTTTGTCACTTTCTTAATATAATTTTGACTTTTGGATTTGCTTTTAGTTTATAAGCCTAAAAACAAGTCTAAATCTCAGGATTTAAAAAGTCTTCGTAGCTTGAATCTTTCAGTGATCAATATTCAAGATAGTACATGGAGTAGGAGTTATTAGAGGGAGCCTTGGTCAAATTATAGCTTGTTTTTCTAATTTTCATGGTTCAGATTCTAATATGAAGGGTGAGATTTATGCTCTCAAAGAAGGACTCCAGCTATGTAAAGACTTCTTTCTGAGTCAGGTATGGGTGGAATCAGACTCATTAGTTGCAGTGAATGCTCTTAATAAAAAGGTAAGTATACCACGACAATATATTCACCAGATTCAATTGTTCTAAACTTTGAAGAAATCACTTATGATTGATATGTTCTGCGACAACAAAACTTAGAGGTCGATAAGCTAACTAGTATAGCTCATGTTTATAGAAATAAAGTTATGTTTGCAAGTTACGAAGATTTGCCTAGAGTTACGAAGAATGCAATTGAATTTGATAAAATGGAGATATACTCGTATAGAAAATAACATTTATATATTATTTTTACTTAAGGGTTAGGTTTTTTTGTCCTACCAATTTATTACGGGGTTAAGAGGGATTGTATCTTCCTTGTAATGATTTTTTTAATTTAATAAATCTGTACTGAGTTTTTTTTTTTAAAAAAAAAGTTAGAGTAAATAATAGGATAGATAAATATTAATTAAATCTGGAGCTAATACTACGTATAGTTCAAGAGGTTAATTTACTAACATGAAGAGTAAATTTGGTCTCCCCATTATTATCATTCAGGGATTCGAATTTAAAAAGAGAATATAAAATATGAAAAATATCTTCTATATAAATTATTTGATTAAAACTCAATAATGAAAAAATTAATTTCAATTTGTGAAGATCGATACAAAAAATATTCAAAAGAGCCGGGTAAAGTAAGCATCATCTGGAAAGTGTTGAAAGCTGGATTGATTATTTGATTTCCTGTTCAACTACTGAGTGCATTATCACTTCTACCTATTTGCATATTGTTCCAAATCCTTCCCGTTAAAGCAGGCACGTAGGAGCTCGTTGATTGATCCTCCCCTTTTATTTTATTTGTTCCATCTCAATTATATGGAAGTATCTTTGACATAAGTAGTAAAAAAACGAAGCCCAAAATAGCATAACTCCAAAAGGAGGGGAAGAAAGCAACAAGACTGGATGCCCATGAGATCATACCTACTCTCCATTCCGAGGCAAATATACATGTTACAGACCGTAACTCTCTGGAAAAACAGTCGAGACTCTTCCTCTCACGATACCTCTGCTTATTTTAGTACAAAGAATCGCTTGAATTCTCAAAAGCACGACTTTAAAGGCATCCCATGCTCCCCAATTAGAACACAGGAAGAGGTCCCATTGCCCCCAGTTCGGGGTGGTGTGAAAGAGACTTGATCTTTCTTGCCAAGAGGGATAAAGTTTACTTGATTCGAGATATTTCCCATCTCACATATATTTTACAATAATTGAACCTGAAGTTGACACCATTTAGCCTTGCTAAATGTTGATTAACCGTGTGATTGTTACGTACGTAGTAATTTTTTTCTTTCAAAGTTGGATAAGAAGGATCCTGTTATTAGCTTAGCTGTAACCCTAACAACACCCCTTCTTCATGCAATTTTTTGTACTCTTATTTCTAAAATTCTGAAATGGAAAACGTGCATCATTATTTCTTACACGTTCTAAAATTGATTATACTAAATAAAATGTCTTAATTTATTTTTACTATTACAAAATCAATTATTTTTTATTTTTTTCAATAGTAAAAAATATTTTTAAATCAATTAAAACTATATTTTTCCATCGAATAATCTTAAACATATATCATTTATATTGACCAGATATATTTAAGGTGATAAATCCGAGGAAATATAAACTTCTAACTTCAAAAAATTTGATGAATATTATATAAGAGTAATAATAATATTCATCAAAATAAGCAAAATCAAAGAATGCTGTAAAACATAATTAATTGATATCATGTCAACCAAATTTGGCAACTATAGTCGATCCATGTAACTTAAGGTAATGTTTGTTGGCAACTTGGTATCTCTCTGTTACCAGAACTCCTCAATTTGGTGCCTTTTTTTTTTTTTCCGTTAACCCATACAAAATATTCTTACACGTACAGCATGGGCAGTCATTGTCCCACAGAGCGAATACACCAGTTCAGGATTTGATTCCGCAACTAGCCAAAAAAAACAGCTTGGCGTAGGCGCGGAGGAGTGGTCCATTCTTAAACATGGGATCTCATGACCCACTTGCTCCTGTTCATGTTCCTTATAATACAGTACTCTGTGTAATTCTTAGTAAATTATAAATTAGTCCCTCTAGTTTTACAAAACAAATTAAATAGTTTTTTTAAATAATTAATTAATTAATCATTTGATCAGTGTTGATCATGATTAATTTAAGATTATTTTGTTTTAAAAAATTTCCTTACTAATCTTTTCTTTTTTTAATTTTTTATTTATTAATCCAAAAAATAAAATAAATTGATTAAGGATGAAAAGATTGAATATAAATAAATTTTAAAATATAAGAACTAGTTAATTAGTTATTAAAACTAAAGGGACTATTTCATTTTTCTAAAAATACTTAAAGGACTAATTTATAATTTTACTCGTATGATTCAGATTGAAATGACAGACAAAGCTACAAAACAACCCTTGGGCTGCAGAATTTGACAGAGCCCAAGAATTTTTTTTAAAAAAAAAAATTAAACTTAACCCTTCGCAACTCATATGATCACGTGTCTCTCCATTCTAACAAAGCGTATCATGTCTGTTATCCAAAAAATTTATAATACTCGAGTGCTAATAAGTTTAAGTTACTCTATTAAAAAAAAAAATTAAGAGAGAATAAATTTTAAAAAAATTAAGTTAATATAAATTTTTATTATTATTTTCGATGAATTTAGACGTGAATTTTTTTATGTATCTATTTTTTAAAAAAAATACACTAATAAAATAATTACTATGCTATTCACTAAATATTATAAAATTCCTGATCTGTTACAGTCCCTTCTCAAATTTAAATTTCACGAAACCAATTCCTTTGTTTTATACTAAGAATAAAAAATCATTTTAAGCATTTTTGCTATAACAAAATATTTGTATGTTTCAATTGGGCATATCAAACGTTAAAATTTGAATTTTTATTTGAAGGTTATAGTTTCAAATAAAATCAGCGGAAAAAAAACCTAATATTTTGAGGCTCAATGCTGTCGTTGAATAAATAAATAAATAAAGGCATTTGGAGTGCTTTTAATGAAAATACAAGGAAAGATTTATCTTAAATTTATTTTGCCTATAAATATACGAAGTAGAGGGCCCAGGTATGATTTTTAGGCAAGAAAGCATAAATCTGTGTAACCTTCACTGTCTGTGCTAGCGTTACTGCTTACTGATTTGATTTCACCTATTCGTTTCACTCATGTAGCCATACTAGTATTTATCATCTCTCTCCTTTCCCTTCCAAATTTTAGCCCACTCCACAACCTCTCTCTTCATAAGTTGTACTCTCTCTTCATTTTTTTTTTTTCAAAATTTTCTCCTTGCCATCTCTCTTTTCTCTCTACTGCTTGATCTGAACATAGAGATAATACTTGATGAAGATCCAGTGCGACGTGTGTAACAAAGAAGAGGCCTCGGTGTTTTGCACCGCTGACGAGGCAGCCCTTTGTGACACTTGTGACCACCGTGTCCACCATGCCAACAAGCTTGCTTCAAAGCACCAACGTTTTTCCCTTCTCCATCCGTCCACAAAAAACTCCCCCTCTGTGATATCTGCAAGGTATTTTCTCTATTTGGGTCTTTGGTTTTCCATTTCTTGATAAATTTTTTTGGGGTTAATCAATTAATTTTTTGTTTATCTTTTAGGACAAACGGGCTTTCTTGTTCTGTCAACAAGACAGGGCAATTTTATGCAGAGATTGTGATGGTCCAATACACACAGCAAACGAGCATACCCAGAAGCATAATCGGTTTCTTCTCACAGGAGTCAAGCTCTCTGCTACATCTGCTGTTTATGTGCCTTCTTCTTCTTCCTCTGTCACCAACAGTGGTGATCATGTTCCTGATTCTGAGTCTCAGAAACAAAAGCAGCAATCAATCAAGAAACCTGTGTCTATTGCTCCAGTGAATTCTTATCCACCTACAGTTCCCAATACCTCATCGACAAACACCATAGTAAACAAGGTTGGGGATAATTTGGCAACAGATGAAGGGTTTGGTTCAATAACAAGTAGTACTATATCAGAGTACTTGATGGAGACTCTTCCTGGCTGGCATGTTGAAGAATTTCTTGATTCCTCTTCTACTCCCTTTGGTTTCTGTAAGGTTTGCATTTGATTCTTTCCTTCCTGGTCAGTCATCTACTAATTAAGTTTCTCAGCTTTAGTACCAAATGGGGAAAAAAATTTATTACTTTGATATCTTGCTTGGAATTTCAGAAATTTCTGTGTTTTGTAGATTGATGATGGTCTATTGCCTTATATAGACACTCATGATCTTGAGAGCAATATGAGTTCTTTCTCATCAGAAAGTTTGGGGTTTTGGGTCCCTCGAGCACCAACTCCTCTATGCACATCTCAACGATATTATCATCCTCAAATGGTAGGGCAGAGTGGGTTCAAGGAGACAAAAGAGACCACAAACATGAAAGCTAACAGAAGGTTAGCAGATGATGTCTTCACTGTTCCACAGATCAGCCGTCCATCAAATATTGGCTCCAAGAGATCTAGGCCCTTATGGTAGGACCAAATTTTCACAATCTTTCTTTAATTGTCAGGAACAAGGCCTTATGCTTTGTAGTTTTGGTCGCGTGGCTTTCGATCAAGTTTCTTTTTAGCATCTGGGTTTGAGTTAGTCTTGTTGTATATTACCTCCTCTCTGCGTGGTCAAATCCAAAATGATTACGGGTTTTGTTTCTGTCCTTTGTACTTGCCAGAGTACAGACATCTTCAGTAAATATGAACGAAAGTTTCACAGCTTTTTTTTTCCTCTTTAGAATGAAAATGACTGAATCTTGCCTCCATGGTACCTAAGTCCTGATATGAACGAAAGTTTCACAGCTTTTTTTTTTTACCCCTCTTTAGAATGAAAAATGACTGAATCTTGCCTCCATAGTACCTAAGTCGTGAAAAGATCAAAGAGGAATGAGACGACAAATCTGTCATTTGTCTTTAAGAAGTCATAGAAGTGACAGTTAGAGAAGTCCTCCTAGGTTTGAGTTATCAAGTGTCAAAGTTTGAGACTGGCCACTGTAGAAGGAATCTTAGCCAGAACAAGGGGGAGGAGATAAATATGGTCTGATGATGACAATGAAGAAAGATGACAGTGATCGGATAAGGTGGAGGATGACAAATAGAAGCAAAAGTGATGTCTGAATTTGTCTGTAACCACAATTTTTGGTGGGCTTAGCTTACACATATGAGCAAGTCATTTACAAAATGGCAATTTTGTTTGCTACTCCCAGAATCATAATAACAGTTTGAAATAGCGGCCTCCTCAGATAACAATATCATCCACCGTAACAGTAACGGCCGTAATTGTTATTATTTAACAGATTTGCCCATTATATTTATATGTTTTATTATTGTTTGTGAGATTTTGAACTATTAAAAAAAAATTAAATAAATTCATATTAATATGTATCTGTAAAACAATTAAAAATATATAAATTATAATAATTTATTAATTTTTATTAATGTATTTACGACATCTAGGGTCTATAATCACGATAATCTTTACAATTAGATCTGTTATTAAAATTATGCCAGATTCACCAAATGGTTATACAATTTTGGTAAATGTTTGTTGCTAGGTGGTAGTGGTGAAACAAGCATGCCTTCCCTTCTTAGGTAATCTGATTCCGTGGCTTGCATCATGTTTTGAAACTCGAACCGATGTCAAATTCGACTAGGTGCTATAATTATCATCTACTTTCATCTAATTCCAACCTGAATTCACGTATTCAGCCGATTTCTTGAAAAAGACAATGAAAAAATTTTGCAGCCAGCAAACTCGAAGAAGTCTCTACGTGATCGTAGAATCTATGGAGAACAAATTAAGGCAGGCAGCCCTTACAAACGGAACCCCAGCGAGAACAAACCTATCTTAGCTTGAACATATTACATATAGTAGAAGTTGTAAGATTTGGAAACATATTTTCCAATTCAGAAAAAACGACAATGATATCATGAAAAGAACATGTATTAACTTATTTCACCCCCATCAGATTTAACAGTATTCCGACTTGCTTTCTATAGTTTCAAATGTCCTAATGTCAACCCTAATGTTTTTAAGAAATTCCTATACGGTCCTTGACCATTAATCATCAAATAAAATCCAACGCAAGCCTACATTTTGCAATTATTTTTTTGAACTTTTTAAGTTTTTTTTGTTGGATATTATCACAAGTATGCGGATTAGATTAAAAAAAAAAAAAGAAATTGAAATACGGTGCTAGCAGAAAAAAGGGCCCACCGTTAAATGCAACGGAAATCTAAACTGTAGGGAGTGAAGTGGAATGTTGTTGAACTTATAGGAGTGGCCCAAATGTAGTTAATGCAAAGGAAATAAATGCGAAAAAGCAATAGTGCCGAATTAGTGAATTACAAATTAGTCTCTCTAATTTTGCAAAACTAATTAAATAATTCTTCTTTTTTAAAAAAATTAATTAATTAATTTTTTTACTAATATTGCCCATACTTAATTAATATTACTTTGTTCTATAAAATGTATTTTTTGTCATTAATTTTTTTATATTTTTACTCGTTTTTATATTTTTTGCAATATAAATACAAAATAAATTAAAAAGAACAAAAAGATTAAGTTATAAATAGATTTAAAAATATAGAGACTAATTAATTATTTTTTCAAAATAAAAGGACTATTTATGTCATTTAAAAAAACTAGAGGAACTAATTTATAACATACTCTGCTAAATTTTAGAAAGGCAGGGGACGGCGCAGTACTGGGTTGCTGATAAAAGCCTCCTAATCGGGTGACGTTAGTTTCCAGGTTTGAGATTTTCGTTAAGCTTCGGGGTGACCCTTCTCACATGGCAAGGGCAGAGAGTAAGACGCCACTAACTGTTTTAATTGAAAAATGGTCCATGGTTTTATTCGGCCGAAAGGTCCGAAAAGTTATTTGTAAGGAACAATTCACCAATTAGAATGTTTGGATGGACAGAAAATGCCATTATACAAGGAAAAAATATGATAAGGATAGCCTATTTGCTTTGAGGATTTTTTTTAAAAAAATTTATCCTTGGAAGGGAAGGAATTGAATTTGGATACTTTAAATATTTAATCATTAAATCAGTCCATCATTAGTTGTGTATTTTAATTATAATTACTCGTTAATAAAATGATTATCTCCCGTAATTAAAAAAAAAAACAATATTATTGTAAGAAAATAAATATGCGGATTGATTAGTTAAATAAACTATTTTTAGCAGTTGGATTCTAGTATTTTATAAAAACTCTTATTGGATACGTGAAGATTTAATAATATGGTATTTATTGAATTGTTTTTTCTAAAATAATCTATTTGTAATTTATAGGACTTTAACCTTCTCTTAATGAAAAATAAAATAAAAATACACTACAATTCTCGGTCATTTATCACGGAAAAAAAGGGTTAACACTATTCCTACCCTCTACAAAACCACAATGTCCTAATAGACGATAGAAATAGGAGTGGATTCGACTTCAGGGTTCCTCCATAAAGACTTCTTCTCTATTCCAATCCTATTTTATGGAGGTTTTTTTTTTTTTTTCCCCTCACTACTTCACAGAGATTTCTAAAAATACAGGCCCATTCCGTATATAACATGTTACAGGCCTGGTTAAGATCCATAAACAAACTTGCTGGAAGCAAAAAAGCCCATAGTTCGGCCGACTTTCAAACCCAGAGGAAGTAGATGAGATCAAACCCACTTTGGGTCCAAGAAGTCATTTGTCTTTAATTATGACCAATGGACCCAATGATGGCCTATAGAAAGCCCAGTGGAACATCTGATCCAAGTAAAGAGATCCCGAACAAGGAACGAGAGTGAAAAAAATGAAAAATGAAAAAACCCATGTTCCGCGTCCGCATCACATTAGCATAACAAAACCAAAACACAGAGAATTTCGCTTCAACGCTGATCACCGAGGAAAAATTTACTACAAAAAATAAGAAACTACTTTATTTAGGAGAATTTAATATTGCTCATGAAATTATTAATGTAAGTTACTTTATAAAAAATAGATAAATGAGATAAAAAAAATTAAAAAAAAAAAGTTTAATTAAAAATTTTTTTATCATTTTTAATTGGTATGGATTTTTTTTTCTATTTTTTTATGAAAAGTTGACACCTGAAGTAATTATTGTCTTGAGTATTTTAAAATTTATCTTTTATTTAGGCAAAAATAGGTCCTCAAAGCACATAACATCCGAAGCCACAATTTCCATCGTGCATGCAAAATAGAAAGTCATCAAATTTTGCATCCACGCATCAAATCAAACAGCATCAAGTCAATAAAAAGAAGACAAGTACAAACATCCAAAAGCGAAAAATTCTTAGCCCACGCCGTTGAATTTAATTAATGAGGCACTAATCTAGCAAACACCAAAAAAATAATAATAATAAAATAAATAAATAAATAAGACTCCTTGATCAATCTGAAAATGGTTGGGAATAGGACTGGCCAGAGAGGGATTAAAGCAAATCAAGAACGTCGACAGTGAGCCTTGCACATATGTTGGCAGTCATAGAAGCAAGGGCCTCCACAATGGAGAGGACAATCTAACCTCATGCCTTTACACCGTCCTTTTCCCATACATTGCGCAAACTCTCCAAGCTTGTAGTCCTCGTTGCTGAATACTCTCTTCCTATGCATCCGGTGGTGGTTAATGCCTCTACCTCCTCCTTTCCCTTTCCCACCACACCCCCATTTATACCAACCACCACCACCACCACCTCCTCCCCATCCCCATCCCCCTCCACCACCTCCCCCTCTCCCTCCACCTCCCCCTCCTCCACCACCACCACCCCCTCCCCCACCCCATCCCCATCCAAAACTGCGGCCGCCGCCTCCACCACCACCACCACCTCCCCCTCCCCCTCCCCCTCCCCCTCTATAGTATCCACCATATCTGTTTTTGTTGTAGTTGACCACACCTTCGGTGTTAGAAGTTTTGTTTTGACTTCCTTGTAGCATGGCAGGATCTAAAAAAGTGACATTGACTTTGGTATGATCAGCATTGCTGTTTGTTCCCTCATCACCTCTCAACTCAACAACTACCATTGCTAGAAACAAGAGAACAAATAAGCTTCTCCTTCTCATCCGCGCCTCCATTTTTTTCAGTGCTACTTTCAGATAGAGTTGCAATTACTGCTGCATTTTCTTGCCATTGCTCTATAGGTTTATATACTACTTCTCTGACAGTTTGACAGCTAGATTTTGGACCCCGCTTGATCCAGAACTTCAAGTAACTAAGGCAAGCCCAACTCCAAACAATCAAAGAAGAAAGGAGTGTGCCTTAAGGGACACTTTTGTCCCCACCTAGTTTGGAAGGAATAAGGTAGGCTGAAATCCTCAAATTGCGTACCTTTTTAAATTTGTATTAAAAAGGTATTTGTTTTCTACATTATGGTAAATTTGTATTCTCATGAAAGTAATGACAAAGATATTTATTTTTTTATTTTTTTAATTATCAACACATCATTCCATCAACGTTTAATATTAAATATCTGACATATTCATCGTTATTTTTGCTTTTTAATTTCTTAATTTTTGCTTTAATGTATATTTAATTTTTTTATATTTTAGACATTTGATATCAAATATATTTAATTAAAATATAGTAATAAACATTAATAAAAACTGTATTCGTGATTTTCATGAAATAAATATGAGAATAATCAATTTAAAAACGAATTCAATAACAAACTTTTTATAAATGATATATCCAAAAAGAAACTTGATTTTGATGCATACGAGGTGACCTAAAATATTATTAAGCTTAAAGTGAAAAAAATTCTAAAACCATGTGCAACCTGCACTCTTCATGCAGCAAACTCGCCCACCCTTGTCCACTACCATGGCACGCGTTACTGTAGTCGGTAGATATAGCTGTATAAAGCATGCGTGTTCTTGGCCTTGGATTGGGTCCAAACTCAAGTCCACAAAGAGTGAAAATAATTATAAGAATTCTTATCTCAAATTAAAAAAAAAAAAAACAAGAAAATCATGGGGATTAATTAGAGGGTTTACCCCTATGTTTAAATTCTGTATTTTTTGAATTTTTTTATTAAAACTCTCTATTATTTGAAATTTTCTTACATCAAATTTTATATTATAACACCATCAATTAATAATCCATACGTGACCAATCAAATAAATAAAAAATAAAGTATTTTTATTAAAAAAAATTCAAAAAATACATGTTTCAAATGTGAAAAATACATTAATTAAACCAAAACAATATTTTTTTTTAAGAATACTTAATGGTTCTTTAATTAGCATGCACCCGTCGGGCTTCTGTCTCTTGCTTGACAAAAACGTTTTGAGAATTGAAGTGTGCACAAGAAGTTGCAATCCATAGAGAGCTGGTGGTGGTGGAGGTAGCTTGATTTTACGTGTGCATAAGGTTCCTTGCAAAGGTATACAAATTGATTTCAGTATGCAGTACCATCAAATGCTTCTAGCTTACGTGGAATATATATATATATAATGAATCGGAATGTGAAGATTCACGCTCAAGTTGTTTCACTAGCACCCCACTACTAAATTTATTTCATTTTGTATTGTTAATTTGATACATTGGTGAACAAGAGATTTAAATTGAGCATGCATGCTAAAACGCTGAAACCTGATTGGGTTACTGGGCAAATTAATGATGAGGATGACTGAAAAAACAAGCAATCAGTAGAGACATAAAAGTGCCTTTCTCCGTTGTTATTGAAAGCATGCAAACGTTAGAACAGAAAAAGCTATTGCATTGATGCGGTTTTAACACCTTTAAACTGAAAAATCAAGACTTCTTTCTCTGAAAAAAAAGACTTGGATTCAAACAAGAGATACAAATCTGGACGTTCATTGGATGAATTAAACACAAAGCAAATACTGAGTCAAAATAATTATTACATATGCAAATTTTTTGTTTCGATAAAGCAAGATTTATCACTGGATTATGACTATTTTTATGTCAACTCCACTGCGAAAAATATATTATGGACGCTCGCTATGGAATAGAAATGTACAACACGTCGTCGTTGTTGAGAGTTAGAACTTCAGACATGGATCAATCTCTCGCAGAAATTAACCAGATCCCCCAACCACAAGACCCACAGCTGGTATAGTCTCTGCAAATGATGAACCACTGATTGACCGACTCGAATATACAAGGTTATGCCTCCTTTTCATCTGTGATCATGGAGAGTTTGCACTAATATGCCATTTTGTTACCAGAAAATTTCATGGTCCAGATCAAGATCAATGCAAGCGCAGCAAAATTAAGCAACGAAGCATCTAGCATAAATAACCATTCTGCTGTTTTCAAACTATGAAAAAGAATATTCAAATAGAAGAAAAACAACATTCCTGTTGTTCAAATTATGTAGGCTGCAAGTGAAAAGCCATAGAACTCATCACTGCCAAATGTTTTAGCTCCTTGCCTCTCAAAACCAAGCACAGATCAAATTTATGTAGTATCAGTACCTTCGGAAGGGTATTCTCCCTGATGGGCACTCAATCGCCCTGTGGCCCCTCCCACCACAATTGTGGCAGATAATCATGGGACCCATACAGTCCCTGCTCATGTGGCCCACTTGATTGCATGTACGGCAGATCACATCCCGATAACTGCTGTTACGACCCCAACCTCCTCTATCTGGAAAACTATTTCCCTTCGAGCATTGCCTTGCCACATGCCCAGCAATGTTGCACAAGTTGCAGACGGGCTCATTCTGGCAATCACGTGCCATGTGGCCAGTTTTCCTGCAGTTCTTACATGCTTTATCATTTGTGCACTCAGCAGCAAAATGCCCTGGCTTATAGCAATTGTTGCACAACCTCACATCTCCAGGTGATGGTTCAGGATTTGGGCAATCTTTGGCACGATGTCCAGACCTGCCACATGCATGGCAGATGCCCTCATTTGGACAGTTGCTTGCTACATGCCCAGGTTCACGACAATTCCAGCACTGCAGCTGTGAGGTGCACTCAGATGCAACATGCCTGAAAAGAAAATGAAGATGCATAGCTGAATCCTTATCCAACATATAAGAAAAAGGGATCGGAAGGTGCAGAAAATCGCAGGCAGGAAGAACGATTACCCAGGAAGACCACAGTTGTTACAAACGGCAGCATTGGGGCATTCTCTTGCAAAATGACCAGCCCGCTTGCAATTATGGCACACATTCGTTTGGCTGAAGACAACCAACAAAAATTAGAAAGCAGCAAATATTCAATATTAGAAAAAAAAAAAATTACTTGAGCCTCAAAAGCATGCCTCAAATTTGCATTTAAAAAAAAAAAAAACAGTGATAACTGTCATTCCCATCGGTCATTGTATCACAAATATTAAACAATGGTTCTTGCATTTAAATACCATTGCAGAAAAAGTCCACCAGGTATTCTGCCTTTTTTGATGTCCAAACCAAAAACCAATCAAATCCAATGGAGTTCAACTCTTAAAAGAGAATGCAGCATCCAATCACAATATAAGAATGTAAATACACACTTGAACAACTTCAAGAGAAGGTTCTAATCTAAGCAGAGCGCAAGTGCACTGAAAGAATATTGTTATCAGAGTTGCAATAGTGTAAAAACTTTCTCCAAAATTCATAAAACAGGAAACTGCTTGTAACCATCAGTTCCTTCTTGCTCTAGTTTTTTCAAAATGATAGAAGATCCTTACAAACCAAAAACTGACTCCTCCTTTGACCAGAAGTAAACAGTGTTCTGCCATAACAAATGCCACTCATGCCCAGCCAAGTCACAACATCATGGTGATTACTTCATGTTATCAATCACTTAACTGTCAGGTATCTTTAACTAAGATAAATTTGACTGTTTTGTGTACCAACCAATTGCATAAGTGACAAAAAGTAAGAGTAGCAAAACATTTAAGCCAAAAACTCCCTTGATAAGATAGTAAAAATCTTCTAAAAAAACAGTTATGTGAGCATGTCATGACAGATTTTATTAACAATTTTCAGCACCTTATAAGAAACCAGATGCTTCAGAGGAATTAAAAGGCATGTTGCATTAACATTCACAGCCAACATCCAAAAAGCTTCCAGGACAAATTGTCACAAGGTGCTCATTGAGCATATAGACACCCATTATTAAAGTTTATGCTTATATACAATAAGACCAAAACCACCCTCCTAATGCAGGAAAACTGCAAACATTCCAAAGGAAACAATACAAAAGAAAGAAGTTATTAAAAAACAATAACCTGAAACCACGATCACGATCACGATGTGTCTCTCTCCTGTAAGGCCCATCACGATAGGAATCATGCCGAGATCGGAATCTGCGATCTCTGGGACTCCTACTCCGGCTACGGCTCCGACTCATACCCTGGCTTCTGCTACTGCTCCTGCTATGTGAACTCATGTTTCAATCTTCTACTAATCAAATCAACCACCACAGACTCACAAGCCCACCACCAACATTCCACAGCTACTCCACAGCTTCCCTGTGAACATTGATCACACCCAAAATTATCTCCATTCATTCACCACATGCTCCTATTATAACCTTCAAACAGAAACACCATTTTCCCGACACTACAACAAAATTCTTGTCCAACAACCACCGGCCAGACTAAAAATTCAATACATCCAAAGCGTACCATGTAAACTTAAAGAAACATTTCTTCAACCGAGACATAGTCTGAACGAAGATTTATGTTCCTCTTCTGAGCGAGAAATGTTCAGTCAGTTCACACTTTCAATTTGGGAACGCTATGAGCATTGCTTAATGTAACAGACAAAACCCCAACCATGCAACAATTCATCCCACAAGTAAAATGGACCTCCTATTTCAAAAATATTCCTTAGTTTCCCATCAGGAAACCAGGATTTTTTTCACAAACCCTTTCCGCAGCAATTAGGAATCTAGTATTGGAAAAAAAAAACAAAAACAAATGAATAAAAATTAAATACACGAAAAAGGGAAAAAAGAGGGAGACAGAGAGAGAGAAATACAATCTTAATACCTCAAGAACATCAAATTGATAGTCTGTAGCTAAGTCAAAAAATTTCTCAGCAGGTTGGATTGAGTATGAGACCAATTTAGATGTATTTAAACAGACTTCGAGAAATGAATCCGCAGAATTAATGCGTTTTGACCAAAAACGACACATAAATTACTAAGGAATTCAAGAATCCAACCCTAATTCTTTGAATCCGTAACTTCATCATTGAAAGCAAGGTACAAAACCCTAAAATTCGTTAAAATAGAAACTAAAACAAATATGTAACAGAACTGGATCTGGAATTTTATATGTGAAACATGAGAAAAGAAAAGAAAAAAAATTGAGCAGATCAGATACGGACCTTATGGAGGTGAAAGCAGAGGGGATGGATATTTGGCACTCGAGAAATATCGTTTGCTAATGGAATGACACAACTTTATACGTGGTTGCAATAGGAGGGAAAGAATCTTGTAGGGCCGGTCACAGCGTGTCTAAACTTTAAGCTTGAAAGGAATTAGACACGTCAACTAGAGTCGGCTTCTGCCTTCAGCTGACGTGTTAAAGACAATCCTTTATCAAAGTTTAACTGTGAGGTTTCTTTTCCGTTTTTCCCTGTTGCATCTGCTTTTAACTACGAGAAAATGATATTTGTGGGACTCAATTTTTTATTGTTTTTCTGTTTTGACATCCAACTATTTATTTTTTATGATTTGCTACTCAAGTTTTAATTTTTTTATTTATTTTGGTGTTTGAAGTCATCGGAGATTCAATCTTGCAAAGTGTTCGACGAGACTTACTACATGGCAGTCAATTCCAATCACATTAACAATCCATACTCTTGGATGATTGTGGGTACTCAAATACATAATAAAAAAAAAATAGAGGTTAGACAAATTAAAAAAAAAATCAATAATTGAGCATCCAAAAGGTAGTTTTCTCACATCAAGTCTCTCTCTCTCTCTCTCTTTATTTCATTCTATCCCTTCTTCATTATAAATAAAGCTTATGTATTTTTTATACTTTCATAATTTTTATATATGTGTAATCTCTCAAACTTCTCCTTAGATACCAAAGGTCGTATAATTCTAATTCTTAAGAAAATCAACAATTACATACGCGTATATATTTGTGTTATTATGCCAACTACACAAGCAATGTTGACAATACATTCACTTCTTATCTCAATTCACACTTTACTTGTTATTTATATCGGTATCATCACCGTTACTAAAAGTATTACACCTTCAACACTCGGATAAAAAAACTTGATCATTAAATCTATTTGTATTGATTCTATCCCATCTCGATCTACTATAAAAAAAGCTTAACAAGTTATTTGCAGCAAAAAAAAACTTATGCTACGTATGATGTGTTGGTTGATTATCTTTCTAGACAAAAGAAATAATTTTTATTCTTTATAAGTTTCTCCATTGTCTAACCATTTGTTTCATAAAATGACAATCATCATTGCATCTTATATATCTTTTGTTTTTTTTTTTAATTTAATCTTAATTGGACCTTATATATACATAGACTAAATGACTTCATGTTAAATTTGTCTAAATAGCTAAAAGTATTTAGAATTTTCAAAAAATAAGTTTTAACTAATGCAAAATACTTAAAAACTGTCATTGATAAATAAAAAACAGCATGAGTATGATTTAGAAAATATTTGTTGGTAATGCAACCAAGTGAAAATTGATGGACTAATTTTACAATCTCGAGACGAGTAAATTTTTTGGAAAAACTGCATTTTGGATGTCTAATCATTGATTTTTTTTTCTGTTTAGATGCTCGTTCTTTAATTTTGTTTCTATTTGAGTGCTCACAATCATCCAAAAGTATGCATTGCCGATGTGCCTAGAGTTGACTATCATGTGGTATTTTTTTACTACCACATGGTATTTTTATTGTCACGTTGTAGGTCTCGTTGGATATGTAAGCAAAATTGAATCTTAAGTGCCTTCAAGCATCAAAATAAACAAAATAATAATAATAATAATAATCAAAATTTTGACATTAAATCATTAGAAATCAATGGTGGACACCAAAATAGAAAAACAATCAAAAGTTGAACGTAAAAAATATTGTTTTCTATTTTACTACTATTATCGTTACTACCACATGGTATAACGACTTCCATGGATTCATGTATAAAAAATATATTAGTATATATGATGTCTTTTCGACTTATTGGTTTGTCGTCAATTATTAATTATGTTTTTTCCTGAAAAAATAGATTAAAGGATTTTTTTTTAAAAAAAAAATCTTTTTATAGCATCTCGAATTGAAATAATTCATGAACCTTTTTTTCCTTCTACAGTGCCCGAAGTGTTTGTAAAATTTATTTATTATTATTTATTTAGATGTATTACACTGGGAGAAATAGCTCTGCATGTTTTTTATATGATTAGGTGAGTATTTAATTTGTTTTTATATTTTTTAATGAATCAATTATATCTAGGTATTTTATGTGAGTTTTCAACATATTATTCTAATGATATTTTTTATCAAAACCATTAGAAAAATATCACGTAATTTACACATGGTCAGTTTTATATTGAAAATATCCCTCAACTAGCTGGGCAAAGGTAAGAAAATGTCCTTTTTACCACAATGGCTAGAATCCAGCCAAAGACAAATACAATTTTTTTTTTTTTTTGAAGTTACGAATCTGTAGTGTTAGATTTGGATTTTGATGATTAAAAAATATTTGGGGGTGGTGGATGGTTAGAAATGAAAGAAAATGCAGGAGGGTGAAAGGGGTTGATGGTGATTGGCAGTTTAGAGCTTGACTAGTCACTTGCTCGTGCTATGTTGCGGATTCGATAAAAAAGTCATTTTAAAATTTTTTAATTATAATTTTTTATTCAGTTGATTTTTTAAATCTGTTTACTTAAAAAACATAAATCATTCTTCTTTATGGATTGATTTTAAAATAAAAAAATATAATATTTTTAAATAAAATATCAATCAAGAATTAAAAAAACTTTTAAAATATAATTCTCATAATATTGTGTTCAAAAAAATAAAATTATAATTAATAGATAGACTTTTACAAAAATTAACAAATGAGAAAAAAACTTATTTAATATTGATGAGAAGATAATTTTTTAAATTATCTCAGCAACACCACATGTAGATAAAACAAAATCATTTAAAAATCTTATAATTTTTTCATTGATTTTTATTTTATTATTACAATTTTTTTCATAAAATTTATGCTAAAAAAAACATGATTTATTCTTTTCTATTCAGGAATTCTTTAATAAAAACTTGTAATAATTTAAATCTTAAATATTAATGAAGAATTCAAAAGCAAATACTTTAAGACTATATGTTTTTTTAGAAGAATGTATGAAAAAAATAAAGTTACATTTAATGTATAGATTTGCATAAAAATTAACAAATGAAAAAATAAAATTTTATTTTTATTTACTATTGGTGAGAAGATTATTTTTTTCTCAAGTATATGCATTAAATCTACATATATTTATTTACAAAATAATAAATAGAATTAGCATAAAAAACTGTATTTGAATAATTAGTTGGTTCCTTTAACACATTATTTTAATTGTTTTATTTCAAATAAATTGATTATATAATGTTAAAAAAATATTCATGGTAAATATTTTGTATTAGGTTGGAAGATATATAGTTAATTTTAAATAAAATTAATGATTCAATAGTTTTTTATACGTCTTGACCATATCTATTGAACTGAAACAAATTGTTTGAAATACACTTTTAACATTTTAGAATAAAATAACTATATATTTATATATATGCAAATATCATTTAAAATTATAAGAATTCATGATGTACATTATACCAATTTTTTTTTTAAATTATGTTTTAAAATTTTATTCTAAAATTCAAATATAGAGAAAAATAAATTATATTTATTAGTAAATAAAATTTTATATAAAAAATATTAATTAGATGAGAATTTTCATAAGAAATGATGAATTCAAATAATGAAATTTAAATTATAAAAGTAATATAAGCTGAAATATATGTTAATTTTAAAATATCTAAAAGATATATATATATATATATATATATATATATATATATATATATATATATATATATATATATATATATATATATATATATATATGAAAACCCATAATAAAAAAAGTTTAATATAGATTTAGAAAAAACATCTTAATTTTTTTTTCATTATACTGAATCAAAGAAATAAAGCAATAATTAACATAAAAACTTGGATAAAAATTAACAAATGAAACTTTTTTATTGATGAAAAGATTTTTTTAAAATATACACATTTGATTTACATATATTTATTTACAAAATGATGAATAATATTAGTATACAAAATTGTATTTGAATTATTAGGCAATTATTCTAAAATATTATTTCAATTATTTTATTCAAAAAAATCATTTTAAATATAAAAAAATAATAGTAAATAGTTGATATTGTGTATGTAGATGCATAGTTGCTTTTAATAAAATCAATGATTCTAATATTATTATTTTGTATACGTTATGATTATACTCAATAGGTGAGAATGTATAAAATAAACTAAAAAATATTTTTAAAAAATTAAATAGTAAAATATATATTGAAGTTAATAGAGTGTAGTAAAAACTATAAAATTGATTTTGATAAAATTTGATTATATAAAAATAAGAAAATAAAATACATATATTCAATTTTTAAAATTTGATTATATAAGAATTTAAAAAATAAAAACAGGTATAAAAAAAACTTATTCAAAACCATACATAGAGAAAATAATTCATATCTATTAATAAATAAAATTATATGAAAAATAAGAATAAAAATTAACTTTATGAGGATTTTTATCGAAAAAAATTAATTTTAAACAATAATAGTAGTTTATTTATTCTAAAATCTTAAAACATATCATATAAATGTAAAAATTATCATACACACACACACACACACACACACACACACACACACACTATATATATTATGTAATTGTCACTTTGTGTAAAAAAAAAGATTAACGATTGATTTTTTAAAATCTTAACACCTAATTAAATAAAAAAATAAATTGATGAAAAAAAGCAAAGAAAAAAAAAAGAAAAAGCATGTGTAATGCATCGGTTAGGAGGTTAAAATTTTTATTTTAAAATTTTAGAGATCAAAATAAAAATAATCTAAAAATTTTTAAAAATTAAATAAAAAAGAACCTAAATTGATGAATAAAAAAAGCATGTATAGTGAAACTAAAAAAAAAAAAAAAGAATATATCATATGAATATAAAAAATATCATATATATAAATTATATAATAGTCGAGTTTGTGTTAAAAAAAAATTAACGATTGATTTTTTAAAATTTTAACATCTAATTAAATAAAAAAGATCATAAATTGATGGAAAAAAGCAAAGAAACATATAAATATAAAAAATATCGAATATATTATATAATAGTTAGTTTGTGTAAAAAAAATGATGATTTATTTTTCAAAATTTTAATAACATCTAATTAAATAAAAAAAACATAAATTGATGAAAAAAAACCACGTGTAGTGTATCGGTTAGGGGATTAAAATTTTCATTTTAAAATTTTAAAGATCAACATAAAACAAACCCGAAAATTTTAAAAAGTTAAAAGAGCCTAGATTGATGAAAAAAAAAGCAAAGGGAAAAAAAAGAAAAAAAAAACATGTATAGTGAAACCAAACTAAAAAAAAAAAAAAAAAAGATGAAACTAAACTCGTTTTTTTTTTTTAAAAAAAAACTTGCTTGTAAAAAGTGGAAGAAAGGCCGAGAGACGGGAAAAAAACAGTAAAGTGTTTTACCACAAAAAAAAAAGCTGAAAAACACTATTTATTGAACAGGTGAAACGCACGGTTAATGTGCCTTGTGTTTTAAAGTATTAGTAATATCGACTTGAAAATATAAAGAGAATGTGGAAAAGTCAATTTTAAGGTCTAAGGTTACAGATCTACGAGTTAGAACTTTATTTTAGGTGAAACATGAAGGTTTTGCCTTGAAAAAGGAAAATAAAAGTTTCGAGGTGACCTAAAAAAAATTGATAAGATCGATTGTTCTAAGGTTGATTTTGGTTGGATTTCTGAGAGAGAAAAAATAAAGAAAAGAAAGAAGAACGAGGAGAGAGAAAAAAAGTATGATGCTTGTCCTTGGCTGGAATGGGAGAGAGGGTACGAGTTAGTAACTTGTGTATGTACATTCACTCGAAGAATATTTTTAAAATAAAACTCATCATGTACAAATCACATGGTTTTTTTGTTTATGATTTTGTCAAAAATTATCATCAAAATAATATATTAAAAACTCATTTAAAATATAACAACACAATTAATTTATTTTATTATATAAAGACAAATTAGATGTTTCTTGCGTATATAATGTCTTCGACTTAACCTTTTTCTCTAATATCTTTGTATCAACTATCAAGTAGAATAGCTATAATTTCTTTTTAATTGTGAATTTTAATTTACTTTTTTTTTATAAGAAAATTGAACTTTCGAATTAAAACAAAAGTATTGATATTACTCGAATTAAAGTCCAATTAATAACATTTATCACAATACCTTATAATTATTCAACTCATAGTCCAATTAATAACATTTATCGCAACACCTTACAATAAATCAAATGTGTTATCAATTTAAATGGCTTTTAATCATGGCCTCCTATTCGAGCAAATAAAAAAGCCATTTCAGCTGACAACACTGTCTATTTACTGTAAGGTGATTACAATTGTTATTGATACGGTGTTTTTTTCATTATAATCTGTGATTAGTATCCTATAGATACCTTTATTGTCGTGTGAAACACAATGCATTCAAATATTTATAAGAAAAAATGCATTCAAATAATCAACTACAAATACTTTAAAACTTTGCAATTGAATTAGCAAAGAAATGAGCTAATGAAATTAGAACGCAAATCACAATGGAACAAAAAAATAACATCACACAATTAATACTAATTTAATAAATCATTATCTTATATGCTCTTCATTCTCAATTCTCAAATTCCTCCAACGCCACTACTTCATACCATACTTCCTGTTTTAATATCTAAATTAAATTTAGTTTTCTATCAATTAATTTTCTTAAGGCGATAAAAGTAGAAAATTATTCGATAAGGGGCAACATTAAAACAATTATGAAAGTAGAGGGACTCCCGAGCTTATTAACCCTCCATAATATATCCTATTTTTGGCGACAAGTAGTTCGCACAAAGTCTTAGCCAATGACATTTAGCTCTTAGCTAAACTACGTCGTTTATCATGACAAATATCACATACACTTGGCAGTTGATACACCCTACCGTAGAGGATAGTCCCCGAGCATCATCTAGGGTTTAATGCTTTTTAGACGGAGAATGCAGGGCTTTGCAAACGTTAGTTAGCTTTGGCTCTTTAAAACTGTTCGCACTACAATCCGTACTCTATTCTCACTTCTCTCCAATAAAGAACCAAAAAAATGGGGAAAAAGAAATTCATCGACAAGAAAAAATCCGCAACCTTCCAATTATTCGCGCGCGACTCCTCCGATCCCAACTCCGACGGTACTGACCGAGTTTTCGTGCGAGTCGACAATAATTCCTACTCAGTAGGCAGCTTCTTGCCCGACAGCAAAATCTCCGGCAACAGCCACTTTGATGACGATCCTAATTCGATTTTCGCTGACGCGCCGGATGATATGGAAGATGGTGACAATGGCAGTTTTGGTAATTCTGCGAACTTTGGAGGGGGATTTTTTAGTGAAACATCCTCAGGGCCTTTGCCGGAGGATGTCAGGAGAGAGATTGTGGAATTAGGGTTTCCTGATGATGGTTATAATTATTTACTTCACATGAGAGAGATTAAAAGTGCCGTTAATGGCTCGGGTTTTTTTCAAAATCCTAAAGCCAAGCTTGATCAGCTTCCTCATGATGTCAAGGTGAGTTAAGTTTTTGTATTAATTAACTTGTTAATTTTACTATTTCCAAGTTACTGTGGTGACATGATAATGCTGGTGGTTTTTGTGGTTGTGTTAGGCTTATGACGCATCGAGAGTAAAAGTGTCGGAATTGAAAAGTGAAGATAGAAATGATAAGTCAATTTATAATGTAGTGTCGAAGAGTGTTGGCGTTAGAGTTCAGAAAGCAGTTGATCCTGAAGTAGCTGCATTGCTGGATGACAGTGATTTGTCGCGGTTTGGTTCTGATGTTGAGGACTTGGAGGAGGATTTTGTTGTTCGTGCGAATCTTCATGAGGGAGGGGAGGATTTGGATGCTGATGATTTGGTTGAGGGATCAGAGGTGATTAATGAAGGTATTGGTGGATATGTTAATTACGGTCTTGTTCGAGAAAATGTAGCGGATCGCAGTGGTGTAGAGAAAGCAATAAATGCTCCTGCGGAGGCAAGAGGTGATTTTGGAGATGAGATGCAGCGAGTTCGTCGTCCTTTGGATGAACAATTTGATTTGGTGAGACTCTTCTCGCCGAGTAGTTTATTTCTAGTTTGTTTTCATTTTCATCTTAACTCATTTTTTATTGAATTCTAATTTTCAGGTCATGGCAGTTAGGTCATAAAATTTATGTTCTGTTGACAGAAAGAACCATCAATTGTAATTGTTTGATCTGTTATTTTTCAAAGATAATTTGGGATATCATTCTTTTGAGTTTGCCATGACCTTGTTAATCACATAGATTTGACTGGAGGCATGGAATCTAGACTAAGATGGTGCTGTTTTGTTTAAATTTTTGTGGTCATTTCATGAAGTTAGTTATCTGTGCCTTGAGCAATTATTTGGTATCCCTGGCCTTTGAGAAGCTTCTTGCACATTTATTTGTCGTCCATAGCTAATTTGTAAGTATGTCTAAAAGAGGGTGTGTATGCACCTGGGTTTTTTAATAATTATAACATCCCTTTCTCTCACAAGATATTCTGTTTTGCCCATTGCAGCTTGAACGTCAAGAATATGGCACTGATGATGAAGATGATGAATATGATGGTTACATAGCTAAAGAAGATGAATTTCTTGCTGACAAGCTTAAACATGTCCTTAATGATCGTGCAGTGGATAACCTGGAACTTGATGACAAATATGAGGTTCCTGCAGATTTATTGCACGACAATGATAGACCAAAAAATAAAGAACTATTAGACTCAGCAGCTGATGTCATTCGCCTCTGTAGAGAATACGGGAAGAAGTATGAAAATGAGGATGAAGATAAAGAGGTTATTATTGAAGAGGAAAGTAGTGATGAGTCGGAAAAGTGGGATTGTGAGACTATTGTCTCCACATATTCAAATCTCGATAACCACCCTGCTAAAATTGGAGCTCCAGAAACTGCTAGAAAGAAGATGTTAGCCAAAGCTGTTGTTGGGGCTTTAAATGCTTCCAGTCATGTGATAGCCCTTGGAGGAAAAGAAAAGCTTCCTGTAGACTTTTTGCCTCATAGTAGAAAACCTGCTACAGAAAAGGTCAAGGCCATGCCAAGCTTGCAAATGGAGCAGCAAAAGAGGAAGCAACACGGCCAGGAGTCTAAGGAGGAGAAGAAAGAACGGAAGGTATATATTTGCTGTGAAACCTCTAGAATCTGAATAGACGATAAAATAGCAAAAAACTACTAAAAAAGTAACCCTAGCAGCCTATTTATATTAATTTAAGCCCTATATCCTTGTAGGTAAAGAATTCCTAATCTTAATCCCCAATTAAAACTACTTAGCCTACAGAGGAAATACTTTAAAAGTCACATGCTAAAAAAATGACCCTAGATTAATTAACCTCAATACCAGAAATATAATAAAATAAATCCTAGATAAAGCTCCTGCATCACTGTCCCTGAATGCTTAGACCCACTGGATAACATCTAAAGAAACTATTTGCTTATCCAAAAACATGTTTGACACTTTAAATATTATACTTAGGTTTGTGCAACTGTCTATGATTTGAACTTTGATTATGACATTGAGATTGTGCATGCAGGCTGCTGTAAAGGAGGAAAGGCGTGAAGCTCGACGCATGAAAAAGGAGATGAAGGAGCTCTACCGGTGTGAAGCACAGCGTGCTCAGAAAAATGCTGCTGTAGCAGGCCCATCTTCCATTCATCTTGCATAAGTATGTTGATTATTGATTTTGCTTATTCTGTTAATTGGAATGCTTCAAGTATTTGCATATGTAATGATAATTAATGATAATGACTACTGTGATCATTTTTATTTGTAATGTTATTTGAAGTATAGGCGAAACTCCGATGGGAGATTGCATCAGTCTTAATCTTAATATTTCATTTCTCTGATATGGAAATGTCGAGTCACTTGATGCTAGTGTGGTTTTTGTTTCCTCCTCAGTTCCAATAGGTAATTAGCTGTCAGATCGTTGCTCAAGGCAGCAGGATGTTGTAGGAATATATCTGCGTTGTCTGAAAACCATCAAAGTGGAACCATTTTGACAAGAAAAGGTGCCATATACTTTGTTCATCCTTGGTTGCCTGTGGAGTAAAGCTATTGCAGTTTCTGGTTCATGTATCCGAGACTCCGATCTTTTTGTTACAAAGGTTATTATTTTTAATGTCATACCATGAGTAAATTTGTTTGGGTTTTTGGAACACAATTTTAGATGAACCTGTGATGAGTTACAAAGCCATGGCTACCGTTTTGTTGGAAAACTAGTATAAATTAATCTTCTGTTCTCTCTATCATCAAATATTATAGATCATGGACTGCTTCGGCCTTAATTTACTTAAGCTAGGCAGCTTTAGAACAAAAATGTCTGTGAGTTTTGAAAAGCTTCTAAGCAGGGCAGCAATGGGAATCCATGGATGACTTGTCTTAAGTTGAACGTACAACTGCCAGACCTAAAGTGAGAGTTAAAAAAGAGAAATGAAGAGGCCACAGGCATAAAACCGGATGAGATGGCCGTTTCTATGCTAAACAGTTACTATTATCAATCATCCATGCACTCCTTACAAACAAACCAGGTGGAATGCCTCTACTTATTTAAATGATTTTGAAGTATATTTATAAGCAAGCTATAGCATGATCATCAGCTGAAGCAAAGAAAGAATATTTTCGGTTCCTGAAAAGAGAAACCGAATTTAAACAAGAAGCACAGCATGGGGAATGGGAGCATAATTGCCACCACTGGATCCAGGTGCAGGATCCCAGATGCTGTAGTCTTCTACCATTTCTGGTGGATGAATCTTGGTGTGTTGATCAACTCCTTCCTTCTGATCATCGTTGAATGGGTGGGAGGAAAGGGAGGCTGACGATGATACTTGTGATGGAGGCCATGCCGATGATGATTCTGTTGCTATCATGGGCATCGATGTCATCAAAATCATCACTATCATGCATGAAATAAGCACAACTGACCTTCCATCTAAGGTAGTCATGCTTATCTTGTGCTTCCTAAATTACCTTCTAACCCGTGTCTCAGCTTTATCAATGGGCTTATTTGGTTTTTTCTGGCACGTCTAGTGGCAACTAATATGTATATGGTACTCAATTCGAGCAAATTTGGAGAATAAGGTGGTTTTGCATCGGCTGGAAGTACCAAAATAAAATCCTTCCTTCTTTCACACCTAATGGATGATATAACATGATTCTCGCATGTTTTCCAAAAAGAAAGCAAACTCAGAACTTAGTGTCGTAACTCAAGCAGAAAATAGTTGTTTTGGGATGCCAAAAATGGAGGGTATGAAAAACTCTGTTGAATCTCGATGTAATTTTGAATAAAATGGGGCCCCAACACTTGTTTTCTAACACATTATGTTGGTAGGTAAGTACATGTGCTCCTCACCTTGTATAAACTTTAGGAAATCAATCCAAGGTCAAGGATGTTTGGATGCATGTTCGCATAAAACTTATAATTCCCAGCGTGAATCCCTTGCTTTTAACTGTAAAAACAGAACCTTTATGCTTTATCTCAGCATACAGCGACACAAGATAGCTCAAGAACACCCGTCAAATAGAAACAGAAAATGACTAACAAATTTTAAGATATTGGCACGTCTTGAGAATGATGGTAGGAGGTGCCTTAATGATGCTGACCACGTTGCTGGCATTATGAAAAAATTATCTTGACGTGTGGATAACAACTATCAATAATTGCATGCATAAACTCCAATCATTCCAATCAAAGAGCCCGAGTATAAAACTTGAAGGAAGTTGCTGATTTATCATTATTTGCAGGAACAACTTCTTATATACAATCATTTTAGCCTTTCCCCACCAAATTAAACAGTCAATAATCCACCCTTAAATCTGGCATTAGCTGTGAAAATGGGCCCAATGGCCGAGGAAAAAACGCCGTCCGTTTAGCTAAAACTGTGGAACCATCTTTGGTCATTGCAAGACGCCTTTCAAATGGGCAAGAATTGCGGACCCAGTAGTTAAAAAAACAAGCTTTGGGAGACCATTTTATTGCTTCGGAGCTCTTAGCTCTTGCTGCATTTGACCTTTTTGAGTATTGACAGATTGCTCATTAAACTCGAAGAAAATCATTACTTCTCCGGTTAATCTTTTGTTTAGCACAAAATTTAATTCTTGCAATTTGGTTCTTATTTTTTCAAGAAAACGACAAAAAAGTCGGCCAACAAACAAAAAGAATGAAGCAACCTAATAAACACCTGTCACGAATATGCGAAAACAAAGAAATTCATTTCTACATTTAATGAATTTGTTCAAATCCGAACTCAAGAAGCAATGTTCATTTCAAAATCTGACACAATCCGTTCCAAAAAAAAACCACAATACATCCATAAAGGAAGACTCCGCTTTAAAAGAACTAATAAATGTATCAGAAATTAGAAAGGATACTATACATCATTTCAAACATTTGAACAGTGGAGCGAAAAAAAAGAGAGAAATTCTAGCACACCTACTGGGAGACGGGGATCAAAGATACGGGTGCCACTTAAGACCATTTATTATACAAGATGATGCTCACATAAGACGTTGATGAGATAAATATTTCATACTGAACAATTAGAATAACAGAACGGGATATCCACAAAAGATCTTGAAATGAAAGAGTTACCGATCATTATGAGATTGCAAGGGGAGACACTTGCACTTATCTTTCATTGCTTCAGCCTCACTTACATACTCTTTGAATTTGTACTCATCTTGCTTAAATGCAGGAGGCACCTTCCCCTCACTGTAGCACTGGCTACATAGACTAAAATGAGATTTCATCTCCTTGAAGCGGGACCCAATAATCGGGTAGCGGCAAACTGAGCAAACACATTTTCCATGGCGGTTCCTATCCCCAGTTTCAAGCTTCACTAGAGTTGACATGATACCAAAGCCCCAATCAGGATCATCAAACATCACAAGAAACTCCTTAAATGACACCATTGAAGAATCTTCTTCTCCATGAAGCTCGAGCATTTCACTAGCTCCATGAGAAGGAATATAAATAGCCCTCAGCAATTTGATGTAACGAACAGCATCAGCCTTTTTAATCTGAGAACCAGCTTCATTCACAGGACGCCATAAAAGTGCATCAAAAGCAACCCGTTTTCGCTTTTCAGGATTGCCACTGCAAATTGGGGCAAGAAGCGCATAAAACGTGCCTAAATCCACCCTGCCCGAGCCTGTATCATCCAAAACAGAGAGGATCCTCTCATTTACTGCCTTGACAGCCCCCTGGAAGGTTTCAGGCTTCAGGAAATTAAGCAACCGCCGCAGAATTTCCTCTAAGTTAGGTTTGCGTATTGATTTCTCAGGAACACCACTGCCAGAATAAGACACGGGTACATCATTTTCACCCATTTCCTTCTTCAAAAGCTCCACATCACATCGACTTAACCTGGTAATCCTCTGGAACAACCTGATTTGAAGAGCATTAGCTAAGTCCTGCCTCAATGTAGTTTTGTCATTCACTGTCTTAAATTTTGAAGGTTCTACAATGACAAACACTCCCTCCCCATTGGCACCTCCATTACCCTTCACTTTCTTCTTCTGTATCTGCTTCAAATGAGATATCGCATCATGCAATTCAACCCTATTTGTCAATTTCAATGCTTCCTTCAAAGCTTTCTTAGCTTCCTCAGTCTCCCCAGCTCCCAACAACGAGACAGCCTTATTAAGCTGTGCCCGCCAGTGGTTTGGCCAGACAGCTAAAACCCTGGTATACATCTCAGAAGCTCTCTGAAACCTACCCAGATCCATGTACAGGCCACCTAAATTATACAAAGCATCCACATGGCCAGGTTTCAGATCAATTGCCTTTTGAAACACTTCTATTGCCTTCTCATCCTCACCCATGGCATGTAAAGCAGAAGCTAAATCACAATGTGCATCAGCATAATCTGGTTTCATAAAAATAGCCTCTTCCAAGGCCTTAACAGCAGCCCTATATTCACCTACCCCAAAAAGAGCACTACCCAAAAGTTTCAAAGCTCTAAAATGCGTTGGACAAAGAATAGCAGCTTCTCTATAATATTCGCAAGCACTTAAAACCATACCTTCACCTTCCAGCGCAATCCCGAGATTCACGTAAATCTGAGGAAGCAAATAACTCCATTGATTCCCACCTGCCTCTGCTGCCTCCAACGCCAACAAAAACTCCTCTTTAGCCTCTTTATACCTTCCAAGCACATGCAAACAATTCCCAGCTCTAAAATGTGGCCTAACATCCACAGGCTGCAGTTCACAAGCTCTCTTAAAACTAACCAACGCCTCCTTAAACAACTGATGATCATACAAAACCCTCCCGATTGCCATATGCCCATCAAATGCCTCTTCTCTCGATCTCGCCCCATCGGCTCTGCTCCTCAAAACCCCCAAATCTTTCACGAAAGCTGCGTAATCATTCCCACTCTCTTCCCAAAACACCCTCTTTTCCGAGATCTCTGAAGATGGCCCCAATTCCCTTGACCACCCCGCATCAGAAAACGCATCGAAATTATCAGCTTTAAATTTCCCATCCTTAGCTTGTTTAGATTTCAATCTCTTAATCAAAATCTCCAAATCATCCACAATTTTCCACGTATCATCAAAAACAATCCCGTGATTAGGCGAAACCGCCCACGCAGCCGTCCTCTGCTTCTTCTGCGACTCCATAACCCTCTCATCAACAATTGACGACGACGATGCCTCCGCCTCTATCGAGCTCCCTTTATTATCATCATTCAATTCCAATTCAAGCGCATCAAAATCACGGTCCACGTCACCAGCTCCATCATCATAAGTACGCAACAAACCATCATACGTTAACCCTTTCTCGCCATCAATAAAATCACCGTAAGTGCGGAAAACTTCGTCGAGAATCGCATTGATTTGCTCATCACTGAATTTAACTCTAGGGTTCACAGCCACCACCAAAGCGGCCATTTCATCTCTGTTGAGACCTCCATCACGGTTGGCATCAAATTGTTGGAAAATTCTCTTCACTTTCTCTGATCTAGTCCCTCTCGTCGTCATTTTAGGGGTATGTTTTCAAAGAAGCAGACAAATAGAGAGGATAATGATGCCCGTATAAACTGGATAAATCTTAGGGTTTTGGTGCTGAAGGGTGATAAATATTGTTGGTATTTTTAGGGTTAGGGTTTGATTTGTTGCATTTTTGGAAAGAGGAAAGTTGAGGGAGAAGGAGTGATTATGCAGCAGCAATCTGAATTTAGTTTACTACTTTCTTCTTCCTTTTTTTATTATTATTTTTTTGGCGTTTCTTTCTTTTCTGGCTTTGATGATGAGTGGTGGGGTTCTTATGCCCCTCTCTGAAGAAGTCCTTTTGCATTCTGTGTTTTAATTAATCTCTGGGAACTTCGGTTACTTGGGTGGCAGATGGCTAATCGCCTGATTTTGGAAATAAATAAAGGCGTTGCCAGCTGGCATGAGCACGATGGTTATTTTTTATGATATTAACAAAAAAGCTTCGAGTATTTTTCTACAATAAGATAGTTTTGTTTTTCATATATATATATATATATATATATATATATATATATATATATATATATATATAGTTCATCGTTTACATGTCATTAAAATATTTATATTTTTTAAAATCTTTGGTTTAAAAAACAAAATAATGAAACCTAAGAGAGAAGGCATGGGTTTTTTATGATCTATTTTCTATATTCTTTGTTTTTTTTTTCTTTTGTATTTGTATTTTTTTCTAACTATTTTTTATTTTTTTAATTTCTATTTTACATCATTAGAAATGTTATTTTAATTTAGTGGCAGCAACCACACTATAAATTTTTTTTTTTTTGTATAATTGTGAATGAGAGTTTGTAAGTTATTTTGTTACCCTTGATCGTTTTTTAAAATTTTCTAATATCAAATACATCAATTGATTTTCAAAAACTGTTTTTAGCAAAAATATAAAATTACGGGCGCATTGCATATGAGGTTGATGAACTTTATAGCAAATTCAATAACCCTTTTTTTCTCTTTAACATATTCTCCTACACAAGCAAATGGTAGTTCTCATAAAAAAAAAATTAGTGCATTGATCACATGTACAATTATGTTGGCAAATAAAAAATAAAAAAATAACATCTTTAATAATTAAAAATTATTTTTAAACTATTGTAAATATCTTGAGATAAAAGTCAATTAAACAATACTAAAAAAAATATCGGTGGCTTGCTTGGTTGCTTAATTATGGTAAATATTCAATGGTTACATGACATGTCTAATTATGTGATTTTCATTATAGCATATATCTCCAACTTGCAATAATGGTCTTTGCTTGTACTTGTGAGGACGCTCATGTTCTAATCAGATGTTCATATTTTTTATTTATGCAATTGGACAGCTTCAAATCTTGAGAAATTATTAATTATAAGCTTTGAAAGCATGGATGTTGAATAAGAGAAAGTTTGAGTTTAATAGAAAAAAAATTCGCATCTTGTGATTATTGTTTTGAAAACTCATAGAGATATATTCATGATAAAGAAGACGCATTTTGTTTTCTTAGTTTGAGAAATATATGTTTATACAGAAATATATCCTTAAAGTTAGGAAAATTAATAAAAAAGAATACAAGTATTAAATATGTGACATATTTCTTTTCTTCTTTGATATTTTATTTATTTTTTCTTCTGATTAGGTTAATAATTAAGAAAATCGATGACATGAATACCTGATAAAGCTTAGGTTACATGAACTACACTGCTATTGTAAGTAAAATTAAAACTTATCATGGGAATAAAGATTTAAAGTATCCTATTTTAAAAAAATAAAATAAAAGGTAAGAAAAATCAAGATTCTATGATAGGACAAAATACAAGAAATTTATAGCCTCCTACATTAAATTTCTTCCTCTATGAACTTTCTAGATTACGAAGTGTTTACTTATAAGAAAACACATTAAATGGTGTATGCCAACTGTGCAAATGTGCAATTACGGCAAGTGATTGAACTAGTAAGCTTATCCGTACAAAGAAGTCAATGGAGAATCTGCCTCTATAAACGTATTAAGGAACAGCAGCGTGGTATTAGTCAACTTGTTTTAATTATTTTTCTCTTATTTTCTTGAATTTCTCCTTGGTTGTTTTTAATATAGAACTTGAATTAATATTACTATAGGTGATTTTTTTTTCTTGATTTTTATTTCTTTTGGTTATTTATGAAGAGGGAATTGTTTTAAAGTGTATAAAAAAATTTATTACAAGAATAATTATCATGAAAGTACAAGTAAATTGTAATGTTGTATATGGTGTTTGACAACTATGAAGTGATAGTCCATTGGTCAATAAGTATGGATTTGTAAATTAAATTCAAGATTTGATTTTTTTGAATCAATACTTTTAAGAATTTATTTTCAAAATAATTGAAGTTATGTGTTAGGAAATATTTTTATACATTAAAAGAAGAATTAGTCTCAAAATAGGAGGAAGGGAGATTAGAAACAATTTTACTCTTGAACCTAAAAAAGAATTTTCGTGTTTGACGAAATTAGGATCAATTTGTTGGTGCCTCCAATTTCGTTAAAGAAACACTGTTGATAGTATTAAATGAGCTTTAAGGACGTAGAAAATAAAGTGAATTAATGGATAACAGAGAATGAAATCGTAGGTGTATGGGCCAAAGGTTCAGGGAAGACTAAGAAAATACAACCAGAAACAAGTTTTCCTTTTCCTATTAACTTACCCTTACCTTTTTTTTTTTTTTTTTTTAACTGTCCTTCTTAAAAGTTCTTCTTGTTTTAAGTCTCCCTTCAAACAATAACTACACTCCTTTCCATAATAGCTGCGAGAATATCTTGTTGTGTATTATTCCTTCTACTTTATAAAAAGATTGTTTCCTTTCTTATTTAAATTTAAAATGTTTTTTTATTTAAAAAGTCAAAAGAATTGAGTGTCAAATTTATTACTTTACCTTCTTTAAAAAAGTAAATATAATAAAAAGGTACCGTTAAAAATTATTTTTTTTACTTTTCAAACAGACTAAAAAAATTATTAATTGTTATATCATTTTAATATTTTTGTTGATATTTTTTTATGCTTTAGAAAGATTGATATAGTTACTCTTTCTGGCTTTTAAGATTTTGAAAACATAAAATAGAAAATAAATAATAATTACAAAAAAATTCCTGTATCTCAAAAAAAAATTGTCTTATTTGACCTTTTATGAATTAAAAAAAAATCATTAATTACTATGTCATATCCATATTATTTGTTCACAGTTTTCTAAAATACCATCGCTTCAATTATAAATCTCTTACGAGATGGGTTTTAATAGTAGAAAAAATATACATTTAATATTTTAATTAAAACAAGAGGTTTGGAACAAATAAAAATAATTAACAAGACAGTCTCTTTAGGATGCGTAAAGTATTGAGAAATAAAATAGATGATAGAGCTTCGTATAATTCATTACATTATTGATTTTTTTTTCCTCAATAAGCGTTTGCCTCTATATCTGAAGCATGAGTGAAAAGAAGACCATCGCCTGCAAAGAAAAGATGTGAAATTGAAGGGCAGCCATTTGAGACACGGATGCCGTAGATCTCATCTTCCATCTCCATATTTTTCATTCGTTTAAGCGATTGAATTTCGAATTCACCTTAAACCAACAAAACAATGCATTTGAGATTTAAGTTGACCTTATTTCCTTATTAAGCTGTCTGAGTTCAGTTTTATCATTCTGATTAGGTCAAAATTAAAAAAAATTAAAAAAAAAAAAGTGAAACAACTCTGACAAATTAATCGAAAAAACAAAGTAACAATATTGTGACATAACATGGAATTCTAATTTTTTTTAAAAAAAATAAGAGTTAGCAAAAGAATTTATCTTTTATTGCAGCCCAAAATGCAATTCCTATTCCGGTGCTGAATTTTCCGATTCCGATACAAAGTTGGTTCCTTAGCTTCAGTTTCCCGGCCGTTTACTTATCATATGGCATATGATTAAGGCCGTATTGAAGATTAAGCTTCGCATTTCAAGATCATTAGGACTTGGATAAGGGACCATAAAGTCAGTTGGTGGTGCATGCTAATCTTTATTTTGAATTAGATTGGCCGTTATTCCAGATTTAATTTTGTATATATACGAGTCTTCTTTATTCTTTAGACTAATAATACAGCGATTTTTGAATTCTCTCCGATAAATCGGAATGCTTTTTTTATTATTTTGTAAAATTAAATAGTAGGCTAAATTGTAAAATACTTCTGAAATTGAGGAAAAAACAAATACCCCTGAATTAACAATTATCTTTTTTATTTATTTAACCCTGTAAACAATATAATTTTTTAAACTTGTCCATTGTTTTAGGATTTTATTGAAAAAAAAATGACGGAAAATCCCTTCAAAATCCTTTCAATTCATGTCTTTAATTTTTTTCTCCTACTAGTAAGCATGTTTTTCTAAACTTGTAGAAAAAATTATATGAATTGGATTAATTTTTAATTTAGGGATGTTTATTTTTCACTCAAATTCAGAGCATATTTTATAATTTAGCCTAAATTCTATCCAGAGTTTCTTCTTTTATCGATTTTTTTTTTTTTTTTTAATTTATCCTTAGATACCGATAGTAAGTTTAAGGCTTTCAGCTTTAACTCGTGGTATGTAAATTGGTTTTAACATTTTCCTGGATAGTAACTTTTTGTTAAGATATGATTTTCACTCAAATTCAGAGCATATTTTATAATTTAAGTTGTTTAGTTGTTTTATAGAGCAGACTGGTTTGGTTTCACTGATACTAAGTTAACAAATGTTTTCATCTAGCCAGTAAACTTGCAGCTCTATTGGGCATGTCTTCTTGTAAGGATTATATCTTGCTCTGAAGATGGCCTCGAAGTTAATTTGAATCTTTCCTTAGTAAAAAAAAAAAAAAAAGAAGCTTTTTTTTTTTCAGCAGTTAGATGTCTTTGTACACTTCATGACTAATTCCTTCTTAGGCGTGGGTAAGAGACACTCCTAATATAAAATTGTGTTGAAAAACATAAATAACAATTATTAAAAACTTACATAGAATTGAATAAATTATTATTTTTTTATTTACTATTGATGAGAATATCGGTTTTTGAAAAAACGTGAATTTAATTTTTATATATTTATTTACAAAAGAATAGATAATATTAAAATAAAAAACTATATTAATTTGGATCATTGAGTGGTTAAGCCAATAAATAATTTTAATCATTTAATTTAAAATATTCAAAAATAAATAAATAAATAGTAAATGCTTAGTGTAGTAGTAGTTGCACAGCTTAATTTCTAAAAAAAATAATTCAATATTTTTTTATACGTCATAACTATACTAAGTGAGTTCGTAGTTTTCAGTCTAAAACAAAAAAATATTATAAAAAAAGTTAAATTGCAAGGAATCTATTGACTAAATTTGAAGTTAATAGACAAAAAAAAAATTTATTACAAATTTGATTTCGATTAATCTTGATTATATAAAGAAAAAAAATTAATAAAACATGTGAATTCTTTTTCTTTGTTTTTTCTCCTTCTTAAGTATATAATTTTTTATTTTTTTTTATTTTTGTGCTATTCATGACTAATCCTTGGATACATGCATCATGTGCAGAGCAACCATCTTTTTTTTTTTTTTTTTCACATTTGACTTTTAACTATTAATTAATTAATTAATTTGAGTTTTTTCTATGAAAATTGAGAAAAAATTATTTGAAATATAATTTTAATCTAAAAATGTATTCTAGACAAATTACATATATTAATCATACCACTATAATTTAAAAGTTATCTAAATTTGTTTTTCAAAAGAAAAAACAATCATATTCTAAAAATTTATTCCAAAATTCACATATATAGAAAAATAAATCAAAACTATCAGTAAATAAAATTTTAAATTAATTGGATAGAATTAAAAAAAATAACAAATTAAAGTATTAAATTTTAAATAATAAAAATAATAAACAAAAAACACTAAACAAAATGGGACCAAATCATAATATAATCAAAGTTTGAAATTGAAAAAAAAAAATTTTTTTAAATGACAAATTAGTGTAGTAAATTTTAAATAATATAAAAAACGAGAGAAAAATTATTTGAAATACACTTTTAATCTTGTATTTCAGACAAATTATATATATTGATCATGCCACTATAATTTTAAAATTATCTAAATCTATTTTTCAAAAAAAATAATCATGTTTTAAAAATTTATTTCAAAATCCATACATATAGAAAAATAAATAAAAAATGTATGTAAATATAATTTTAAATTGATTGGATGACAATTTTTTTAAAAATAAATTAAAGTAGTAAATTTTAAATAATAAAAATAATTAACAAAAAGTACTAAAACAAAATAGGATCAAATCATAATATAATTAAAGTCTAAAATTGAAAAAAATTTAAAAAATGATAAATTAAAGTAGCAAATTTTAAATAATAAAAATAATTAACAAATTAAATTTGAAATTGAAAAAAATAGGAGGATTTAAAAATGATAAATTAAAATAATAGATTTTAAATAATAAAAATATAATTAATAAAAAACACTAAAATAAAATGGGATCAAATCACAATACAATTAAAGTTTGAATTGAAAGAAAAAGTATAGAAAAATTGAGGACCAAAGCGTTACGTAATGATATGAATAGTGATTTGAAAGTGTGTGAATAATATTTCAAATGGTGAACAAATAATAAATGATGTTTTTACTTTAGTTTTATTAATAATGACTAAATCAATAAGATAATTAAAAATAATAAAAATTTAAATTCTAAAAAATACATAAATAAGAAACTAGGTTGAAATTTAGAGTTTATTTATTATAAATTTCAAATAACATATATTCTTAAACCGTGATTATTGTATCTTTAAAAAAATCATCTATAATTTTTTTTTATCATTTTCTTAATTCAATTTCGTGAAAAAAAGATATATAAATTGACTCCTATATATTTTCAAAACTTGGTGTTATTATGTCGTTATTATATTTTTGTTGCCATGGGGATAAAAAATAAAAAAAAAATTATTTTTTATTTTTTTATTTTTTATTCTTATAATACTTTCTACGCAATTGAAGATAAATTTTTATTAAGATTATTTGATTTTATACTTTTGAATATTGTGGTGTTTTGATTTTTTTTACAAAATCGATAAATATGATTAAAGAATATTTTATATTTGAATGATATATAAAATATAGTAATTATAATTTTGTTATAAAAATCAAGTGATAAATCCAATGAAACTTCGAATTCAACCTTAATACCTTAGGATTCGAATCCAATTTCACATTTTGAAAACCAATTCAAATTTATAAAATTCAATCCGATATAATTCAACAAAAAAATCAGATTCGGATCTAATACGATCCGATCCGATTTGCTCGATAGCACTAAATTTCTTTCTAAGACAATTATTCAAATACTTTGAAATTATATTTTTCAAACAAAGTAAAAATTCCTTTGGATTAAAATCCAAGCACCGAAATTGCAATAATCTCAAACACACGATACACATCCTAGGTTGGGTTGGATAACTCTTTAAATATGCAACTTTCCCTTTTATCAAGCCCTAAATGCAATTCCAATACTCCTATTACGATTCCAATACAGAGTTGGTTATTAACTTTCTTTTGCTATATATGGATTCATTGGCGTCTACTCATCAGAAGAAGTGATCTCATGCATGCTTACACACTATTAGGGTTATTTTTATATAATTATTTTACATAATTTATTTATTAAAAAAATATAAACTATTAGAGGGATGTTTCATATATTAAATAAGGAAATTTCGATAATAATTTTTATAAATCCAATAGTTGATATTTTCTGATAAGTAGATTTTACTAAACAATTACATTAGAACAACACCATTGAAGATTGAGCTTTCTATTTATTGCCGAGAAACTTGTCGAGGTAACATTACATTAGAAGCCGAATTTCGCTATCAAAAGAAATGTGGAATCAATTGGAGAAGTACATACCTCCTTAGCAATTTTTTATTTATGTTTTTTTTTTTTTTTTGCGTTTCCAGTCCACTCTATTTTATGTGCTCAATTTGTTAGTTGTTTTCATCAAATTTGTTTGCTACGTGGATTTTTGCAGTTTTATTTTAAAAATACTTGTCTTCTCTTTTAATTTTTTGAATTTAAAAAAAATACTTAAATTTTTAAATATACACCTAAAATTTTTAACATACACACATGCTTGCGCGCACACATTTATTTTATGCATTAAAGATTTAAGTTTAAATATCATTTTTTTAGCTCTATCGGTGTTGTTAAATGGCTGATAAGAAAAACGGAAAAGTGATAGATAATTTACAGAGAAACGTTCAAGAAGTTGCCTTAATTTTGGCTTTATTTTTATTTTTATTTGCCCCTTTTCTTACAGTACCATTAGCCTTTTTCTTACGGGCTTACAAATTTAATAAATCTAGCCTTTTTCTTACGGGCTTACAAATTTAATAAATCTAAAGCAACGGCCCAAAAATCTCCCGATGGCCAGAAAAAAAAAAGAAAAGAAAACGGGGAAACAGCAAGGGTACAATGTTAAACTTGTGAAGCAGAAGGTGGCAAGAGGGGTCTGGTTCGCCGCCTAAAAAGATTTCCCTCCAAGTTCGAAACATTTCCATCTCTCTTTTTGCCCATCTGATGAGCTATGAAACGACACCGTTATAAACATGACAACGCCAGTCTTCGTCCGTACAGAAGCAAACCGTTTCGCATCCTTGCTGCAAATATGCTGCCTTCAAAGTCCCATATCTTACTCCCTTGTCCGTCCTGTCCATGCCCACATGATAGCTTCTGGTTTCCAGCCATGTGGCCACATCCTCAACCGTCTGATCGATATCTACAGCAAATCCTCAAAATTGAGCTACGCTCGTCACCTGTTCGATGAAATTCTCCAACCAGATATTGTTGCAAGAACAACACTCATTTCTGCGTACTCTGCCGCAGGGAATCTAAGGCTTGCGCGTAAGATATTTGTAGAGACTCCGTTAAGTTTGCGAGACTCTGTTTTTTATAACGCCATGATCACTGCTTATTCGCACAATCATGATGGTAATTCTGCTATCGAACTTTTTTGTGATATGCAAAGGGATAATTTTAGGCCCGATAATTTTACGTTTACGAGTGTTCTTGGTGCATTGGCACTTGTTGCTGAAAAGGAAAAGCACTGCCAGCAGTTGCATTGTGCAGTGGTGAAGTCGGGAACCGGGTTCGTCACTTCGGTATTAAATGCCCTAATTTCATCTTACGTGAAGTGTGCAGCTTCACCATCAGCGCGATCATCGTCCTTGATGGCTGCGGCTAGGAGGTTGTTTGATGAGATGCCTAATAGAGATGAGTTGTCATGGACAACTATAATTACAGGGTATGTGAAGAATGATGATCTTGATGCAGCCAAAGAGTTTCTTAATGGGACTTGTGAGAAATTAGGGGTTGCATGGAATGCTATAATTTCAGGTTATGCTCATCGCGGGTTATATCTAGAAGCGTTTGAGATGTTTAGGAAGATGAATATGTTAAGAATTCAGTTGGATGAGTTTACTTATACAAGCATTATTAGCGTTTGTGCAAATGGTGGGTGCTTTCGGCTTGGAAAGGAAGTGCATTCTTATTTTCTAAAAAATATGGCAAATCCTGCACCGGACATTTCATTGCCCGTGAATAATGCATTGATTACGTTCTACTGGAAATGCGGTAAGGTTGATGTGGCCCAAGAGATATTTAATAAGATGCCAGCGAGGGATCTTGTATCATGGAATGTAATCTTATCAGGGTATGTAAATGTTGGGTGCATGGATGAAGCTAAATGCTTTTTTAATAAGATGCCTGAGAAAAACCTTTTGTCATGGATTATAATGATATCTGGATTAGCACAGAGTGGGTTTGCAGAAGAGGGGTTGAAGCTTTTCAATCAGATGAAATTACAGGGTTTTGAACCATGTGATTATGCATTTGCAGGAGCTATTACATCTTGTTCTGTGCTTGGATCATTAGAGCATGGACGCCAGCTCCACTCTCAACTTGTTAGGTATGGTCATGAATCAAGCCTTTCAGCTGGAAATGCACTGATTACAATGTATGCAAGATGTGGTGTTGTCGATGCTGCACATTGTTTATTCATTAATATGCCTTGTGTGGACGCAGTATCTTGGAATGCCATGATTGCAGCTCTGGGGCAACATGGACAAGGAATTCAAGCAATTGAACTTTTTGAAGAGATGCTGAAGGAAGGCATATTGCCCGATCGGATATCATTTCTTACAGTTATTTCTGCTTGTAGTCATGCGGGTTTAGTTAAAGAAGGGCGCAGATATTTTGATTCAATGTATGGCAATCATGGTATAATCCCAGATGAAGATCATTATGCACGTGTTATTGATTTGTTATGTCGAGCTGGGAAATTCTCAGAAGCAAAGGAGGTGATGGAATCAGTGCCTTTTGAGCCTGGTGCACCAATTTGGGAGGCACTTTTAGCTGGTTGCCGGATTCATGGGAACATAGATTTGGGGATTGAAGCTGCAGAGCGACTCTTTGAGCTCAAACCTCAACATGATGGAACCTATGTACTGTTGTCAAATATGTATGCTGTCGCTGGCCGGTGGGATGACATGGCCAAGGTGCGGAAACTAATGAGGGACCGTGGGGTGAAGAAGGAGCCTGGGTGTAGTTGGATTCAGGTTGAAAACAAGATCCATGCATTTTTGGTTGGCGATGCTAAGCACCCTGAGGTGCAACAGGTTTACAACTACCTTGATCAACTGGTATTGGAAATGAAAAAGATAGGGTATGTGCCTGACACAAAGTATGTGTTGCATGATACGGAATCTGACCTAAAGGAACATGACTTGTCTACTCACAGTGAGAAGCTTGCGGTTGCTTATGGACTTATGAAACTTCCCCATGGAGCCACAGTCAGGGTTTTTAAGAATCTTAGGATCTGTGGTGATTGCCACAATGCCTTCAAGTTTATGTCAAAAGTTGTGGGAAGAGAAATTGTAGTGAGAGATGGAAAGAGGTTTCATCACTTTAGGGATGGCGGGTGCTCTTGTGGTGATTACTGGTAGGCACAGTTTCTGTTAAAATCTGGCAAGGTTAAAGTTGAAAGCCGAAATGGGTGTGACTAATTAGGAAATTCCATTTGGAGCCTCCGCTATCACGACTGCAACTTCTGATATACATAATTTCTCTCCAAAGGATCATACAACAGTGCAACACTTCCGGGAAGGTTAAAGCTGAAAGCCGAAATGGGTGTGACTGATTAGGAAATTCCATTTGGATCCTCTGCTGTCACGACTGCAACTTCTGATATACATAATTTCTCTCCAAAGGATCATAAAACAGTGCAACACTTACCAAAAGGTTTCTAGCCATTTTTTATATTGACGTAAAAGAAGCTCAAGAAAAAGTATTCTCTCTTGTACTGTCCAATGACTGGATCGATTTCATCTGATGGTTGCTCAATAACCTTAGTTATACTAATTTCTTCAAATTACTAAAAAAAGTCTCTTCTGAAGTAATGCAGTTCAGGATTTCTCTTAGCAGTGTCGTATTTGTTTCTCTTTTTGTTCTCATTCTAAGAAAGCTGTGTTTATGCAGAAAGTGTGACGATTTGTCAAAGAGCAAGTTATTGGATTTTCGTGCCTGAATTATCAAATTGCAAAATGGCTTTCAAGGATTTGAGGTGTCCCAGCCCCCATGACGCAGTTCTTTTGCTTCAGCTATCTCTTGCATGTACTCTTTCTTAACGTACTTTCTGTTGGATTTTAATGAACATCAGGCATCAAAATCAAATTAGGAGGAATTCTAAAGCAAGTTGTTATCTAATCAGAGTTTCCGCCACAGAATTATGATGCTTTCTGATCAAGTTGACAGCAATACGCTATTTCTGTTGAGGCAAGTTGATGCTTCCTGGATGATGGGGATTTGACAGCAGGCAAATTTCAGGGATCAACCGAAGTTCTACCTCTTATCGTCCTTATTTTCAAAATATCCAGGACATGATCGCTGATATATCAAGTGATGACCAATAAGCTTCATGCAATCGTAAATATTTCCTCTATTTAATTGGAATCCAAACAAAATTGCTGGTACAGTGAACAAGTAGCATCATTGAACAGGCGCAAGTGCCTTCTATAGCTTCAGCTGCGCTTCAATCAACCAAATTTCTCGAGAATTTAGAGGCTGACCATCACTAGCATTCGTATCTAGAGAACACATTTGAAATCTTATTTGATGTGGCTCATCATAAATTCTTGTTCCCCAGAGAGCATCTGGTGGAAAACATTGTTCTTTGCCTGCTTAGAATATGAAACATAATACTCCATCTATCCCAAAGAGATTGTCACCTTTTCTGTTAATATCCATCACAAAATATTTATCAGTTCAAAATTTTAAATAATGAATTTTTCTAAAATATATCTAATTGATAAAGAAATTCAATTCTTTTTTCCATGTATTCTTCTTCACTAACAAAAAAATCAATATTCTTTATACTTTTTTCTTATACATACAAATACCTTTAACATAATTTTTTTTTAAAAAAAAATTGTTACATGAAAAAAATTCATTTTTATAAGGAATTTATTGCAAATCGAAATCTTGGGAGTAAAATATTTTTATTATGTTATTTTTCCATAATTGTTTTAAACTTGATTGTTAATTTGTTTAATGATTTTTTTCTTTATTATCTTAATTTTTTCTTTAAATAAATATTGGTTCTATGTAACTGTTAGATTACATTTGATAACCAATAATTTTAACAAAAAATATAAGATTTTTTTGGAACAGATAAAATACTGAATTTGACAATTTTGTTCAGGGAAAACCCTCTCATTCATGCTAGTGCTTCATTTATTCATTCCATATCAGGCATTTACCCGTTTATTAGAAAAACTTGGTGTGCAAAGTAATTTTGCTGATATTGTCTATCCTCTTCACGCAGCATCTATATGTCACATTAACTTCATCAATAACTTAACAAACAGTACTCAAAATCTCTGTCTCTTCTCTGTTATGATTTCTTGTTTTTCCATTTCTTCTTCATTGAAGCTCTTGTTAGCAGTTTGAGCCTCAGTAAAAATATTCTCCATCTATCCGTTTTGCGGGTGCTTCTTCTGATAAAAAAGAAGGCAATATTGTTATCATCAGCATAGTATGGAATGTTCAAAAACCTGTGATGGCTAAAACGTTGAAGCGAAGCGATCAACTCTGACGGGAGAAGGAAGAGAAGTGGTGAGGGAGTGCTTGGGCTGGAGGCAAAAGGGCAAGTTTGGCTGGGGTCGCTATTGGAGTGACAGAATGAACTATGAAATTGGCGTGGCTCAGGTAACCACGATCTTGGGTCCATCTATCCCATCGTTGGCCCAGGCCCAGTTAATAGATTAACCCATAATCCTCTGTCTAACTAAATACATTAGTTTTTTTTTAATTAAAAATTAATTAATTAATTAATCTGACAGCATAGATTTCTTATTTTTACGTGGATAACACAGGCTTGTCAATAGAAGCACCTTCTGGGCGCGAAAATGTTGTATTGTAAATAATATATATATATTTTTACTGTTTTTTGAAAAGAGGATTTAATCTCAATTAATTCACAGACTAATTTGAGAATATTTTTCACCATAGGATAAAAATAAAAAATCTGTAACCCATGCGGTTAACATCTAGAAGTAATGCATTTTCGCTCTGTGAGCACAAAGGAAAACTTTAATGAATAATATTTATTTATTTATGTGAGAGAATGCAAGTAAAAAATGAGAGACTTCGGAAGAACGCGGTTGTCAGAGCAAGAAATGGCACCCTATTTTTACCCGGCGCAAAAATAAGCTTTTACTGGAGTACTTGACAAAACTTCTGTGTGATTAGACACAGTAACGGCGTTAATGCGCGGCAAAATCGTGGAGGCTAAATCGGTAATTAACTACAACTGTTATTTTTAGCGAGAGATGGCGGTCTCTGATAAAATAGAATTCAAGCAAGCCAGGTAGAGAGAGAAAGAGAGAGAGAGCAACGGCTTTGTTGGTTCAAGCTGTTTTTATCTCCTCTTTCCCTCATCTTCTTCTCTTCTTTGAACATTACAGAGAATGCAGAACGGTTTTTAGTCAAATCTTTGATTTTTTTGGAGCTTGATTTTGCATCTCTCTTTCTCTAGCTTCCTAATACGGCAAAAACAATTGATTCTCGCAGATTTTATCATTTCTTCTTCTTGCATTGTATCTAATTGACGCAAAATAGGAAAGGATGAGCACGTCACCGTCAACCGGAGGTGATGACCTCATGTATGGTGAAACTAGCGATCAAGAAGAGAAAATTTTGGTTTCTGTTAGATTGAGACCTTTAAACGAGAGAGAAATTGCAAGGAATGAGGTTTCTGATTGGGAATGCATTAATAATTCCACCATTATATTCAAAAGCAACATGCCTGAGCGCTCCATGTTCCCCACCGCCTACACATTTGGTAAGCTAGGCGCCGATCATTTTTTTTCCTCAAAATTCCTAAAATGCGTTCAAAAAAGGGAAATCTATTTGTTTTTAACGTATAGATTGTGTGTGTAGACAGAGTATTTAGGAGTGATTGCCAAACAAAGCAGGTGTATGAGGAAGGAGCGAAAGAAATTGCTCTTTCGGCCGTTAGTGGCGTTAATTGTGAGTATCATTCTTCATTTTCTTGTTCAAAATCTCCTGATATTCTTTCTAGCACTGAAAAATTGGTGAATTTTTTTCTCTATCTGCAGCAACAATTTTTGCGTATGGGCAGACGAGCAGTGGAAAGACATACACAATGCGTGGAATTACAGAATATGCGCTTGCAGACATATATGAATACACGGAGAAGGTAATTTGAAGGGAAAAAAAAACCAAATTCTTTCTTTTAATATATATAGCTTATGTTTGAAGCTTAACGCGTTCTTAATTTGTGTGGCAATGTATATAATTTATTTATTTATTTTGTATTTGTTAGCACAAAGAGAGAGAGTTTGTGTTAAAATTCTCCGCCATGGAGATTTATAATGAAGCTGTAAGAGACCTGCTTAGCACGGCTATCACTCCGCTGAGACTCCTTGATGATCCCGAGGTGAATATTGTTCTCTACTTAATAATTTCCCTCTTCAGGTCATACATTTTGACAGACATCCTTAATGACAACATTGTTTTCGATTCAACAGAGAGGGACTGTTGTCGAGGGACTCATAGAGGACACTTTGATAGATTGGAAACACCTACAGGAGCTCATTTCCATTTGTGAAGGTGAGGGTACTTATTATTGTTAGCTTTATAGAACGGTACTATGCTGCTACATATGTGTTGGGTTTGTATTTAGCAGGTGAGACTTATCATAGTTCTTTATGTTGGATTATTGCAGCTCAAAGGCAAATAGGGGAGAACACGTTGAATGAAGCCAGCTCCAGATCTCATCAAATTCTAAGACTGGTATGCCCCTTGTTTACTTGATTATATAGTAATTATCCCCACCCTACTGCAAATTTGAGATATAACTGCTGCTTTCTTCTTCTTTTATTATTATTTTTTTCCTTTTGGTTATCAAACGATTGGATCTGCCAGACAGTTGAAAGTTCTGCTCGTGAATATTCAGATGCTGGAAAATCAAGTACTCTTACAGCTACAGTGGTATGAAACTTTTTCTAAGTGTTTGCACGTACAGATTTCATAAAAATTAAGGAGAACTGTTCAGTGTAGTCCTAATCAAAATAGAACAGAAATAATGCAGCAGATCTAGAATTACGAATTAATTGATCTCCCAGCTTAAATTGGTTTTGGTCCAACAGAATTTTGTTGATCTTGCGGGCAGTGAGCGTGCTTCTCAGACATTAGCAGTTGGTACAAGATTAAAAGAAGGATCCCATATAAATCGCAGTTTACTGACTCTCGGAACTGTAATTCGCAAATTGAGGTGAGGGATTTTTTAATTAGTTTTTACTTGCACTATTTTCCTTTGGTTGGGTCCTTGGGTTCTGGCTGACACAGACGTCTTCTCTTCTTCAATACTCTCCTATCATATTTCTTGTACGATTTTTTTCCCTCCTATATCACGGCGTAGCTTATTTTCCTTGCTTGGTGCAGCAAGGGAAGAAATGGACACATTCCTTACAGAGACTCTAAGCTAACACGCATACTGCAAAACTCCTTAGGAGGCAATGCAAGGACCGCCATCATTTGTACATTGAGCCCTTCCCGCAGTCATGTTGAGCAATCAAGAAACACCCTTTTGTTTGCAAGTTGTGCTAAAGAGGTGAGCACTAATGCACAAGTTAATGTGGTGATGTCAGATAAGACACTAGTAAAGCAATTGCAAAAAGAACTGACCAGGCTGGAGACTGAGTTGAAGAGTTCAAGATCAAATTCTTCTGCTGGTGATTCTATTGCCTTGCTGAGAGAGAAAGAGCTTCAGATTGAAAAGGTGAATTATCATGATAGTTGCATATACAGAAAACTGGACTCCTTTTATTTTATTTTTTATTTTTTTGTGCAAAAGATGCTTTGTGCATTTAACATTTAAGGATGATATTCATCATTGCCATACACCTTTGTTGGTGTCCAGAATTTTACTTCCATAATTACTGACTCGGATTCATGATGGAGTCGCAAACTTTAACTAGGCCAATTAGTAATTACACAAACATTAACCTTGAGAGAAGGTCCATAACCTTGAGTCTGGTTAGCCCAAAGTCTGTACTTTTGAGTTTGGTTGACATTTCTTGTTCTGCTTCCCACAAATTGAGAACTTTGCTCTTTCCCAGAGCTGTTGTTTTGCTTTGGTCAAAACCATTGGAATCTGCAATGAAAGGGTTGGATTACATTTTCCTTCAAAAAGACCTGCAATGCCAAGTTATGCTCACATTTCTTTCTCTTTAATAAAAATATTGCAGATGCAACAGGAAATTAAAAAATTAACTTGGCAACGAGATCGTGCTCAATCTCATCTTCAGAGTTTGCTAAAATCAGTAGGAATCAAAGATCAAATTTTCAGAATGGATGGCCACTCAGCACCAGAATCCTCAGAAATGATCAATGCTCTTCGCCTGGAGGGAACCAAATTTTTTAAGGATTATGATGATCCCAGTGCTGTTTCTCCTAAAAAGCAAACAATACAGATTCCTGAAGATCCTGAAGACAATTTTCTGTTGGATGGCAGTACTCCAAAATTTTCTGGGCAAGGTTGGGAGGACATTGGCAATAGAAACAGTGAGGATGTTAAAGATATTTGCGAGCAAATTCAAGGTACTGTAATGGTAGAATCTAGGATGAACGTGAAGAAAGAAGCTGATGTAGTGTTGCCTGCTTTAGAAGAAGAAAAGTTAGTCGCGAATGAAGAAGATGAAGCGCCATCCTCACAGGAGGAATATGAAGAGTTGATTCATATCAATTCGAATAAAAGGCATGATGCCGTGAAACAAAAAATTCAGGAACTGCATAAGACCATTACTCATTTAGAACGATCTCCTTCATTCTCTGAAGCAGGTGAATCTAGCTCTAAAAGCTTGAAATGGACTAGAAGCAAAAGTAAAAGATCAGTTCTCATGACTATTCCATATGCTCTTTGGTCTGAGAAGGAAGAAGATATTGGGAGTGTATCTCCTGCATCTGAAAAAGACTTTCATGAAAGTCCAGAAGACTTAGAGCATAAGCTTCCTGAACTAGAGCATGATGTCAAACTTGAAAATAAGCCTCAAGAAGATTCTCAAAATTCTCTTTATGGTGCATCGGCAGAAGAAGATATCATAAAAGATATAGATGTAGATGTAGAGGATACAGCTAGCGTCCTTGATTTTGTTGCTGGAGTTAATAAAATGGCGGCCAGTCTTCGTGCAGAGCACCAAAGTCGGGATATACGGGTAAGAACCTTTCCTCTCTCTCTCTCTCTCTCTCTCTCTCTCTATCTATGTTCTTATGTTACTCTTCCTTGCCAGTCAATAGTTTTATGTTTTATCTAGAAAAAATTTATCTTAGGCTCTTCTTTTGACATATAGCTCAAATCTTCGAGTTTCATTCATATAAAATTTACATGATGAGGAGATTATGGATTTGATAAACATTTTGTATTACCAACAATAGCATAATGCTCAAGGTTCTTGTCTGGCCACACTATTAAGAATACGCAAGATATAGCATCATTTCTGGTTTATATATCATATAATAGAAAACAAATACTAGTGTTTTAGGGGATATTCATATGCATTTGCCACATAAACTATGGCAGAGATGCTTTCAAATATGTGCTTTAAGAATTATGATTCTGTTGAGCTGTTTTCCATCAACTCGTGTTTCCTTCAAGGCTTTGCAATTTCTCATGATGCAATTTCAAAATGATATTCGTCATAGTTTTTGTTAGACACGAAGCTGCATGGCAGCCCAAGGATGCCCATTTTCTGTTCGAAAAATAGTAGGATTGATGTTCAGTCAATCAACTTCTTATATAACGCTCGCACATTAGATTCTATTATACTTGTACTGTGGAAAAATAGGAATTTGAAGGGCTGGAAGGCCTGTCCTAGGTATCAGCAGACCTGCCTGACCGTCCCCTGTGGAGAAGTCCACAACTCTTAAGTGTTTGGTGGAGCTCAGTACCCAAGAAATTGCAAGAGAGACAAGTTTGTTGCAACTCAACCACCTGTTGCAAAAATCTGTACAGAGGCTTCTAGCTTTTCTTTTTCCTTGCATTCATTGATTTGTAACTGATATGAAAAATAAGAATAGAAGTGCGATAAATAACTTAGTTTGGCAACACTTGAGTATAGGCTTGCCTTTCTTTACTACACTTACGTATGGATGTATTTCATTTACCGCGGCATATGATTATTCTCAGATTCCGGCGTCCTCCACTGGGCATCACCACAGTAACTGGCAAGTAAGATATGAGAGGTATCGGAGAAAGATAATTGAACTTTGGTTCAGATGCAATGTACCATTGGTCCACAGAAGTTACTTCTTCCTGCTATTCAAAGGCGATCCTTCAGACAATGTGTACATGGAGGTTGAGCTCAGAAGATTGTATTTTCTGAAGGACACATTTTCTCGTGGAAATAATACAATAATTGATGGCAAAATCGCCTCACCAGCCGCAAGGTAGTCTTCTATTCCAGCTTGATTTTTTTCACGAGAAAAAAATGATCAATTTCCTTTTGATTGGTCAATGTTTACTTACTGAAAGAAGTTAGATTTTGAAATTATTGGTTTTTTTCCTCTGTTGACGAGAAAACTGACATCCCTTATCTGGTGAGGATAGCTTGAAGGCACTTAATCGTGAGAGGGACATGTTAGCAAAACAATTGCAGAAGAAGTACACAAAAACAGAGAGAGAGCGCCTTTACCAGAAGTGGGGCATCTCGTTAGACACAAAGCAGAGGAGCCTTCAGCTAGCACGCCGTTTATGGTCAGACATAAAGGACGTGAGACATATAAGGGACAGTGCTGCTCTTGTTGCAAAGCTGGCCGGGCTTGTAGAACCACGCAACGCCCCCAAGGAGATGTTTGGACTGAGTTTCTCAACGAGTCAGAGACCCAGTTGGAGAGACAACATGTCTTCACTATTGTAAGCTTGTTGGCGGTGTTCTTTGCTCACTTACTGTTTGGTAAGGACTTGATGGTCTGCGTGCATGGTTTAACTTACTCTGTTGAAGGAAGCTTCTGTTGCGCGGAAATTGAAAAAGCTTGTGAGCTTATCACAGCAGTTAAACGTTTTGTCATTAGTAGTCTGCTTCTCAAAGCTTTGTTCATACATCTATCAAATTATACCGGTGGTTTGTGGCTTATCAAACACGGTGCTTGTTTACATAGCATAGACAACAAGTTTGTTACCGTTACAAAGACCTGCACCAGGAAAAGATGGATAAAGGGAAGCCTTTGGAAATGTACCGGCAGGCTTTGTGGGGTGGGTGGCATCTTTGCGTCTCACAAAAGTGTATAAGCAAATTTATGAAACGGAAACAAGCTCTATATGCCTCTGTGTACCTGTACTGTTTTTCCATCAGATTCATTCTTTGATTGTGTATAGGCAAATTTTCCCATGTTGCAGAAACGGTAACAAGCTTCAATAAATCCCTAGGATGCATTGATTGGTCTCCAGCTAACAACTGAGCAGAAGAAAGGAAGATTCATGTGCTAACCATGACTTTTATGAATTTGTTGCTGCACAATTTGATGATCCAGCCACAAAAACACATTTGAACTAGCCCATAATAAAAGCTGCGCAAAATGCCTTAAAGGACATTATCAAAAACTATAAACAAAGTCAGAGAAAGGATTTACACTGGAGCCATGTCATGTTTTACATCATAATTGCTCCTTCAGTTATTTTCCATCCTGAATTGAAGCGTGATAACTCATATCTTGTCGTGTAAGTTTTGACATTTGAGGCATTGTTCTCTGGATGGACATCATCAGTCAAGCGAGTTGACTCTTTGAGAGTTGCTTCTACTACAGCATGTAGTCCATCTAGAGATACAGTCACACTGTCAATAGTCAGGTCCAGCAGCGTATATTCATATGCCCAACCAAGTTGTGCAATTTCAGCAGCACGATCTGTCCATATTTTCAACATCTGGCTATCCAAAACCTGGAAGTTGTTTTAGAGTCAGAAAAAAGTACTGAGCTAGTGTGGTCAAGCAAAAGTTCTACTAAAAGGCATAGAAGTGATGTATTTTGTTACCTCTGACAATTTTGCCAGACAGCGATCAGGTCCAAAAGCCTGAGATTTAATGTTTTGCCACTTGCGAACTATATTCTCAGCAAACTTTGCATCCATTCTGGGTAGTTCCTCAGCAATTTTTTCATCTAATGTTGACTCTGCACAGTTGAATTTCCATTAGAAGCAAAAACATAAGTCTCTTGCTAGAAGTATACATGGGGAATGAAGTTGCTTCAAGTAATTTGGTCATGTATAACATGGACCTGTAGATGCATTAGTGCAGAAGAATGACCATCTTTAACTTTTAGGTGGTGAAGCAAAAAACGACAGTGGCTATAAAAAGAAATAATCACAGAAATAATTATGATGAATAAAGGACACAAGTTTTGATTCCTCTGTTGTCCGCATAAAAAAATAATTTAGTTTCACTTGATTTTGTCTGGTTGAGTTAACTGTTAAAAGTATAATAAAATCATACCAACATTGGAGATGCCTGATGCCTTTGCTGAACCAATTTCTTTCTGCCGAATGAAGGAGCTAGTCCTAGCAGGAAAAAACTTCAAGCCAACTACAGTCAGCAGTCCAATAGCCACACCAGCACACATGATTTTCATACTGGCCTCTTTTATTTTTTCAGTAATTGATTCTTCTTCAGGTACTTCATCAGAAAATAATTCTTCAGGATTTTCTAGACCAAGACTTTCAACGGGCTTTTCCATTTCTACAGCAGGAAGAACATAGTTGATCCCATCATTTTCATGGAATTCTGCACCCGTGTCCTTGTTGCCAAGAGGAAACACCTTCTGCAATGCCTGAATTGCACTAGCCTTCACATGATCAATAACAGCAGTAGCCTCAGCACCAATTCCCACTATGGCTGCTGCCGCAGCCAAGGGTGAATGACCACCTCTCTCCTGCCTTTCTAAGTATCTCAAGACAGTGGGATCATCATAATAATCTCCAAGCTTGAATTCTATATCTTCAGTGTCCCTAAATCTAGGAAACACCACCTCCATCAACCATGTCTCCAACAATTTACAAAGCCCAGGAAGATCATTGTCATCATCATCCTTCGAATTTTCCATGATAAAATCAAAAATAGGTGGATTTCTGTAAGGAGAGTTATCACTGTCTAAACCCAACCATTTACGACACTCATCAAGCTCACCTACAAGCAGTGAACAAAGACCCCTCTCCAAAGCAAAGTCACTCTCACGGTTTTCTACGGAACTAAAGACAGGAACAAGACTCCCTTGATTTGTTACCTTAATCTGCTGAAGTTGTCCGAATAGGTTATCAGCATCTGGGATGAGATGAGGCTTTTTACCCACAAAAGCTTGGGCAACAAGGGCAAGTGCCACTCCATAAACTTCAAAATTTTGTGCAGGGATATTACTTGGTGTGGTGACGAACAAATCAACCTTTTATGAGGAGAAAATTTTAAATAAGAATTAGGCAAGCATAATTAGGCAGAGTCACTTTTCATAACAATCATCTTTGTCCTACCTGCTCAGCTGCAGTCATACGTAAGAAGGCCTCATTCATGAAATCTTCCCTGGTAAATCCTCCAGCAACAGGTGCTGCCCCCCTCCTCCCACAGCCCATAATGTGTTCCGCACTCCTTGGAGACCCTCCTCCCTTCTTGTTCGATATTCATCGCTGAGGGGCAAGGCAAGAAGTTCTAGGACAGATCGAGGGGTAATCTCTTCCAATGTCTCATCAATCTGTGATTGTAAATCAGGTGCAAGGCTACTGGCACCTTCCTCCTACATTCACAATCAGTATTTTATCAAGAGGCCAATCAGGTAGCACACATGTGCTGATAAAAAAACTGTTGCTAACATTATTATTTCTACAATCAAATAAACCCATCCTTTCTTCCAATAAATTCATTGTATTGAGATCTATATGCACAAGTTCAGGCAATAGAAACTCATACGCATGATTTAACTCTGCTTCTCAATAATTTCACAAGTCAGTTGCTCTAGCACTTAGCATTGCTTATGCATAAACTTCTCCATTGTCACATTTTTCCTCTGTAAATACTCACTAATGCGACCAATAAAAGAGAAAGAAAACTGTCCTTGAATCATAACTGATTAACAAAACACTAAACAAGAGCAATGTAGTACCTGCAGCAGCTTCAAAGCCCTCTCTAACACCTCACGCCCTCTAATAAAATCCGGTGGATCCAACGCCATAGCATCCCTCGACATATCCACATAAGCAAGCACCATTGCCAGCACCACATCTTGCTTAAACGACTTTGGCAATCTCTCTCTTAACAAACTCTCTCCAATTTGAAGCACCACCTCAGTCTCCCCTGCTTCTTGCAACACACTCAAAGCCCCCGGAACCTACAAATCAAAATTTCACTTCACAATCAATTGAAACACAATTACAATTTCACTTTCAGTTTCCACACATTTTCTCAGGACTTCGAATTACCTTGTCCCAGGGAACTTGAGTGATGATGGTATCGGTCTCGTCATCAATAAGGCCTTGATTGTAATCTCTTCTTGATGCAGGATCAGCTAGGGTTTCACAAGCAGCTTGGAGAATTTGTCTGCGGCTAATTAAAGCGTCTTGACTGAAGCCGTATTGTGGTGGTTTAGAAACCCTAGCTTCATAAGCTCTCTTTATTCCATCTCCAAGGAAATGTGTTTCAGCTCCTAAAACCTTAAAAAAAAATGAAGTAATTTTTGTCAATTGAGGCCAAAATGGAGAACATAGAGAGAATTGAATTGAATAATGTAATTACCTGATAGAAGTGGAGAGGGATGGAGACGTGGCGTTCGGGAGGGGAGAGAGGGGGAGCAGGAGCGAGAGTGGCGGTGGAAGAGGAGAGGGAGTGGTGGAGGAGGTCAGAGGAGGAGTCGGTGGTGGTGAAGAATTGAAAATCGCCGAGAAGCCGATCGGCCCATTTACTGGCGGAGCAGGTGATTGTGGTGGAGGTTACTTTTGAGGGTTTTTTTAACGGAGGAACTAGTTTTTGAGTGCAAAGGCCGATGCCTACATGTCCCAAGGCTTCCATTGCAAATCCTTTGTTTAGCGTGCTTAAACCCTCCCGTCTTCCGGAGGTTTCAGCCTCTTCTCTTTCTTCACTAGCTAGTCATTACTCTTTCTGTTCTTTTTTTTTTCCTTTCTTTTCGACAAGGATAAAAAAAATGGTTATATCATTAGATTTATTTTTTGAGAACAAAATATTACATCGGGAGGAGAGCTGGGATAGCCCAAAAAATAAAAGGAAAAAACCTTTGTTCAATTGTGAATTGAGTTCGAAAAAAATATATCATTTACACACATAATGTTTCGTCAAGTTTTCAATTTGATGTTTCTTTGTGTGTTTGTCAATTTTTTTATAATTTTTTTTTCAGAAAAAAAATCTTTTTATTGCATAATCTATGCATATTAAATTAAAAAAAAATAACAAACGTTAATAAAATGACCAAATTGAGAAGTATGCAAAAAATTAGGAATGTAGTCTTTTTGGAACTAAATTAAGAAACAAAGAAATTATAAAATGAAAAATACAATTGCCATTTTGTGTTTAAAGACCCAATAAGTCTTCTTGAAGCTCAATTAAAAAAACAAAGAAATTATAAGAAGAAAAATATTATCGTCATTTTGTGTTTAAAAATGTAATAAACCATTGTGTGAAAAAAGAAAAAATAGAATTAATCACAAGAATTCAAACAAAAGTAAATGCACCGTTTGATATTGAGGTTTGATATTTTACTGTAAAAGCGAGGAAGTTTTTCAATAATCCGTTGTAGTCTAGTTGGTCAGGATATTCGGCTCTCACCCGAAAGACCCGGGTTCAAGTCCCGGCAACGGAATTTTTCGGTTTTATACATTTGCCCTTTGTGGATATGGGCATGTAGAAAATTAGTTTTTTGCAGGTGCCCGGCCCAATTGGGTCCATTAAAATTCATCTCAGCTGGTTTCTTAATCGACTGAAGGCAGAAGGCCCGTCGAGGACCCTCTTAACTTTTTAATAGCTTGGAAACATTTTTTCTTTGTCATTTTCCGTTACTTTTTTTTTTCCCGGTCTCTAATGGTTTCATCCTGAATCTCTACATATGTGATATTGTATTATCATCTTATGAAAATATTTGAAACCTAAAAATCAACAAAAATATTTGCCATGAGATTTGATTAGCTATAATTATAAAACATTTTTAAATTTTGAAGGTTAAATGGAATGTCGATAAATCTATTTGAAGTGAAAATATTTCGTGTAGATCATTTTAATTTGTATAGATTTATTTCACAACTCCTAAGCAGTCCTCATGAATGAAAACAAAGGCTTTAATGTTGAGAAACCATGCAAGTTTAAAGCATATAAATATTTCATGAATAAATATTATAGTTTTGCACCTAAAAGTATAACCCAAAGGGTGAAAATTATTTTGTGTCCTCGTTTTATCGATTTTTTATCATATTAATTTCTCTATTTAATCCCGAACAATCTTTGTGTTAAGAAAATTAGAACACTCTAGATTTTTTTGTTATCTAGTTTCATTAAATTGATTGATCAATATTTATCCAATTACACAAGGATACGTGTCAAGTAATACATAAAAATAATCATTTTAGAATAACTAAAAATAATTAAATAATTTTTTAAAATAATAATACAATATGATATAATTAAAATTTGTTTTTTAAATTATAATTTTTAAACAATAATTAATTGTTTTTAATATTTAAAATCTAATTATTTTCAATCGTGAGTTGATACATCCGAACGTATATATTAGGTAGTTGACGAATTTTGATCAATCTAATAGAATTAGTAAGGAAAAAAATTAACATGTTGTAAAATTTTAAATATAGAGTTTAATTTATATTAGAAACTAGATAAAAAGATTTAAATAACAAAAATTCAATAATATGAGGTGACGAAGTGACTTTCATCAACCACCAAAGTTATTTAGCTTATCTACAAAGAATGTCTTAACCGTGAATCGGGAAAGTTTATCTTCTCCCTTTGATGTCTTGCTCAACGAATTTTCTTTCTTCTTTTAAGAAAACGCAATGTAACAGATGCTACCAGCATTCCGTTGTAGTCTAGTTGGTCAGGATATTCGGCTCTCACCCGAAAGACCCGGGTTCAAGTCCCGGCAACGGAAGTTTTTCTTTTATCCACCACCGCAGTTGTCGGTGTGGGGCCCAATCTTTATGCAGGTGTCCAGCCCAATTGGGTCCATTAAAGATCACTGATTGTATGATAAAATTCATTTTTAGGTTTAGATGCATCAATATCCAACTTTTCAAAAAAAAAAAAAAAACCTTTGATATTTATATTTTAATATTTCTTAATAGCTTCTGTAGTTTTCAAAAAGTTCGAATCCTTACCCTTACTGTTCTTATTTTTTCTTTCATGATTTCCTCTTTGAATATTTTAAAACTTAAAAAATTCAAATAAAAAAGGTTATCCATTAAATTTTATCAGCTACAGTAATAAAACTTTTTCAAAACTACAGGGGTATGAAAATTTTGATCACAGAGCTAAAAACATAGTTTTCTTTTTTCTTTTACATGTAAAAAGTTTAGCCTTGGAGGCATAGCGCATTTTTATCTTCTTCTGATTTGTTGTTAATCGAAAAGTCAAAAAGTGATAAATCTTCCTAATATGGCACAAGCAAAAGATTCCTAAAATACTGAAATGACAAATGGCGTAACACTGGATCGGAGGCAAATCAGGGCTCGATAATGCACAGCAGCAACTTAACATTGCGGCTTGTCACCATGCAACGGAGACGGTCAACATTCCTATGACAAATTAAGCGTACAATCGTTATGTGCTGAAAGAAAAGATCAAGCCAATTAGATAGCTCCAATTTTAGCCCATAAAAAAATATTGATGTCTAGAGTATCACTATTTGAGGTTAGATTATGCTTTCTCCGGTCAATTTTTTCTTTTCTTTTCCTTCCTTTTCAGATGGGATGCAACAAAACCAAGTTCAAAGCATCACTGTTAATGACAAAATTATTACCTTTAATCAACATCCAAACCATGAATTTTATCAACTTGATATTTTTCACTCACAACTAAATCCCTTTTGTTATTCTTTTTGCCAATGGGATGTAGTAATTAATAAATGTTAAGCGTAATTAACATTCATTTATGCAATCTAATTCTTGTACTTCCAATAAATCCATGTTCAGAGTATCATTCTGTTACAGCATAATAATAATTATTATTATTTAAACTTATCATTTATTTACGCAATCTAATTCTTAAACTTCTCCCAACCGGCTACTAGATAGGGCTATGTGGCCCATCCATTTGGCCCGTTTCCCCAACCTTCTTTTTACAAAATAGGCAATACGCCATGTTTTCTGTCTCTGCAAATCACATAATGCCATGTAATCCTACAATTTACCAACTCACCGAAAAAAAACTCACCATTATTCCTGCCAGGGTGGTTCTATCAAACCCCTCGTGATAGGAATCCACAAGCAAATTCATGATCAACCCCATGAGAAGTAGCTAAAAAATAAAATGCGAAAAAGTTCCCTCAGTTAATAACCTTAATTCTTTAAAAAGGCCATGCACCTTTTTGGGAAGAGAGCATGTAAAGGAAAAAGAAACCAAATAGACACCCACACCACACACGGCACAGTAATTACAAACAAACTAGAAAAAGAAAAGATCAAAAAGGCCCAACTTATGGCTTCGTTTCTGTCTTCCACTCTTTCCAGTCAACCTCTCCCTGCACACACGCTCCTCCTCCTCTTCCTCTACTCTCTCCTCCGTCTCCTCCACTAATAACCTAATCAAAGTTTTCCGTTTCCATTTTCTGCTTCCACTGCCAAAACCCATTTTGTTTCTCTATTTTCTAATGTCAACGACAACGGCTATTTTTCTCTTCTTCATTTTTGCTACCGTAATAACTTACTGCCAAAGCGATGTCGTTTCATTGCCCGAGGAGATCCGAGCTTTGACGTCGTTCAAGCTCAATCTCAATGATCCACTAGGAGCATTAGATGGATGGGATGCATCCACGCCGTCAGCTCCCTGTGACTGGCGTGGCATTGTCTGTTACAATAACCGAGTTCATGAACTCCGGCTACCTCGTCTCCAACTCAGTGGCCAACTCACTGACCAACTCTTTAACCTACGCCAGTTGCGTAAGTTAAGTCTCCACTCTAACAACTTCAACGGTTCTATCCCTCCCTCACTATCTCAATGCTCTCTCTTACGCGCCGTTTACTTACAGTACAACTCACTCTCCGGTAACCTTCCGTCCACTATCGTTAACCTCACTAACCTTCAGGTCCTCAACGTTGCTCACAACTTCCTTAACGGAAATATCTCTGGTGATATTTCAAGTTCTCTCCGTTACCTCGATATCTCATCAAATTCATTCTCCGGTGAGATACCGGGTAACTTCTCATCAAAATCTCAGCTTCAACTCATCAATTTATCTTACAATAAATTCTCCGGTGAATTTCCGGCCAGCATTGGTCAACTTCAAAAGCTTGAGTACTTATGGCTTGATTCTAATAAGTTGTACGGGACTTTACCATCAGCAGTTGCAAATTGTTCATCGCTCATTCATTTAAGCATCGAAGATAATTCGCTTAAAGGTTTGGTACCGGCAAGTATAGGCTCACTTCCTAACCTTGAAGTGCTTTCTTTATCGAGGAACGAACTCTCCGGTTCGATTCCGGCGAGTATTTTTTGTGGAGTTTCGCGGAATTTTTCCTCGCTGAGGATTGTGAAGTTTGGATTTAATGCATTCACGGGAATTGATACGCCGTCAAATGGAGGTTGTTTTGGTACTTTGGAGATTTTAGATATTCACGAGAATCAGATTGAAGGCGTGTTTCCGTCTTGGTTGACTGGTTTGACTACGGTTAAAGTTGTTGATTTTTCTAGAAATTTGTTTGCGGGGAGTTTGCCGGGTGGTATTGGTAATCTTTTGAGGTTAGAGGAGTTTAAAGCGGCTAATAATTCATTAACTGGTGATATTCCTAATCAGATTGTAAAATGTACTTCTTTACAAGTTATTGATCTCGAAGGGAATCGGTTTGATGGTCCAATTCCTTTGTTTTTTAGTGAATTAAGGAGGTTGAAGTTGTTATCCTTAGGTGGGAATTTGTTTTCGGGTTCGATTCCGTCGAGTTTTGGAGGTCTTTTTGAGCTTGAAACGCTGAGATTGGAGAATAATAATTTGAGTGGCAATGTGCCTGAGGAGATAATGAAGTTGACGAATTTAAGCACTTTGAGTTTGAGTTTTAATAAGTTTTATGGGGAGGTTCCTTATAATATAGGGGACTTGAAGGGTTTGATAGTTTTGAACCTGAGTGCTTGTGGGTTTTCGGGGAGATTTCCGGCTAGTATTGGGAGCTTGTCGAAGCTTACAACTCTGGATTTGAGTAAGCAGAATTTGTCTGGTGAGTTGCCGCTTGAGATTTTTGGGTTGCCAAGTTTGCAAGTTGTTGCTTTGGAAGAGAATAAGTTATCTGGGGTTGTTCCTGAAGGTTTTAGCAGCTTAGTTAGTCTACAGTATTTGAATCTCACTTCTAATTCCTTCACTGGTGACATTCCAGCAAATTATGGATTTCTTGCTTCATTGCTTGTTCTTTCATTGTCTCGGAATTATATTTCGGGTACGGTCCCATCTGAGCTTGGTAACTGTTCTAGTCTTGAAGTGCTTGAGCTACGTTCTAATCATTTAAGGGGCAGCATTCCAGGTGATATATCTCGCTTGTCTCGTCTAAAGAAGCTTGATTTGGGTGAGAATGCTTTAACTGGTGAAATCCCAGAGGATATGTATAGATGTTCCTCTTTGGTTTCTCTATCGTTGGATGCTAATCACCTTTCAGGTCACATACCAGAGTCATTGTCAAAGTTATCGAACCTCACAGTTTTGAATCTTTCCTCCAACATCTTGAACGGGAGTATTCCTGCAAATCTTTCTCTCATTTCTAGCTTGAGATACTTAAATGTATCAAGGAACAATCTTGATGGAGAGATTCCATTGTTGTTGGGTTCTCGGTTCAATGATCCTTCTGTTTTTGCTATGAATGGGAAATTGTGTGGGAAGCCACTGGATAGAGAATGTAAAAATATTAAGAACAGGAAGAGGAAGAAGCTGTTTCTATTCATTGGCGTGCCTATAGCTGCAACTGTCCTTCTGGCGTTGTGTTGTTGTGCATACATTTACAGTCTTTTACGCTGGCGGAAGAGGCTTAGAGAAGGGGTAACCGGTGAGAAGAAGCGAAGCCCAGCTCGTGCAAGTTCTGGGGCAGACAGAAGTCGTGGAAGCGGAGAAAATGGAGGGCCAAAACTGGTGATGTTCAATAACAAGATAACATATGCAGAGACATTGGAGGCAACTAGACAGTTCGACGAGGAAAATGTGTTAAGCAGGGGAAGATATGGACTTGTATTCAAGGCTTCATACCAAGATGGAATGGTGCTCTCTGTTCGTCGCCTCCCAGATGGAACAATCAGTGAAGGCAACTATCGTAAAGAAGCAGAGTCATTAGGCAAGGTGAAGCATCGAAACCTAACAGTTTTACGTGGCTACTATGCAGGACCACCTGATGTAAGGCTACTTGTCTATGATTACATGCCAAACGGAAACCTAGCCACTCTCCTTCAAGAAGCCTCACACCAAGACGGGCACGTTCTAAACTGGCCAATGCGTCACTTAATTGCTCTTGGCATTGCTCGTGGACTAGCTTTCTTGCATTCACTCTCTATGGTTCATGGTGATGTCAAACCACAAAATGTCCTTTTTGATGCTGATTTTGAAGCACATTTATCTGAATTCGGGCTCGATAAATTAACCATAGCAACACCAGCAGAAGCTTCCTCATCTTCCACCCCAATTGGTTCGCTAGGCTACGTATCACCAGAAGTAGCATTAACAGGACAACCAACAAAAGAAGCTGATGTGTACAGTTTTGGGATTGTGTTGCTAGAAATTCTAACAGGGAGGAAACCAGTTATGTTCACACAAGACGAAGACATTGTCAAATGGGTCAAAAAGCAATTGCAAAGAGGCCAAGTATCAGAATTACTAGAACCCGGATTGCTTGAGTTAGACCCTGAATCATCAGAATGGGAAGAGTTCTTGTTAGGAATCAAAGTTGGTCTTCTTTGCTCAGCACCTGATCCACTTGATAGACCATCAATGGCTGATATTGTTTTCATGCTTGAAGGCTGTAGAGTTGGGCCAGATATTCCGTCCTCAGCCGATCCCACTTCACTGCCTTCTCCAATTTGAAGAAACATTTTATCTTCCCTTTGTATTCTTGATTCGTAGTTAGCATCACTCCAATTTTTTTTTTAAATGTTATTTAATTAGTGTGATGTAATTTAAGTTATCACCCATCAATCCAAGAGGGTATCTTTATTTATTCTTTCACTATTTATTATTCCCCAATTTCCTCCAATTTGCATAACTGTGACCCCACGGCGCCGTTGAAGAAAGTTGGTTCAGGTCCACTCTAATTCCATTTCCATGGTCAAAAACTCGAAATCAATTTCCGTGATTCCATAGAGAAGGACCCGAGACCTGAATTCCCGCCAGAACCCGTTACGACACGTGGCGAGCTATAGGGCTGATTGAAAGTAGCCGTTAATGAGATTGGTAACACCCAGGTGTCTTTATCGGAAACAGAAAACGGAGGGCGTCAGAATCCGTGAAGGTGTCTGTCTGCCAGAGTTTTTAAAAAGGCAGACTTACCTAGCCAGTCAGATTTTTAAGCCGTTGCCACGTTGGATTTTAAAGTTTTGACCAGCACGTGGTCCCCTGACTGACTCCGGTGGTTTAATTCACATATGGTCCTTCAACTTCTTAAATTTAGTCATAAGAAATCCTCTACTCTATATACTGTCGAGCTGAACCTTATACTCTAATTAAACTTGACTTAGATCCTTCAACCCAAAATATTTTCCATTGAAACATCCAGATTAATACCATTTTCAAATGGAATTGAGGAGGATGAGATTGTAAAATTTAAAGTAAGAGATTTGATTTAATTAAATGTGAAAAGTAAAGGGACCTCGCGAGACTCTTAGCTCTAAGTCCTGTCATGTCAATTGCTGTTGAACAATAATATGCTGGCACGAAAATTGTATGATTTTGGCTATTGGGTCCCAACTACTTCCTCCTCAGGTTTTAATTATAGATGTGAAGAAAATGCAGTATGAAATTGCATTATGGCAATGTAGCCGACTAAATAGAGTGGCAGAGAGTCTTGTGACTGGTTTCAGAGTTCAGAGAGAACCCAAACCCCACTATCAATCAATAGGGTCATGACAATCGGAGGACAAAAGCAGCAGTTTTCAACTCCAGGAGGCGTCATTGTCAAAATTTACTTCAGAACTTTTTCGAGAAAATTGTAATATTTCTCTCACCTTGGTCCCCAAATTTTACTGTGTTCCATTCTAAAAATGCCTGCTTTGTCTTTACATTCTGTATCACCATGGCTTGTCAGCAAAGCGAGAATTTTTAATTCGCTTTATTCCATAGCAAAGTTAGCGCAGTGAAAATGGTTCTGACACTTGAAAAGTAGACGTCTCAGGAAAATTCAACTTCATTCTTATTACAGGCATTTCTTTCTTGTGAAATCAGTATGCTTGGCCTGGACAGTCTAGGAACGTGATATTTTTGTTATCAGTGGTAACATTAATTTTCAGGTACGGTTTGAAAAACCCAGAATTACCCAATTTAGATCAGGTAAAAAGTGATTAAAAAATCTGAAAAATAGATTTTCAGATCGATTTGTGTAATACCCATAAAACCCAGAATATTTTTTTTTCATTCCTAAATTTTATCTCATTTCATAGGGAACACCCTTAAGTGGTTTATATTTCATTAAATTGCATCCATATTTCAATTCTATTCTTTAATATCGTTTTTTTTTTTTTTTTTTTTGTCATTGACATAAGAGATTGTGCTTGCATTTTTTTTTAGCATAATTTTAGAACTTTCTTTAGGCCTATTTTTGACGATTTTATAATAACTTTTAGTATTTTACATATTAGATAAAAAAGAATAATGGGTAACTAGTAAAACAAATTTTGGATTATGTGACTATGTGAATGAGTAAACACTCTACATGTATGTAGATGTGAAAAATACGATATTTCTTAATGAAAGTCATCAATTTTAATTTGCACTCATTTTTTACCAATTATATTTTCGAAAAAAATCTGACAAAAAATTCTGTAGGAAATTTTTTTTTCCCTGCAATAGATTTCCTGTCAAAATACTAATTTCGAATGGAATTTTTTTATATTTTCCGACATGGTATTTTATCAAAAAGCCACTGATTTTGTCATATTGAATTTTATGATCCTTATCTTGAATGTATTGTTTCACATGCAAGACAAGGGAACATGAAAGTCAAAGGAGGAGTGAACAGTTTGAGGCAACCCACACCGACAAGAGCTAATGTTCATGGCGTCATCAACGACATTTCATAAGGAATTGGGACTAATTAAACGAGCTCGGTCCCGATCCCCGCCAGAAATTAGATATACTATGATAATATTAAATGTTGTAATTTTGAAAAAAAGAAAAAAAATCAAATGCCACGAAATTTAAAAATATAAAATCAATTAATCCTACTAATCAATAATAATATATTTTAAAGTAAAGATTAATCTAAAACTCAAATGCCATACAATCAAATGCAACGTTGAATATTAAAAGATTGAAATCAAGTGCTTCTATTGAATTAATTTTTAAAATTCATTCGTGAGAACTTCTAAGATATAAAGTTCCAACAAACACAAGATTTTTATTTTTATTTTTTTTACTTTTTAATAATAATAAATATTTTTATGAGTAGCATAATTTAAAAATTTATTCCATTTACCAACTATTAAAACAAATATAGTAACATTCAAATGTCATCTGGCTACTGAAATGAAAAAAAAGTTGCTTTTAATGGGTCATTAACAACATTTTTCTCTCCTTGGCTTGTGACATGACCCATTAAAAAGATAACATGCGATTAAAAAACTATTCTATTCTTACAAAATTATGTTATAGATTTAAAAATATAATCGTCGATGAATAATTTATTAATTATTGAAGCATTTATTTTCATAAATTTTAAATATTTTTGTTATCATGTAATACTTTAACCGTAAAAGAGAAAACATTTGTTTCTATATATCCGTATCTGCATTATTTCATAACAGCACGACAAATTTTCACGAGAGTTGTACTCGACACAATCGGCCATATAATTTATAATTTATTTATTTATTATTATTATTATTATTTTGAAAGATTTTGATTAAACCAAATTTACTCTGACTTCAAGTTTTCAAGGAAGATGTTTCAAAAATTAATATATGTCAAGAATACGCCAAGTATTGATTGGCCCGATTTATGAATCCGATTTGAACCTAACCAGGCAATATTACACGGGTTTGGTGTAGTTTTTCCAACAATTTCAATTCTGATATTCCATTGTTAATTTGTTTATTGATTGAACATAGAAAAATAATTGGAAATGCTCGGCCGATTTGTCATGGCAGCCAAAAAGTGCTAGTGTTAGAATCAAGAGTTGGTGGAATTGAACGGTGCATGTTGTGTTTGTAGGCGTACTTGTTCCAATATTAAAAGAAAAAAAGTAGTTTTAATGAATTTCTTATTTCTAACATGGATAATCAACTTTTAATCAAGACATAGAAATATAATTCCACGGATGTTTTTCAATTCAAACTCAATTAGTTAATTGATTCCTCATCCCATCCCTTTCCAACTAGCAAATGATTTTTATTTTTTTTAGAATAACCACATTTAGAGTTGGAAAAGGATATTTAAAAAAAAAAAATAATCACATTTAGAAGTATCTATATTGATTTTTTTTCCTATTAGAATATTTATAGTCACAAATTTTAATCAATCAAATAACTATGTCACTTTCGTTATAAAAAAGCTGACGTTACATTTAACTTTATATCAAGTGAATCCAAGATAATATTACTTTTATATTTTATATTTTTTTAATGAAATACCTGTGTTTTATCAGCGGGATTAATATTATTATGTGACACAATTATATTTAACTTAAAATTTAAAACCAGGCACCTTTCATTAGTTAAAGCTATTATTATAATTTAATAATTAATTTTTTTTAATATCCTTCCCTTCTCATGCTCTTATTTATCTAAATAAAAATAAATAAAAAATTATACTACCGTTGCTTTTCTTTACTTGCCTTTAATAACATTACCTTTTAGATTCCAAAGCAGTTAGCAGCCCTATCATTATAACCAGTCAATCAGTTCTTAACAAGAACAGACCTATCCCCAGATTCCAAAGCAGTTAGCAGCCCTATCATTATAACCAGTCAATCAGTTCTTAACAAGAACAGACCTATCCCCAAGACGACTGCTACAGTTACTTGAAAAAATGTCGCTTCGCCTTTATTTTCTTTTAAAAAAGTTAATTGTTTATATTTGGATAATTAAATTATAGAAATAAAATAAATTAAACGAAAGCAACCACCATCCATTACTTCAAGCATGCAAGAAAAAACTCTGAATGCGCAGTCCCATCAGATTTCTATAGCCCCAAAGGCCCACCACACCCATCCAACAAGCCCAGTCATTCGTTCTACTTTTCGCCATTGCAAATGTCAACCAGCCCCACCCCACACAATTGACAAATGGACCCTTTATTACATCCCTTTCCTTCTTTTCTGTGTGATTTATGTCGAAAAATACGGAGGATAGAAAGTTTCCTCTTCATGTTTGTGGCAGCCGCTAGATTTTTCACGGGCTGAGGCAACCACGAATGGTTTGATGACATTTTTAAAGTTTCAACTTCCAGAGCTCATGTTCACCTCCACAAGTACAATTACCATTCAATATATAAAGCTGCATACGGTACAATTCTTGTACAAAGTACATTAGATGTACATGTAAACGAAAAGAATGTTTTATTGATCAGATGCTAATATGAATTTGTGATGTATCTATAGAGCCCTAATATATGAATCATATACAAATGATTGAAAAACTGCGGTAATAATTTCTACGCAAGCGCGAGATCTTCTGGGAGATGTTCATTTTCAGGATTAGGTGAAATATACCTCCGGCAAGCATAGAACATAGCTGAATGGAACCCAGTTGGGTTGTCTATGAATACAAAGTGTCCGCCCTGTAATTCAGCCAAAAAAAAAAAAAAAAATCAATCAGCACTAAATCCAATTTTTGGTTACTGAATATTTCGAACTAATTGAGGAAAAGTGAGACCTGTGGAACCCGAATGATTTCACACGGAACCTTCATATGCTGGCGAGCTTCTTGGGCACCTTGATAGTTCATCCAATCTTGAAAGCCATATATGAAAGTGGTTGGCACTTTCCATTCTGACGCACTGCATAAAAAACGCGAGATTATTTAGTAACTTTTTTCGGTGGGACTTCATCTGGTACTTTATACATGTTAAAAGGAGCAAATACAAGCACTACATTTCATGATGTCGGCATCCTGTGCATCATTTATGGTAACTGTGTTCAAGCTCATTCAAGATGACCATGCTAAACCAAAGGATAGATGAGTGCCAGAATAGGGATTTCACAAGGAGCGCTTGCTAATATTCAAAGCTAAGTTTTAGATTTATTCGGGAAAACACATATTTCATTTGCAAAGAGGAAGATGCAGCATTTCTGAATAAAACTTATTGCCACCCTCCAACTCACTCGCTCTTTCTTCTCCACGTGCATGTGTTCCAACATCCTTTTGGTCAACCAAAACCAGACGCATGCCATTCTAAAAAAATTTTATAGTCTCAGCATAATAAACTTCTCTAAGAAGCTCCTCCACACCACCCTACACAAGCAAGCAATCTGATATTCCTTGCAGAAATTTCTAGGCCATTATGTATATACCCCAGCAATCAAACAACCTAATCAACATAACAAATGCTAGCTACAGCATAAAACCCATCTATTCACCTAGGACGACCATAACTCGACAAGATCAACTTTTCAACCACAGACATAGATGCAGCAACAGGTTATAGTTTCACACATCTGAGCAGCAAATATTTGGGCAAAGAGATCCTGTCAACTTTGATTCACGTAAAGAAGGCATTTTGACACACTAGAGGAAAGACATGAGATCAAAATAAGAAAGATTATCAGACCTCTGTAGAAGGGGCATCCGTGCAAATGCTCCAAACGAAAATATATATTTCAAGCACAGCTCTCCACTAGCTTTGGCAGCTAAAGTATGATACACATAATCTGCAGTTAAAAGAGCAGGCATCAGATACCTACAAATGAATGCAGACATGCCCATAGATTATGTCTCACACTACCTGTTAGCAATTTGGACTCGCCCTCAGCCAATACTTCTCCTGTTGAATATGAACCAAATCTAGCAGTTGTGTAGCGACGCACGAGATCAGGGCCAAAAGGACCTATCCCTCTGGATAAAAGGATTAATCAGGAGTGTCAGAAACAAAAAGCCTTCTCTATAGAAGGTACAATTCATATAAAAAAATCCTGTTTTAAGGCATTTATTGAAAATCTTTGTGGTTCTAAGTACCTAAGACATCAAATCAAAACTATTTAATCGACAAACAAACAAAAAAAATGTTGCTCTCACTTCCAGTTTTTGGCAAATGGGCTTACTTGATGATGCCATAGACCAACTATAAGAAGAAGAATACCTTAATGATGTAGGCTATGCATTGACAGAGACAAATGTATGATTATGACATGGCAATCTAAAGGGATTGAGAGGAGACCTACAATTTTATGTTATGAGGAAAAGTTGAAGCACACTTGGACTAGGGGAAAGGACATACTTACCTAATAACCTTCTGAGGAGTAAAATTAGACTCCCACAAATGATTCAAAACAGCTCCTTTCCAAGTTGCCCTGAATTTGGTGAGCCACTCAGATTTGGAATCCGATTCTGATGAAAATCCAGCAGGTCCCACTAAAATCAAATGCTGAACATGCTCGGGATGCTATAACACAGATGTGCAACAATCATCAGAAACAAAGTACGTACCATCATATATTCCTCAAAATATTAACAATCATGGCAAAGCAATCACCTTGAGTGCATATTTAGCCGCAACATACCCTCCAAATGAATGCCCAAGTAATATAAAGTTACTGAGGTTCTTTGCTTTTCTCCATTCCTCAAAGGAGTCAATGAACCACGCCTCAGTTTCTAGATCACCAAACTCAACATAAATTAAATAATGCTGCTCTCATAATTTATCTCATAGAAATAAACAAGTTCAGAAAGCTGTTTTTTTTTTTTTTTGTAAGGCCTTAATGAATTAACCCTCCGTAAAAAATGTAGAACTAGATCTAACCTTCAGTGCTTTTGCACGTAAAGTCAGGTCTACTTGATCCACCCCAACTGTAAACAAAATCAACCCAAAAAAAGAAACACGAAGTTAATACAACATTCATATCTCTCATCAAGCGTAGCAGAAGACAACTAAAATTTATTCCAGAGAGGCACGTCACTGATTTATATGACTATACATTGCTTAGCAAGGAGCCGAAGAGTTTAATAATTGGCGAAAGGTAATTACTATTACTATTAAGCATGCCATTAAACAAATTTGAACCCTTCACATTATATTTCATTCAAATTAAGATTATGTCATTATTGATTAACAGAAATTGTGAAAAATATAGAAGCAAGAGATTGATATTAGTTAAAAGATAATACAAGCTTACTAACCCAAGCTGATCAATAGCAATGATTTTAAAACGACTAGCAAGAGCATCAAAATTCCTGAAGAAGAAACCTTGAGAAGCACCATATCCATGAACCATTACAAGCGTTGGAGAATCCTCTTTACTTTCAAACGTCACCGTATTAATAAACCTAGGCTCATCACTCGTAGATCGAAACCACCGAATTTTCGACCCCGGTGGACCCGAACCAATATTCACTTGCTCTACCACATACGGAGTCCTAAAGTTTCCCAATCACACAACAAAATTAGGGTTTCGCTTCGCTAAATATGGTGAAAGAGAGAAGAAATTAGGGAATTACTTACTTGACAAGAGAGAGAAGCCGTTTTTCGGCTGCGATAATGTGGTTGGTGGAAGTAGGGATCCAACGGAGAATAGAGGGCCATAGAGATCTTGTTTTAGCCCATGATGATGATGATGATGATGTTGCTGTGGAAGCGGAAGCAGAGGATCCTAGCTCTTCGGCCATTGCAGATACTACAGAGCTTGACCCGCGTAAACGAAACAGGTTCATAAATTTATCTGGAAATAATTATACAAATTACAGAACTAAAAATGTTTCAAATTTGTGATTACAAACCTGGAGTTATTTATAGTAACGATGACTGCTTGGTAGATTGTGCACCACGCGATCTTAACGGGGTTTGACTCCGTTGGAAGAAGGCGGAGGCTTGCGGGTCAAAAAGTAACTAGAGATTTCCAAGAAGGTTCGTTGCTGATTCTACGAGTAATTCAAAAATAAAAGATGATTAATCAAGTTAAAGTAACTGAAACAAACCGCGTGAAAAAAAGGGGCCAATCAGATGTCTACACGAACAGTAGGTGGATCTTTCGGAGAATTCTGAATGGCTACTAAGATTTATATTCAGAATCCTTGATAGTATCTGATCACGCTCCTTTGCAATACGCATTCTGTGACTATAAGTGATGGCTGTTAACGGAGTAATTTATTAGTTGCGTTAGCCGTGACGTAATGTAATATGCCGAGTTTTTCTAAACTCGCAGCCAGTCAAAAATACTTTTCCCCCTCATTTTGATGCTAAGGGCACTCCCTCTAGCGGTGTTTTTATTTCTGATATAATAGTGTTTTTTTTCACTCCTCTCTCTCTCTTTCGTTTTGTTTTTCATGTTAATCTAATTAACTGGAGCTTCTGAAATCCTTCTCTCTTTTATCCATTAGGATCGAAATCTCTAGCTTGAGCTAGAGGGACACGATTAAAATCAGAAAAGCCATGCAGTGACTTGGAGATAAGACTCTCTCCTTGTTCAAAAAGAAAGCCTCGCATTACATCCTTATTATTCCCTTTTCATTGTCAGGACTTTTTCTATCGGAGTTGATAATTACTCAAAGCAAACACTGAATTAAAATTACTTGTCAGCTGAAGAATGCAACTCACGATCATGTTGGTTAGGGTAGAATAAAAGGTTAAATCGCTCTAAGCTCTCATTGGTTTCTGGCAAGTGGTAAGCAAATTCTACCTTCAAACGGTGACGGATCCGCACTTGATGAAATGGAAGGGCCAAAACGTACATTTATGGATGAATGGCTGGTAAAATTGGGTTTACATATCATCCTATAGACTGCAAACTACTAAAACCAGCAAAAACAATATTTCAAGGGCACTGTTCATTCCGTTCAGTTTGCACACCTGCCACTAGGGCACCCACTTATACGTGGATGGCAAAGTCAATCCGGTTCTTTCACCAATCTACGAACCTGGCAAAAAGAATCTGGGTATCCTTTCTACAAGAATTTGAAATGAACCATAACATACAATATGATTAATGTAACAATGATAATTTATTAAGGGAAGAACTAATAACTAATTCTAGGCTTTCATCATACAAGCAATGGCACTTAATCTTCATTTGTTAAAAAACCACAACAACCAGACAAGAATACTTTAGTACAAAACACTTAGTTCAACTATCATAGATGAATCACAACAGCCGTATAAACACCACTCTACTCAGCTCTCGATTGACCAGCTCGGGAGGAAAGAATGATGCCAACAATGAGACCATAGAGGGCCAGTGCTTCAGCAAAAATGAGAATGAGGATCATGCCAACAAAGAGCTTTGGCTGTTGGGCATTAGCTCTGCAAAGTACAAGACAACATTATAGTGAAACTTTCCCATGAAAAACTGAAAAATGCCAACTAATCTGGCAAAAAACCATCAAAGAAAACACGACCATCTGTATAGCATGTATCAACCTTGAAAATGGAAGGCTAATCAAGGTACCCAGCTTCAAAAAGACAAAGCACAAAACAAACACAAGAAAAAAGTACAGGTATACAGTATACCACAAAACTTAATTATTTTACCCAACTAAGCAGCGCAGACACTGGAAGTTATCAACACCAAAGGGTGACGATAATTATTATAACCAAATACCTGCTTCCGACTGTACCTCCAAACATCAGGACCCAACAGCAAACTCCAAACATCCACGCTTATATTTCCAAATATCTTCACAAATGCAAACAGACAGAAAGAATAACAACAACAACAACAACAATAATAAACCACTTGTAAAACTCAACCTTATATATTTTGGTGGAACAGAATTCTAAGCATCGTCTAGAAAACTTTAGCTTCGGTTTATTTTAGTGACTGAAATTTATATCTAATTTTTGTTTGGACAGCCGTTCATATATGTCGACATTTGGGATTCCTCCATTCATTAATTTTCATGGTCTCTATTTGTTATGTTCACATAAATTAGTTGTCAGTTCTGTTCACAGGAACTCATAGCTAATTAACATTTGCTTCAACTTCTCTTTGAGAACATTGATTAATTTGAAGTGAAATTAAATCAAAAACTTCATTGAGTACATGCTTAGTTCATGTCAGAATTGAGTCCAAGTTAAACCTCCTCCAGCTCATTCAACTTCTAAGAGTATCAAGAGTGAGTTGAGCCAATCTCAAACACTTGGGGGAGCTTATAACTAAAATCAAACAAGCATTTAGAGCTCCATTCTCAATTGACCCAAGCTTGAGCAACTATTCCAATTCACCAAAATGAGCTCAATCAACCCTTTTTTTTTTTTTAACACACACACCCAAGTTCAAAGCTCCTAGCAGAACTAGGAGTTAAGCCCATGATCTCTAGCTCATTGGTTAATTAAATCAACCTATTGTCAGGTTGCTACAGAACATGAGCGAAACAAAATATTCAGAAGAAAACCATAACGCAACTACAACCAGCATTGCATATCATATAGCAGCTTCAAATACTGCTCCTAAGGTGGAACACAAACAATTCAAGACAGTATGTTTACATTGCATAATTAAATACTAACGCAGCCAAAACATTCTTTGAGGCCTAAATAGACAAGGAAACTCAACCATAAATGCCTCAAAAACCAGCAACACCTACAGTTTAACCAAGGCTATCACAAAAGAACATTTTACTACATAAATTACAAAACCAAGTACCAACCATTAACCAAATTTCTAAGCAGGGCAATCTCTGTCATTCAATCAAATCAAATTTCATATTCAATTAAATCATGTCCAATACTAAGGACTACATTTTTCAATAATCAATCTACAATAACAATATAGGGAATGAAATAGGAATCGAATAGCAAACTTCACATACAAACCAGGCACTTTATCGCTATCGAAATGTTTTTAAAAAATAATAATAATAACAATTGGAATCAGATATCAAGTCAATCTTACCTAACACCAGCATCACCAACGATGCCAATAGCCATACCAGCAGAGAGACCAGCGAGGCCACAAGCCAGACCAGAAGAAAGATGAGCATATCCATCGAACAGATAATAAGATTTTGCCTTAGGGTTAATACCGGTACTGATAATCACGGCAATGATCAGACCGTATATACCCAACACTCCAGCCATAACGACCGGAACTATGGATTTCATCACGAGCTCTGGACGCATCACACCCATTGATGCAACGCCAACTCCACTTTTCGCGGTACCGTACGCAGCTCCCATGCCTGTACATCAACCCAATCAAAACACCAGATCAACGTCATCATCAATGAAAACAGTTAGAATCTCAATATTCATAGATCTAGATCAAAACGGAAATTGAGAATTAGAATCTGGTTCCAAAAAAAATGATGAGATCAAAAGTATTGGATTACAGGAGAAAACGAGGGCAGCAGCAGCGCCTAGGAATCCGAAGAACGGAGCAGTTTCATCGCCGCTGAATGTCGAGGACATTTTGTTTTTGGATTTTGACGAGTTTGAGGGAGGATGATTTAATCTGAGAGCTCTTTTGTTTTTGTTTAGGTTTTTCTAGTAAAGGATTATGGAGAAAGCTTCCCGGCGACACTGCGATAAACAGATTTTTAGAGCCGAGGAAGTTATTGGGTTCTTAAGCCCACCAGGATATAGAAATAGAAAATAAAAAATGGGCCATCGGGCCTAACTTAGGTGGTATAGATTAAAAATTAAAATTAATATGTAAAATTTCAACTTGGATTAAGCAAAATTTTCATTTGTTTTTCTTCAAATCAAGGGATATTTCTGATAAAAAATAATAAAACAAAAATCAAATTGTTAGTCTTTTTATTAAAAAATTTAGAAGAATCTTGAACTTGCTCTGCATGACTTATGCATAGTTATTTGTAACTTTGAGTTATAATAAACAAGTGATTTATAAACTCTATAAGAAAATTTTTTAAATATAAATATGATTGGCAAATATTTGACTCAAAACTAGTTTTCGAAAAATAAATATAATGAATTAGAATCAAGAAGTTAAAAAAAGAAAAGAAAAAAATAAAATTAATTTCGATTAAACCAAAATTTTGATAGAAACTTAGAAACATTTTTTTTCCCTTTAATTCAAGTCAAAGTATTACTAACCAATTTTTTTTTTTTCAAAAATCACACCAAACATATTCCTAGTAGACAGGCTCCATTGATTTAATTTTGAACGGAATAGGCTTGGCCTATTCACTTGCTTGTTCAATTTTCTAGTTCCGCCTTGCTTTCTTAGAGGTCACCAGGTGAAAATGGAACAAAACTCGAGAAAGCTCATGTCCTTGCTGCAAGACAAGAAACGAAACCAATATCCAACCACGGACAATCGAATCAAGTATATGAAGGTCAGGCTTCAGTTCATTTTTTTCTGCAGTTTGGAGTTCAAAAACATTCAGCCACTGACAGTTTAAATGCACCTTGGAAAGAAAAACCATATCACACAACCGAATAGCAATGTTCATAGTAGATGCAAAACGATTCATTTACAACAATAAACTTGTTTATGCTTCATGACCGTAGCCTACTAATAGTCGGAATCCATAATCCAACTATCCCATTACATTATAAAAACAAGCAAAGCCCTTCTCATACTTTCTGTTTTCTTGACAAACAAATCCAAACAGTACAAGATACAAATAACTTACCAAAATGACATTTGACACAGAGGAGCATGTATGAATTTTCGAGTACATCAAAACGACTTATCAATGCATTATTCTTTCATAATACGATGCATCTACAGAAGGATAACATATGATGATGAAAGGCAATTAAGAAAAAACACAATTGAGTCAGTATTCATGAGTAGACGAACAAAATGACAACACAAACAGTGACCAGCCATCACTAAAAGTATATTATTTAAGCTGAAACTTGCCAGGTCGTTTTAGGTCCAAAAAGGAACCACAACATGATCACCCGTCAAATTATTCTGCATTAGAACATTGCTACAGGGAAAAAATCCTGGAGAATTGTCATGCGAAAAACACCTATTCTTTCCATATAGACATCAAAATGAGAAAACAAATGTCAGCAAATTGCATGGAATGTATTTACTGGATGAACACTCAATGTCATTAAGGAACTTTTGTTCTCTCCCTAATTCTGAAATAGATCAGAGATTATCAGAGGAGAAAGCACAACTAAAATTCCAGCCAACTATCGGTAAAATGTGCTTAAGTGCCCAACTGAATAAAGCACAACAGCATATCATGATGGAGACAATCAAAGCTAAAACATTGTCATGTTCCTTCCACTAACCAGGGGCAGAATTTTCTTCATTACTGCTTACAAAAAAACTCAAAGCAAGCACAAATCGCTTTCTGGACATAAACACAGCTTCAGAGTTCCAGCCCACTGATATTTAGCACACAAGACCGCCATGTTGCAGCGCCATCAGGTTACTGAAGTTTATTATGAGAAATTGAATGACTTTTATAAGGAAAGGGCATACCTGGAATTGGCAAGACAACCAAAATATGTTTCCCAACCTGGCAGCAACAGAAAATGCAAGCAGTAAGATAATAGCCAAAAGACAAGCAAGGATTAACTAGACTCATTTTGCTTTGAGGTACATACAACGTAACAAAGTCCACACATTGTGCAACCATTGCAATATAAAAAGATGAACTCCACATATGCTAAGTAAATTGATCATTTAAAAAGACCTCACCATTTTTCAAATGCCGTGTGTACACATACCGCCTTGGACTATTTCATGTATCGACCTGGGAATTAAGGTTATGGAAGTTAAACTCCATGCACATTGATGCTACTTCGATGTCCATCAACAAATGCAAACACACACCCACAGAAAGAGCAATAGATAAAGCAGAGCCCAGAAAGGTTGCCATAAATGCAGAACATGTTCCTTGCATTAAAATTTCGGAGGACAGAAAAATTAGTAACAATTCACTTGAAAAATCAGTGAAGCACTTTAGCACTTCTTGGAGTAAGAGAGAAATATTCTGTATGTTTGTCAATTGTCAGAACTAAAACAATCCTAGACTGTACACAAAGAAAACAAGAAAATGTCAGGAATAAGTAGTGTCTCCTCGATGCCAATCCCTGAATTAAAAAGGTGGGCATCAGCTCTCCACGACTCAGAATCGCAGTTGACTTGATGTACCAATTGCAAAAAGCAATCTGATTCAAAATGTGCTGATGCTCAGGATCCTGATTATCAGAGCTACAGCAATTGTCAAGCTCCTTTGCACTTCTGAGCTGCACTCCAGTACAATCTGAAGACATGTGCAAGAATACTTAGATGTTGAACAATCTTCACTAGGGCCTTCATGATTTCAACAGGAAACTCTCCCCTTTCTGCCATGGCACATTCTAGATCATTAACAGCATATTGGCACACTGAATCAAGCATGTACACAGTTGCCAAGCCATGAACCCCACGGTTACCATCTTATAATGTGGACTCGTGAAGGAACAGAGATGAATGGACTTCCCATAAATGTCGCACAGAAGCATACTCGAAAACAGGCAAGTCAATCCTGGGGACCATCAAGGATCAACAGCTGGCTTCGCTGCCATATAGTTCTCAATCAATTTGTCCACAAAGGCACGGATCTGCATTGTAAAAGCATCCAAAGATCATTAAGTTTCAGAAATATTGAAAACGGAAAATAACACCAAGATCATTGAAAGAAAACATGCTCATGGCAAGACGATACCAACAAGAAAAAGGTTCCAAGAAAATGTAAGAAAGATCAAAAGTAGTTCTCCGTCATACTAATGAAAAGATGGACGATGAAGAACAATAAATAACTGATCCAAATTTTCAAGAAAATGGGGCAGTTTATGACATATAAATGATAATTAGGAACTTTACTGTTGCTGCCAAACTGAAAAACTGAAAAGCAAGCCCCAATGTATTAAAAACTTGGCAAAGGAATGTTTCTTGAGCAAGCAAGGGATCTTCTCAGAAGGAAAAGCAATGGAAATGTCTTCTTTTAAGGAGGAAAGACTTGATGTTACTACTATGCTATTGGAGTAAGCACCTTATTCTTGCGCTTGAAATCAAGAAACTCAGAAACAGCCATGGCTTTTTCTGCATCTGTAGCCTTCTCCATGACCTGATGACAATAAACTTATATGTAAGACAGTCACAACATCCTGGATAACCATATCGTACATATTTATAGCCCAAGAGTAATTAATTTGAAACAAAGTATAGAGGAAAAGCTGAAGGAAAATTCACAAACCTTAGTTGAACTTTTCTTCAATATTGATTTGTATCCATCCTTATCAATTTTCCTTGCCTTATAAACAGGCATGAGCAATGATGAAACAAAATCAACAACTGCCTGTTTAATACGATCAGCCCCTCGAGAATGATGTCTTGATGGTTCCTTGTTTACAGTAACCTGTGAGATGGAGCTTTCATTTGCTTGTCCATCATGCTTCCAGGTGGGTTGTCTGGAACTTGTGTTTGAATCCTCTTCGTCTTTTACATGCATAGCACGATTGAAATAATCAGAATCAGCTGCTGCTGCTTGACATTGCCATCTCTCAATGGCATGATAGTCCTTTATCCCCGCACTACCAGCAGTATCCACCCATGCTTTTGTAAAAAGGCTACTGTCTACTGCTGCACTTTCTCCAGACTGCTCCCTAAAATTCACATGGCAAGCAATCTCATTTGAATGGCTCCGCTGAGATAGGTTATCACCTGACATTCTGGAACTATCAAAGTTGGCACATGCAGCAGAGAAATCAACAGACCAGTCCCTGACCCTGCAATTTCTAGAGTCAATTTCTGATATACAGTCTTGTTTTCCCAGAACACCTCCGGACCACTTTCTTCTGAGATCATATTCATCCATTTGTGCATATTGTTCCCGTCTAGCAAATTTGTGAAACGAGGGTATCTTAGGCAGCTGCACTGATGTGCTGCACTTGGCTTCTGATGATGCATATGCCTGCAATGTGCTGCCACTACTTAATATCTTCATAAAGGCAATCATAACAGGATGAGAAAAGAAAGAAGCCACAAAGTAAAGTGAAAGAGCTAGTCTATGTACAATCAAGGTGAAAAACAGCAGTATCCTTGCACATATGAATGTCATTTTTTACTAAGGATTGCACACCATGAACACACACAAATCTACTATCCACATATCAGAGGAAGGGATAAAGAAAAGAAAAAACAAAATGCAGTGGCATTTTCTTCCAACCCATAAAATCATCCAAAACTTTGGGCTGTACATAAGATAAGATTGTTTTGTTAAAATTATAACCACAGAGAGGATGTACGTAAAAATTTCCAAGTTGACAAAGAAACTGATTTATGAAATTTCATGGGAATGAGGAAGCTTTAGAGAGAATCACACTGCATACAGTATAAAAGAAACAAACCTGGGCAGCTGCACGAGCAGCAGCACGAGCTGCCTCCGCTGCAGCTAAGGCAGCCAGTTCTTCCTCAGAGATGGCAACTGTGTTACCCCCTCGACCTCTGTATCCAGTCTGCTTGAGTATTTCAGAGTTTCTGGCTTGCTGCTTGATTTTTTCATGTTTGAGTTTGATGGTGAGGGGCCTCTAGTTGATGCAGTAACCAGCAAATTGCCTCTATTCTCCGAAGCACCATGATGAGTGCGCAATGGCGGCTTTCCTGAGGTTGAATTGTTGAAAGATCTCCTCTTTGAAGAATCCAATGCAGTTGTATGTCTTGATAACTTTACCCCACCATTTGAAGCTTTTTCCCTGCGGAAAACTTCAAGCCACACACTAACCAGCTGACTTGCTATGGCGCGTATATCACGGCTTGTGTGGACACAAACTTTTTCTTTCACTGTTTTCCCTATGCCTGTTCAAACGAATTAAATTTCAACCGTTAAACAATGGTTAAATACTTTCAATTCACGACTTCTAAAATCTGATCACTTCTATAAGCCCCATCAAACATCTGTTATAAGAAAAACACTTCGTATTCAACAAGCAAACATGATCAAGTTGCATGCATGCAAGTCGTTGTATGCAGATCAAAAACAATACCTGACAAGCGCACAGCTAGTAAATCAGTTGAAACAAGAACAAGAAGACGAACGCAATGACGCAAGAGTTGAGTCCCATCCTTCCCCATTGAATCCTGCCATAAATTCAATAGATCCATATGATTAGAATTTTTTCGTCTGCATATGATCATTATTAAATGACACTAGCAGCTTAAGAATTTTGAAATAATTTGTAAAACCCCAATGGTGTAGATTCCTAATAAGGTAGCATGCTGTGAAATGAAATATATACCAGAATCCATGAGTTGAGCACAGTAAGCCCTTTCCTGGTCCCAGCAAAGGACTTCAGAGTTCCAACAGGAAGATTCAACAACTTTTTGGCCAGATGCAAACGTCCTGCAGTGGTTTTTGCACCAAAGAACATGTCTCGTAGTAAAGCTTCCCTAGTTAAAAATCTGGCCCGATCCAGAGAATTTTTATACAATACATTGGACAGTTCAACAGCCTCAAGTCTCCTTGTTATGTCTCTAACTTCATCCCGTTCAACCTCTGAGTGTCTCCGTGCCCCCTCCATTGCCTCTACTTCTGATGTATAATCAGTTCCCATACTCAATATGTCAATTATACGCACTGCCTCCCGGAGCCCACTCATCATAGCTCCACCAACTGTGTCTGGATGCTCCTTGCAGGTGGCTTCACCCGCAAAAAATACACAGTTCTCAACAGGCCTGCCTAATGTATCATAGTCTTCTCCAGATGATCCAATGGCAACATAGGAGTAAGCACCATAGCTGAAAGGATCCCTGCCCCAATCAGTTACCACTGATGCTACTGGATCAGGTACCGAAGCCTCCCCAAATAGTTTACGAAGAACCATTAGGGCATGACTTACATGATCAGATGAGTTCATTCTTTCGCCATCAATAGCTGCCTTGCCAACTACTAGAGCTATAAGCACGGGAGCACCGACAGTTTTCTTGACGTTCCAAAACATAAAACAATGACCCCTCCGATCAGTTTCCTCAGCAGTCGCACCAAAGTAATCCACAGAATCATCCCAGAAAACTTCTGGGAATTCGAGGACCACTTTATTAAGAACTCCAAAACCAAGTCGCTGAATGGATGAACGTTTCCATTGGGGTAATGGAGGGGAAAACTTGATGGTTTCTGCTTTCAGGCACCCAAGAGGCACAGTAATCAACACAGCATCTCCCAAAAACTCGCTACCATTCGAGGTGCAGACTTTAACTTTGCTATGATGACTTTCGCTTGCTCCTGCATCTTTGATGCCATATGAAATATCTGTGACTACATGGTTCATGTGAATGACAAGTCCTTCCCCCAGCGACTCGACAACATTACTGTAACCCCCTTTAATCATACAATGAGCTCCTCCAAATCCTCCATAAACATCATCCTGATTCCAGTAGGGAAGAGAAACTTCCTTGAGAGAAGCAGCACACCCATACTCCAGATGAGCAAAATGCCAATCCATAACCCTCCTCTCAAGAGGAGTCAGAATCTCCTCTTTAGAACTCCTCTCAGGAGCTTCACCGTCAACCCTACAAGTTTTGGAATCATCTAAAGCATCCACTGCATTTCTTGATTCATTTTCCTCGATATAGTCTCCAGGGTGTGCCATACGATGCGTCTTGAGGGCATAGTTTAAACCATCCTCCAGAGACATTTTCATAGCATGTTGCCCTTTCTGAGCAATAACCAACACCATGTCATCAAGAAGGCTGTTGTACTCTGCTTCCAATTCTTCATCCAGATCTGTGGGAACTTTTTCTCCAGTCACAATATCATAAAGAGGACAATCACTATTTAGCACAGTCAACTCAAGGCCCAACTGCGCACAAATCAATGAGGAAGGGTCTGGTCTTCTTTCACTAGTCACATCAGCCTCAACTCCAGTTATAATACTAGCCCCAAGATCTACAGGGACTGAAAGAGATGAGCGATCTGTATAAACGCGACCCCCTATTCTACTCCGAGCCTCAAGTATAGTGACATAAAAACCCTGACGTTGCAAGTGACGTGCTGAAGTTAAGCCAGCAGGACCAGCTCCGATGACAATTATTTTCTTTCTGTCTTCAGAATCACACAGCAGTTTATGAGTTCCTCCCGTATTGGCAAAAGAGTTAGATTTAACACTTTGCAAGCCATTCCTTAACTCTGGAGTTATGACAGGGACGGTCCTGCTATCCAGCATTGTGCAAGATGGATCAGTACTCAAAGCATCCAAACTGGCCAGTCCATTAGTTAACTTTGTATTGCTAACACTATTTTCCTGAATATCATCAGCTGGCCATTCTTCACATTCCATGATGTTAGGTAAATCCTGTGTCATTGGAGTAGCAAGCTCCTCACTTTTCAAAGCTTTTAATGCCAGGTCTTGATTATCCATTGGAACTCTGTCCTTCGGCTCCAAGGAATTTTCAGAACTTTTAACCTGACCAAGAATAAAGGAGACCCCATCCTCTAAATCAGCTACTGAAGCTCCAGGATTTCCCTCGAAAGTTTTTTCTTCAACAAGTTTATAATTGTGATTGGCACTAGGTTCTGCTCTCTCTTTCTCAGAAGCAATTCCAGCATTTATATAGCCCTGTCAACATATCATGGGCATTTAGAAGCCAGACATGATGCAACCGAAACCAAAAGTTTGGACTGTTTGTTTGTTTGTTTATTGCGGTGGCAGAAGGAATCAGTTGTGAACATGCATGAAAGAACAAAAATCAAAAGTAACACAACTTACACTCTGATCGAGAAATGCATAGATTTGCCTTATTAGAGAAGCACGGGGTGATTCATCGTGGGAAGGGGTCTCAATGATGCCACAGTCTGCAGGAGGCAATATACGGCTGATGTCTTTGCTCCAAAGACCCAATATTCGATTCCTGCAACGCACCAATGCAGTCAAGCAAAGAGAAAAAGGGCACAGTCCATAGTCCATTATGGTAACCATGAACCATCTCAAGAACATATTCTTTGGGGAGAACAAGAAACTAGGAGGGTGACTAATTCTAGTTTCTGAAACAGGAAGACTGCAACGAGCCAAAATAGTAAGATATAATAACAACAACATTGCTGCTCTTAAAAGCTATGCTATAAAAAATGCAAACCGAAACGAGATTAACATGATATCTATTTCATGGACTAGGAGGCTAGCAACTAGCCAGTCTATAATCACAATATGCTTTCTTAACAGAAGCCAACTTCCACTGGATATGTTCACGGTCCATAAAATAACATACGGTCCTTCAAACATGCTATTGTATAGAGCAAGAAATAGCAACAACTGAAAGATGGAGGACACACTGTTAGCTACTTGGATATCCCTGTATATTCCATGACATAAACAGGCATAAGGCACCGAGATTTCAAGATCTTTTGCTCTGGCTGGAATAATATTTACTATTTGATTCATAAGAGGTGGAGAGTAGCTATTAGATGTGGATACAAAAACAACAATATAAAGCATACATAGTCATATTCAATGCCAATGTAAAAATAACCATTGACGTTCTGCCATCTTGCCAACACTGACAAATAACAAAAGAAAGCAGCTCTACTAAACTGTAAACAGAAAAAAAAGGAAAAAGTAAAAAGAAATTACTGGAAATCTACTGCATGCAACACACAGCCAGATGTCAAAAAAATAACTAACCTGCACTCCAAATATTCTTGAAGCCCACCTTTGCGCTTTAAGACGTCCTTAAACTTTATCTTTTCAACTGGACCTGCTGCACGGGCTTTCAATCCAGCTGAAACTGCTGCGATCCCACCATTTTCAGCCTCAGCACTGTTTGAAGAAGAATCAGACTTCTCTCTAGTTCTAAGAGATCGATCACTTTCAACAACCTGGTCATTTTCCAGAAATTGTTGCTCATTTATCAAAATCTCCCAATCAACATCCCCTTCATAAGCCATGTCACCAAGTCTACGCTTTTTGGCCTTCCGCACAGCACGCTGAACAGCTGCTAAGTGACCATCTTTGATGTCAGAATCTGGCACCGATACTGCATCTTCTGGATAACTTTCATTTTCTTCTGGAGTTACAGATCGAGGAGATGGCCCATTGGCCTCTTCGTTGATGGAAAGATAATCTGAGTTCCCATTGTGGTTCATGTGCAAAGCAAATGTAGATTTATGAACTTCCCCAGATGTTACGGTGATAGGAGATAACCTACCATCAGATACTTCGACATTTCCCTTTTTAGGAACTGAAGCAAGACCCTGCAGATCATTTTGACTATTAGGGCTAGAGGTAGCTGAAATTTCTCTTCCACCTGAAGATAACGAAATTTGAGGTTCCGCATTTGCAAAGCATGCAGCTGAAACATCCTTAGATTGTTGTTCTAATGCATCCAAGGTGCTTACTTTACCCACAGAACAAAGCTTTAACCCATTCTTTAAAGTTTGAGTTTCCAAGCCATCATTATTGCCTGAAGCAGAATGACTTTCATTCCAAATTCTATCTGAACTGCAAGGTTCCACCATAGGTTCCTCTTTAACACTTGCGATGAAAAGGTCCTGCGTTTCTTCATCTTCAATCACCCCATGTTGAGACCCCAATGCTGGAGATACAGGTGCAGCAACCTCTGCAGTAGCTTCTGAAGATTTACCATGTCTCTTGTCATTGGACTTCATACTTTCATTTTTTATCGCAGGGAGCTCTTTAATTCTATCAGATTTTTCTTCTATGCAATAGGAAGTTTCGCCAAACCCATTATCAAGCCTCTGGTTTTTTTCACTCAAAATTTGTCTAGAGGTAGAATCTAACAAAGTCAAATTGGCAGCTATATGGGAACTGTCCCCAGCTTCTAGATCTTTGCAGACAAAACTTGAGACAGAACCAGATCCAATTGTCCTTAAAGCCACATCCTTGGGATCCCCAGAACAAACTCCAGATCCAGGGCTTAATCTGTCCTCCAAACACTGAACCCTATTAATTTGTTTTGAACTCAAATTTGCACGAGACTTCCTCGCCGAACCAGATTGCTTCTTCTGAAAAAAAGCTGATATCGAGTCTTCCAACTTCTCATCCAAAGAATGACTTGAACTCTCACCAGGCAACAAACTTTCCTCTTCTTGATTCCCTAACAAAGCACCCTGAGATCCCAAACCATCCAAATCATCATCAACCACAGCATCACCCCCAGTTCTCGCACTCTTCCCATCAACCATCACTTTCTTTGCCCTCTCCTTACGCTTGTTTTGTACTTTCTTCTCCACATTCACATCCAATAACCCATCACCTTCATTGTGACTAGCACTTACAGATCCCCAATCCTTCTTAGGACCTTTCAACTTCTTCTTAAAACTTGCAAGCGTATCATCCATTCCTCCCAAATCCTCCTCCTCAACCACCAATTTATCTTCCCTAACTTCAACCTTCTCCAAAACCACCTTAACCTTTTTAGGGTTTCTAGGTCTCTTCAACTTGAACAAAGAACCAATAGGTTCATTATCATCCGAATCAACACCAACCTCAATTTGCTTCCCCAACAATTTTTTCTCCTCCTTCTCCATTTCTTTGTTAACCCTAGGCTTCAACAAATTCTGAGACAAACCCTTCTGTAACCCTAACTTAACTTCCAAATCCTTACAACTCGACATATCATCACTCTCCATTTCTCTATTATCAAAAACCTAAAGCTCATATTTCTCTCAATTAAGAAACTAATACCATCATTAACCAGCCAAAACAAAATAACAATCCGAGCACAACCTATCAAAACCTAAATATCCAAAAAAAAGAGGAAAATTAGAAACAGAATCCCTTTCTAATGCAAACAATTATCAATAGCTTTGCCTTAGTTTAAGCAGAGAATTTAACGATATTAACAGAAACGGAAAAAAAAAAAAAAACAAAGGATTTTGAAGCGAGTGAATAAACAGTGCTGCGTGTGGAGAGTGGAAAAATAATAAAGAGATGGGGAGAGAGAGGGGGAGGGGGATCAGACCTGAGTGAGGAATGGAGCTTTGACAGGGAGAGGAGGTAGCGGCAATGGATTTGTCGAGGGAGAGTGAGAGGCGTCTGTTAGAGTCTTAAATTTTTATTTTATTTTTTTCTCTTCTTTCTGGAATCAGAAGGCTTAATATACTGTGCCGCGATATTAAAGTTAGCGAAGGCAAATAAAAATAAGGAAGGCCAAGACGATGGGTTTTTTGCTTTATTTATTTATTCATTCTCTTTTTTGCGGGGCCAACCCGATTGGTGTGGTACGGAGACTTGACCTTGGAAATAACTTGTTTTTGACTTGCTAATATGTCTTTTCGGCGAATATGGTCCTAATATTATTTCTTTTTTTAGTATTTTTTTTCTATTTGCCCTTATATTTGAGGATTCCACATCGTTTTATTTTTATTTATAAATAAACGTTTCTACGTTTATAAACAAACGAATTTGGGCATGCCGATTGGTTAGCTTTACATCGTTGTTATTTTAATAGGAATTGCTTAGATGAAGTTTCTTTTGATTGCTTGAAAATTCGAGAAAATCATTTGGAAGAAATGAAAGATGAGTAATCGTTCTTAGAATGTGCTTGTTGTAATTTATCTCTAGAGTTTTCTATTCTCTGTTAAATTAATTTAAAAAAATACCATTTTTATACTAGAAAAATAAAATGGATTTTATCCAGATTTGGTCTATGTATTTTTTTTAATATTTTTATTAAAGCGCTATATTATATTTTTATTTTTTTTATATTAATTGAGTTATTTTAATTTTTCATTTTGTGTTGAATAGGTATCTTCACTTGCTAAGTGATATTTTTTTTTTTTAGTATAAAGTTGAATTCTTGATGATCCATAATCTAATAACTTATTTATTTTTATATTTTTTACATTTGAAAGAAAATTAAATGATTTAGAGAAAGTAAATTAACTAAAACAAAAAATAACTTAAACCGACTTAATAATTAAAGTAAATTTATTTTTATGTATTTATTTTTTGTAATGTATGAATTATCTTTATATTCAGAAAGATGAAAATAGCAAAATAATGCGGACAGAAATCGAAATCATAATATATTAATACATAACAAATGATGCATCGTTAGTTAATGGAGCAATTAACATAAGTTTAGCATAAAATACTTAAAATGTAGTTTTGAAATAAAACAACATATTCAGATAAAAATAAAATAAAATTTATATACTCGATAGAAAAAATAGTAAAATTAATATATTTATAATGTAATTGTTTCATTTTAGTTATGATAAAAAAAATATATATATACAATTAATCGGAAAGAAGAAGCAAGGGAATCCATGCTTTGCTTGAGCATTTGTTTACGACGAGCCATGAAGCCAAACATGTCTCCAAGAACATTCTAAATACAACTAAAACCCCAATGCATGCAAATACAAGCATATAGAATTATGAACAGATGGTCAAGCGTTCAACAATTGAAAATTAATGATCCAAATAATCATTCAATTTATAAAGAAATTAATATGATTATGAGAAGTTCAAAACACGCACATGCACACGTATTACTTGCTACAGTTAGTCCCAAACTTCATAATTTTTTCAATCGAGTATGGCCAACTGATCATAATTCTTCTATAATAATAATAATAATAATAATAAAAAAAAAAACTAACTAAAACATTACACCACACATATACACTCACATCAGATCTGACGATAAGAATAAATAATATTATTTTATGCATCAAGTGAAAATAATTTTTTCTTTTAAACGATCTCAATTGAACTTTCTTCACACTAGTTTGAAAAAATTAAATAAATTTTTTTGAATATTCATCTCAAAGTTTGAACTTAAATATTTGAAAAATAAACATTCCTCATCACAAGCCCAATCCATTGAGATTTCGTGGCCATATTTATTGATCTATGTAACAAATAAGATGTGAAATCTTATTGAGAACATTAAGTCTATAATGATTTCGTTGCCATAGTTACTGTTCTATGTAACAAATAAGATTCGAAATCTTATGGAGAATATTAAATCCATGGGCCACATGCCCGATTGTAAACACTGGATTTAGATTTAATATACCAACTTAAGCAATACCATTCAGGTATCCATTAGTTCATAACCACTTCAACTCCTTTTCAGTCAAAATGGCCACAATCAAGACCAAATGAACAACCGGTCCAACACGTCCAAGTGCATTATTGGCCCTTCTTGTTCGGCCGACATGTCTTCTCTTACAACAATGACCAGTTATTTCTATCGAGTTCCTCGTCAATGGTTAATAGTTGGAAAACTGATTCGAGATCAATAGCATCGGTCTTCGATGTCTTGGACGATATGTCTTGCCTCACATGGATACCTGTCTTGAACTATAGACAACCTAACTGGGATGGTTTGCTTTTAGTGGTATTTGGCAAAGAATATCTCAGAGCAGTAAAAGATGCATTTGATGTCTTTTAGGGCTTGGACTTTGGACCAAGGCATCAAAGCTTGGTTTTTTCTTCACGACAGAATATAATTAGCGTGAAAATTCAACAGAATATATGCAGAGCGATAGATCTGGAGGAAAAAAATTAAAAAAAATCTAAATCGTCACTAACATTAATAATATATATATATATATACACACACACACACAAGCATTTTAAAGTTTTTTTTTTGTTTTATTTTCTTTTTAATTTATAAAATTCAGATATAACATAAAATGAGATTTGAATTAAATATCTTAATTTCACTAGCATCAGATTCAATATCATTATAGTTGGATGTTAATCAAATTATTCCTATAAAAGCCGTTAAGTTTTGAACAAAACTGAAATACAAACAATATGGCTGTTCTTACATGGGCCAGGTCTTATCTCGATGCTCGCTTAGGCCCATTTGGTACTGACCAGTCATGGATGAGCTAGTTTATAATTCGAACCGAAAAATGATTTTTTTTTTTTTTTTTTTTTAATCTTTTGTTAGAGGAAAAAGGAAGGAAATTTTTCTATCAGGCCCCCCGAAAATCAATATCTCCGTTCGGGAGAGAAGGGAGTATATTTAATTATTCATTTTAACCTTACAATATATATATTCACCAGAAAACAAGATAAAAATGTAATTGCATCAACTTTCTTGAGATTCATTGTTGCAAATTCCCCCACATCCAAACACCAAAAAAGGTGTCGTTTTATGTCCATTAATTTTTCTTTCCCCTCGTTTTCAATCCTTATGCTTTCTTTCTGCTTTTACTTGGTTCCAAAATAAAACTCAAGTATTGATTGTTGGATTTTTATACTTTTTAAAGAGGGCAAATGTAAGGATGAGTATTTGATTTTTCGATTCGATTTTTTGTTATTTCAGTTTGGTTTTTTTATTAACCTAACACATATATATGTGTGTGTGCACACGTAAAAAATCTATTAAGAATATTTTCAGTAAAAAAACATAGATCAAAAATATTTTTTTCTATTAAAAAAATTCAAAGTTGTTATAACTTTGAAGTATAAAATTTTAAATTTAATATATATACACGTACGTAAAAAATCTATTAAGAATATTTTCAGTAAAAAAAATAGATCAAAAATACTTTTTTCTATTAAAAAAATCCACAGTTGTTATAACTTTGAAGTATAAAATTTTAAATTTAGTATGTACCTACAATTTTAAACCTGACCACTATAGAAAGATAAATAAATTAGAATGATATTAAATTATAAAACGTCTTTGTACGTATATTATTGAAAAGAGGTATATGTAAAAAAAGAGGTAACTGAGTTGGATAACAAGATGAATGCAACAAGTCGAACCTAACCCCACCATTTATCCTGCTCTAGTTCAAGTGGATTGGATCTGATCCTGGTCAAATGGATCAAAATCCAATCCAATTGAGGGAATAATTTCAACATACAGGTACAAATTACCATCCTTATATATATATTGATTGAACACAAGAACACTATTTGTGTCAAAATCATGGGAGATTCACAATTAGAATTTTAGAAGTGTCATTCCAACACGTGAGAGCAGTGAATGAGTCTCTTTGATCTACTTTTTATCTCTTATGGACCAATTATTCACAGCGCACTATAAATAATATTGGATTTTACATATATTAAAATCTTGTATAATTTGATTTTTTTTATTGAGACCTTAAATTTTATTTTTTCTATCTAATTTAAGGGTTATACTTTTATTATGTTGTTATTTCAAATCCTAACCAATAATAGCTTGCAACTTAAGCACGCATCGCAAGCTCTAACCAAGTAATGACTTACTACGTCATCAATTCAATCACCCAATTTGAGTCAACTATGACACATGAAAAGCTGTCATTGGCTATAATTTACCATGTGTGCTTACGTGATACATTAAGATATGAAACAATAACAAAATAGGAGTAGAACTCGTAAATTAAATATTAAAAAAAACTAGGATCTCAATCAAAAAATTCGAATTATACGAAGTCTCAATATGTGCAAAACCAAAATAATATTGATTAAGATCTAAGTAATATATATATATATATATATTACAATACTTGAAAAAACAAAAAATTAAAATAATCAATTTATTATTACCTTATCATTACTGTTTTTAAGAGAGAAATCAAATATGAGAACTCTTAAAAACAGCGGAGACACGATAGCAATTGAGCTATTATGCTAACACGAACACTAAAAATCACTCGCTTTCCCAAGTAGAATTCCTCACCCACTTGGCTTTATCCCAGCTAAGATAAAACCCATTTTCCCTCGCTGCCCAATACACTGTTTCACGATTCTCGTCTCTAGGTAGTTCAAACGCATTCCACCTTGCAAATTTTAGTTTCCGTAAAGCTGCGCAGTTATATGTAGATTTTTTCTCAACTTTCCAATTGTAGACTTCACCTCCATAAAGTACATGCATACCCAGATCAATATTCTCGGCATTGCAACTAAATTGCATTGTCTGTGAGTTTGAAGGCAACGAACTGATGACTTGAACAGTTGGTAAATACTGTTCTTGATTGTCAATTGCTCTTGCACTCAAAAAACAGAGTGCAATATTAAAGAAGAGAAGAAAGTGCATCCAAGTGGCCATGGCCGGTAAAGCTCTTTTAAAATTCACGAATAAGCAAGAAAGAAAAATTCTTTTGTATGTGCAAAATATATATTAGTTATTTTATGTCAAAAGAATTATATAATAATTCTAATTGTTTTATGGAATTCATTTATAGAAAAATATCAACGAAGAGTTATTAACAAAATCAAGTTATTTAATGCTTGAAATAGAGAAATTTTATAATACATAAAGAGTAAGCTAGTGCATGTATAGTAGTTGCTCCATATGTCCACTTTGAGAAGAGAGATGGACACAAAAAAAGAGCAAAATTACATCCATAACCACCAAAATGATAAGAAGATTTTCACATTCACTTAAATTTTTTTATTTTCTCTCTCATGTTTCTCTCTCTTTTTTTGTGTCTATCTCTCTTCTCAAAATAGGCTTTTGGAGTATCTATTGTATATTCCACTAGTTACTTCGATGTATTATAAAATTTCTCACTTTAAATATGCATCTTGGATTATGTAAAACATTTACGTGTGATTAGCATTACTATTGTAAAACTTCCATAGTAATTCACATTCCCCCATTCTCGTGGTACATTTTGAATTGAAATCCTCTCACGTTCTAATTAAGAAAATGTGATTGTTATGTTCATTGAATCTAAATTTTTAAATTCAAATTGAATGAAAATGATTAAATGCATGATAAAAATGAAAAAAAAACCTTTGATTTTTTATTATTTTATTTCTTTCACTTAATTTAAATCATGGAATTCAAACCTAACCATGAAGTTTGGAATATAACCGGTCATAAAAAGATCCAAATCCATACATTATTTCCTATTTAATAAGAAAAATATTTGTATTGAATCTTTCAAATATAGTTAGTAATTAAAGTATGCACTAATTAGTAAAGTAAATCAAACTCTATCTAATTGATTAATAATTTATTTATTAAGCATCCCATTCTTAAAAGATTTCAACAATTGGTTTTGGATTGAGATCTTCTCATGTTGTTTTGTGCATGATCTATCATTTTATTTTAATCAAGACCTTTCAAAAATATAGATATTGGAAATATTTTTCAAAAACACGATAGTTTAAATTTTTTACTCCCCAAATAAGGTAATTTTAGTCTATTATTTCTCATGATAGAGAATTTTATGCCATGTGGATTAATCATTTGTACATGTCATTTAAATATATGTATTTTTAAAATATTTGGCTTAGAAAACAAAATGACGAAACTGGAGAGAGAAGACAAAAGATTTTTGTGATATCTTTCTATATATGGATTCTCCTTCTTCTACTAAATTCTTTTATGGTTTTTTTCAAAATTATTTTTATTTTACATTATTAGAGAGATTGCTGCAACTTAGCAAGAATAACCATACTATAATCTTTGTAAGATTGTGAAGAAGAGTTTCTAAATTATATCATTGCCCTCAACTTGTTTTTAAAATTTTTCTAATATATATCAAATACATCATAAATTAAAATTACAAGCAAATTTTTGGTAGGAATGAAGAACTTAGTGGCAAATTCAATTTTTTTTTTTAAATCTCTCAACAAATTCTCCTACACGTAAAGATGATAATAAACCGGATATAAAGTGGGTATCCGATTTGTCTAACCTAATGAATACTAATTAAAAATATCAAATGGGTATTGAAATAAGCAAAGATAAAAAAAATACATACTTGCTAATATGGTTTTAGGATACGAGGTACCCACTCGCTTATTTTATTAATACCCACTAATTTATGTTGATTTTTTTAACACACAAGAATCTAATTAAATTAAATTTTAAAATTAAGGACCAAAATGTTTTTTTCAAAACCTTCGAGGACCAAATTTTAAAACTACAAAAACCCAAAATGAAATATTTTGAAAAAATATTTTTAACTGTTATTTAATAGATATTAAATGGGCAAGTTAACTGATATGAGTTTAGTAGATATTTATATAATGGTTTTTTAAGGGATAATGGATAGGATAAAAATTCGAATTAATGAATTGAGTAACTATCTATTGTCATCCCCACCTCCACGTGCATCAATATTTATTTCTCACAAACATGTTAATGTATTGATTGCATGTATAATTATATTGGTAAAAATAATGTCAAGAAAAATAGTATCTTTTACGATTAAAAATTATTCTTAAGCTACTATAAATATTATCATATACAAGTCAATTAGACAATACTAGATAAAAAAATAAAAAAATAAAAATAACAGTAGCCTACTTAATCATGGTAAATTTTCAATAACTATAGAAGATGACAAATCATGTAATTCTTATTATATCATATATTTTCAATTTACATTAACTGTCCTTGTTAATACACGTGTTCTAGTTAGATGTTTATATTTTTCTATTTATGCAACTTGTGTTATCGGGGGGTTTTTGGATAGCTCTAAGTACCGGAGCAGAGGTAGAGTAGGCAAAAATACGATTCGATTAAAACTTCTTGTTGTTTCGAATTTTATCTAACTATGCATTATTCTTGAATGTTTTTTTTCGCTAGTGGGCTTGCGAAAGACCTCCAATATTCATTTCCCTTTCCCTCCCCCTGGTGTGATTTATTTTATTTATTATTTTTTTATATGAATATTAAATATTAACTTTATCAATGCAATTTTGATTTAATTTCAAAGCACAGAGATGAATAGAGTAACGCATAAGACTATAAGTTAGTCCCTCTTGTTTTAAGAAACTAATTAATTATTCATTTTTATTTTAAAAATTAATTATTTAATATTTATATTTTTTCAAACTTAATTTATTTTATTCTTTATCAATACATTTTATTTTTTATTTTAAAAAATAAAAAAATATGAAAAGATTGATGAAAAAGATTAACTTTTTGTTAAAAAATAATATTAAGTTAAACGTAATGAATACTATTTAAAAAACTAAATCGTTGTCTATAAAACATTAAATAAAATTATGAATCATTAAAACAAAAGAAAGAAACGAGAGTAAGATCAGCAAAACGTTAAACTTTATAGGAGGATTTGTTACGTATATGAGCACCCAATTGACCCATTAAATGTCGGTTGAATCAATTTACTGTGGTTAATAATATATTAATCATTATCCATTTTAAAAAATAAAAAATAAAATTATGGATTATTAATGCCTCTTGCTTTTTTGCAGTTTCATTAAAAAAATTACCCAAAATGAAAAAGGAAAAATCAACCGAGAGATTAACGTTGGGCTGTTTGATACTTTGGGGAGTTTACTCGCTTTCCTTAATTGTTTTGTACGTTCAAAATGATAGCGAGTGTTGTTTTTCTACACCATCCCTAGGTTGCTGGCTTCTGTTTTTTAATTTGTAGAAAGACAAAGTGATTAGTTATCAGAAGCATCAACATTGATGCCTTATTGATTCAGTGTATTTATGTCCCAAAAATCCTAATAAAATCTTGCTTTTGTGAGATACAATTAGTAAAAAATTAATATAAACTAAAATACAATAAATTATAATCCCCAAATCCTTGTTATTTAGAATATTTTTCTTGTAAATGCTAATATATCGGTAATGCTTAGTTTTTTTTTAAAAAAAATCGGTGTTATATCATTTCGTTTCGGTGTTATTGTTTTGAGATTGATATATTACAAATTATCAAACCTTTATTGTTGTAAAAAATTACTAATCAATTTTTCTTTTCTTGGCAGGCGTTTGTTCTGGTGGGACAAAAGGAAAAACACAAAAGTTGAAGAAAAGAAGAATTTTTTTGGAAAACTTTTATAAATATATATATATTAACCGAAGCTATGATTATTGCGAAGCATAAGCAAGAAGAAAGAGAATTGATTATGGAAAAACGACAACGCAGAGGTACAATTCTTGTCAACTACTGTCTCTTTTCTTTCAAGAGTCGTCAGCTTCTGCTACCTGTCCGCTCAGCAAGTGTGAAAAAGACTAAAATCAAGTGAGGAAGCGGTCCAAATTGTGCTGCTGCTGATAGCAACAAGATACAAGTTATCCACAGACAGATTTTTTACTGATGCGCAAACAAAATTTTATGGGATTCAATGGCTTAGTTTTTTAGCAGAACAATCGAATTCAAAACGAAGTTCTGTATTTTCGATCATGACACAAACATCGATTGTTTCTTTGTTTTATAGTACCAAAAAAAAAAAAAGGTTTTAACTTTCACCTACGTGACCATTCTTTATCTGAACCATCAGGGCTTTTTGGGTTTTTCTTCTTACGGGGGCTATAATCATTTTGGAGAAAGACGGAGTTGCGCATTTTTTATCATGACACAAACGAATAGTGCATTGAGTTTTTCGATTGTTTCTTTGTTTTATAGTAAAGAAAAAGACAAAAAGAAGTGGTTTTGTTCTTTCAATTTTCACCACGGTCGACCATTATTTATCTGAACCATCAGGGCTTTATGGGTTTTTTCCTTCTCGGGCAGTAACCATTTTGGAGAAAGGTAAACCGCCTGAGTGAGCCCACTTTCCTTATCGGGCAGTAACCGTTTTGGAGAAAGGTAAACCGCCTGAGTGAGCCCACCCAAACTAAAGAATCCTAACTGGAAATTAACAATTATCCTTTAAGTTAAGATTTCCTGAAAACTGAAACCGAGTCGACTAAAAATGGCCGAATAAAGAAACCCCACCCTCCACATGCTCCATCAGCGTTTAGAAATCGATTTAATCGACCCCCCTTCTAACATTATGTTTGCAATATGGGAGATTGGAAGAAAGGAATTTGAGAGGATTGAAAATAAGGATGGAAGTTACTTTCCCCTATTTAGGAGAAAGAAAGGAAAAACGAGAGGAGATATTATTGTTCGCTATGTTTTCTGGCTCTGGAAAAAATCGATGTTTTCACTATTACGAAATGCAGCTTTATATATATATATATACGTGTGCGAAAGGCCACTTTCCCTTGAGGAAATCCCAAGGGTGTAAAGAGATTTCTTTATTTTTTGTTTCTGGTCAGAGGAGTAAAATGAGATTCTCATTTGGAGAACACTATCCTGCTTTATTGTTTTCTCCTCAGAATAATTTTATGACAACTATAATGGATCCAGAGAAACGATTTGCACATTATTTTTATCATTAATAACGCATACTAGACTAGATGATTGCTTAGATATGTTTAGACTGAACTTCAGGAAATACGAGCTGTTTTCTTTTCGGTTGGCTAAAAGATTTGGAATTGGAAAACAAAACTTTGCCAGGCTACGGATAGAACAAGTATTAGAACTTTGCACTTAATCGAAACTAGTTAGTTGCCTGCGTTACTATCCGAATTGAACAGATCAAAATTGTTTCAAAATTTTAAAGTTTTTTCATTAAATTTTTTTATTTAATTGATTTTTTTATGTTTTTCGTAAATTTTCTACCTAAAAAAAATAATTTATTCTTCTTTATGTATTGATTTTTAGATGAAAATATATGATAATTTAAATTGGAATATGAATCAAGAATTAAAAATTACGTTAAAAATATATTTTTCATAAGAATGTATTCAAAAAATAAAGTTAAAATTAATGTATAAATTTTTTTAAAAATTAATTAATAAAAAAATTAATTTTATTTAATATTGATGAGAAGATTATTTTTAAAAGCATATGTATTTGATATACACACAAAAAAAAAAAAATCTATAATGTTATCATTAAAAAAACTATATTTGAATAATTTGTTGGATCCTTTAAAAAATTATTTTAATTATTTTATTTTAAAGAAACTTGTTCCGTAGTTTTAAAAAAAATATTCATAGCGAACAATTAGTGTTATGTGTGAAAACATATAATTAATTTTTAATAAAATCAATGATTTAATAGTTTTTTATACAATTTAACTATACATAGTAGATTGAGATAAATTATATAAAATATATTTTTAACCTTATATATGTGTGTGTGCGTGTAACTATCATTTAAAATTTTTAAAAATTCATGATATATATTATATCAAATTATTTTTTAGAAAAGAAAAACAACCATGTTTTAAAATTTTATTCTAAAATTTAAATTTAGAGAAAAATTAATCATAATTATCAGTAAGTTTTATATAAAAAAATATTCATTGGATGAAATTTTTTATGAAATAAAGGAAATGGCAAAGGAAGATGATTATTACCGACGATGGTGGTGATGGTGCCTTCTTTGTTCAATTTTAGCTCGTGATGGATATCTATGTATGAGTTGTTGATGCTAGTGTACCCTTAATTGACTGACATTGCCAGCAAATAAATTCGATAAATAAATTCAGCAAGTTTCTTTGCTTTTAAGCGCAGATGTCTTCTTAAATTTTAGTATCCTAAATCTGAGTTCTTATGCTTCACGATAGGATCAGTTTGTCCAATTCTTTTAAGCTGTGTTTGTTTAAGGAAAAATAAGTTTCATAAGAAAATCAATTTATGAGGAAACTATTTTTCTGAAAATTGTTTTTCAATAACATATTTTTTGTCATTTGGTAATTATATGAAAAAACTGTTAAAAAATATATTCCAACGTTTGTTTGATACAGAAAATTAAAATACAAAAACTAATGTGATTGTTATATCAACAAGTTTTGAGAAAATTTTAAAAAAACATATTCATAATTTCATAATATAAGATACATTTAGAAAAATTAATAAATTTTCATCAATAATAACTCTAAAACTTTAATTCAAAAAATAAAATGTGCTTTTTTAACAATCAAACCAAATTATCAAAATTACTTGGGACAAAATTAAGTCAATATTCATATATAGTAAAAAAAGATTCTAAGTAATCCTAGCATTATTATTTTAGTAACTTAATTACGAATTTTTTTTAAAAGATATTGAACTGATAATTCAGTCTAAAAATTAATTTTATAAATTATTAGTTATCATTTATAGATAATTATTTATTTGATCTCAAAAGATTAATGTTAGAATAATTTGTAACTAATTATTCATTACAATTACCAACAAAATTTTACAATTGATTAAAATTATAAATTATTGATTTAATTGTAAATGAACAAGTGTTGAAAAAATAATATGTTTATTAATGAATTAATTATTTTTTATTTTTTTTACAAAAAATTATAGTCTTGTAATAATCATTTTCGATCATTTAACTATAGCTTAGGTAGTGTTTGAGACAATAGTAAAAAAAAAGAGATGAGTTATTGAAATATTTATTATAAAAATAATTTTAAGGTGTAAAAATGATTTTTAAAAATATTTAATGTATCTATAAATCAAAAAAATCAAATATTAGTAAAGATAGAGAAAAAATAATTAAATAATTGATAAGAAATAATTAAAAATTAATATGATATATTTTAAATGAAAAGAAGATAGAGAAAAAAATTGTTAAAATTTATCGAGAGAGAGTTAAATAACAAAAGAGCGAGACAACCGTGAGAAGGAAAATATTTTTCTCTTTTAAAACTGAAAAAACATTTTTTTAAAATTACTCTATCATTTTTCGTTAACCGAAAATCATTTTCTATTGACTTTTTCCATAAATATAAAATAAACACTGAAAAATAAAAAAATAAGTTTCAACAACTTATTTTTCTCCAAACAAATACAGTCTTGTATAATGAAACTTTTAGGATTCAATAATCGCATTGAATGTCATTTATAAATGTGGAAGATGAATTTATTGCCTTGACTTTCTTTGGAAACGTGCTACTGGAGCACTAAGCTCAACTCTATTGGGTAGCAGATGCAAAAGATAATATAATAGTGAGCAAAAAATTTAAGAACGTTTGGTCCTAGTTCACTCCAAAAAAAAATTTGGGTAATAAAAAATAGTTTAGGAAAAATACAATCTTAAAAAATGCTTTATCAAAATCAACATTACATTGAAAAAAAAACTACTGGTAGAAAATTTCTTACTACGAAACCTGAAAATTCTTCCCTCTCTCCTTCCCTCCCTCGTCTACGTCAGCGACCTAGAGAGCTGATCTCCAGTATAATGTATTTTTTACATTACAAACCCAAAAGTTTAAATGAAAGAACGACCAGCTCTGTTGCTTTCTATTATGAAGAACTCAAGACTTTTGACTTCAGTCTTCGGTTCTGCAAAATTGATGGAACCTCATCACTGGCAACTTTGGCATTCTAACTGGCACCAACGTTAGCATCAAAACAACGACCACCACATCTAAGCCACTCTTATAAAACAAACAACTGATTGCAAAGTAAATTCTTAAAAACAACAACAATGTGCAACTCACCTGCAAGCCTTTCTAAAGCCAAGAATAATTGCTCTAGGTCTTTCAGGCTATCAACATCCAAAGTTGGTTCCACATTCACAGTTAAGTGCAATGACTTAAAGAAACTATTTGTTGTGAAAGCATGCAACTTATAGTGAAAGTTTCACACTTTGATTCATTGTTAAGCACAACATCAATCCTATTAATCCTTGCAACAAAAAGAGTGCAGATCTCATTGTCCAAATAAAAACCAACCAGATTCAAACCTATAAAAACTTACCCATTTGTTTGATAAAAGAAAGAAGCAATCGACATACAACAGTAAAAAATGGAGTCCACTTTAGGATGATTGAAAAAATAAGAGAAGAACATAATCATCGTAAATCATTGCTGAGGGATTGATTGTATAAATGATTACTATAATCGATCTATAAACAGGTTTCTTCAGCCACCATCGGAAGAACAAACTTATGCTTAAAAGATAAATCTGCTTCTTTTCACCAGGATTCAACCTTTTTATAAACAATCTTACTAACCAAATAAACATGCATCATCCCAAATTTATAATGACACCTAGATATTATGCAATCAACCTCAGCAGATGTAAATTAAAATATTTTTTTCTTTTTCATGAGATGCAAGGCATTCCAATTCTAGTACATTAGTTGGCATGCACAACCTAACCACACTGTAGAATATAACAATAACCAGAACCATTTATCAGGTGCATAATCACATAAATCCAGTGTAAATATATCCATTGAAGTAATAAATGCTACCGATAAATCATATACTGATGCACGTTTCAATGAACTCCTTTTGTTCTTTTATTAACCAAAAAATTAAAAAGGGAGAGGGGATACCCCTAAATTTTAACCCTTTTTTCCCAAAAATCAGGTAAAACAAAACCAAGAACAAGGAAATCAAACATCCCGCTGCTTGCTGCCACCTCCACGTCATCCTCTCAATCGAGCACGCTGCCCCCCTCGTCGTCCTCTCTAACAAACCTAGCCAAGCCAACACCCCCTCTTACTGTCTTTTCTGACAAACCCAAAGGCCACCAGACCCACCTGAACCCAGCCACGCCGTCCCTTACCTGCACAGACCCTTCAGTTGCCCCCATCGCCACCCTCTTTCACAAACCCAATTGAGTGCGCTGCCTCCCTCGCCTTCTTCTCTCATAAACATAGCCGAGTCAACACCCCCCCTCCCCCGCCCCAATCGCCTTCTCTTATGAATCTAGCAGCCACCAAACCTATTGGCTTTGCTTGGTTTCTAAGAGAAGAAGGCGAATGGGGCGACCGAAGGGTCTGTGAATGAAAGGGATGGCTTATGAGGACCAAAAGTCTAAAGGAAGAAAATCAAGGGACCAATGACAGCATTCACAGGGACAAAAACTGCATGCGTGTGAAATATTTAAGTCACTTCCAAAACAGAAATTGAACATCTAACGGCCAAGAGTGTGACAGCAAGAAGAACAAAAAGATTGAACGGTGCAAAGATTAACAATGGATCAGTACAGTGCAATTGAGTGTTGATCCACAGTGCGATTGAGTGAGGGTGAACAGCTTCACCCCCATGTCTTTTAAATCTTTTGTAATATTGCGGTTGAAAAAATGCAGTAATAATAATAGTAAGCTGCCTGCGGCGACTTTTAACAATCTCATTTACTATCTCTCATTTTCCTTCCATTTTTAAAGTTCACAAAATAGCAATACGCGTAGAATGCCAGGGATTAGGTGATCTGTTTTTCCACTCCAAGGCAAGAAATCTACCAAACTAGTAATACACGTAGAATACCAAAATAGCAATACGCGTTTTTCCAATCTCATTTTTAAACCTTACTATCTCTCATTTTCCTTCTATTTTTAAAGTTCACAAAATAGCAATACGCGTAGAATGCCAGGGATTAGATGATCTGTTTTTCCACTCCAAGGCAAGAAATCTACCAAACTAGCACTAAATTGTGGCAGAGAAGTAAGGTTTTTTTTCTTTCTTGTAATTCTTCTAATTGGTATCACTTTCGTTGTTCTCTAAGGCATAAATGAAACTTTAAGATGTTTGGTGCTATCTTAAATATTTAATTATTTAATTTTAATTAAAATAGAAAGTGAGATGAAAAGATTTGAATTCATAATGATTTAATTATCAAGCACATGATATTAGATTAAAAAAAACTATCTTAACTCAAAAACTTATACAGGTAGATGAAGCCTAAAAAATGTTTTTTATATTATTCTAATAAAAACAAGCGATCATCAAATGAGAATAACCACATTAATCTGCCAAATTAACATACCCATAGCAGCCAAACTGGTTTGATGTTTTTAATTACGATACTTTCTGCATACATTGTTCCGATAATATTTAACAGCTCTACTTATGTTAATAACTAGTACATGTAACCATTCTATGTGATACAGAATGTGCCTATCGAATATTATTCTATCCTTCAATTAGGAAGTGACTAGCTTAGTCTGGCTTAGGCCAATGAGAAGATTGAGAAACTTATCTGTTTAATTTCAGTTTTCAATCACTTTCGCTATGATTAAGATGTACACATTCTCGTTTCTTTTTTACTAGTTTAAGAAATCTATCATATGTAGCCTTGCCTCTTGTTTTAGTCAGGATGCAAGATTCAGGAATCCATTTTGTCGTATACGAGGATTAGAAGCGTCTAAAAGTACTGCATTCTATTTTCCAATAGCTTTCTCATTTTTGCATGGCCTTGCATTTTTAATTTTGAACCTATGTTTGTTGAGTACCATTTGTTTATATATATATATATAGGCTTATTTTTGGATTAGTTCTCTACCACTTTTTGAGTTTATTCAGGACAAATTATGCGTAATATTTTTTTTATCAATTCTAAAAATTAAATAGTTTCACGTAAAAGAATGAGAGGAGTTTTTCAAAAATAAAAATGGAATCCCTCAACATGCCATTTGTTTATTTTTATGTCTTAGTATTTGAGAGCTACATTGTACCACACAATTAATATGATAGCCCTTCATTACAAACCCTCAACAAAATGTAATTTTTTATCATATCTAAAATTAATTTTTTCAAAAATCTATTAACGGTCTATATCTAGTACTACATTAGAGAACGAGAGCATAGAATAATTTAGTCCCTGTTGAAACTCCAAAACAGAGAGTAGAGAAACCTTATCGTTTGTTTGTTTTTAAGTTCCAAAAACCTAAAAAAGCAAAGTTGCAATACTCGTCTTAAATAGCAGCTATCCTACCCTAAAAGTGTGTTTTGGGCAGATACAAATACTAAAAAGGAAACAAATACTAAAACTAAAACTAAGGTACTAAAAATAAATGCTAAATTTAAAATGTCATTCTGCTCCTTGTATTATCAGTCTAATGCTCTTCACCATAGCCTGTCATTACAAACCCTTAACTACATGTTTCTCCATTTGCAATCTAACTTTATTCTCTTCACTAACGAAATCATAGGCACTTTGATCAATTTATGCTCCATGAGGGTTAATTATTAACATGTAAAAAATAATTAATCACAACCCTGATGCCTGATATAATTTCGAATTAGCAGAGCCAGAGAAGCATCTTTAATCGTCCATACATGGCTATTCGCACAAGGATACTAGCTCTAGAATTCAAAGAAGTTATGCCGCGGCAAAAGATTATGAAGGGCCATCAATTGGGTATCTCTTAAATCAACAACTACAAATTGTTGATTTTTGGATGAAAAAAAAAAAAAACCGGAGTCATTGTCTAGCAATAGTCGCAGTGTACGTGTATATATAGCCTCTCCAAATCGAGAAGCTAATCCTTAGACACCGATTTTAAAAGGAAAAGCAAACAATATGTTTATTTTTGTTTATTAATCTTTTTGCTTAATGTGATTGTCGATGTATGCTTTGTTTCTTTTAAGAGGATCAAATGTCAAAGCTGTCAAAGAATTAGGTGATTAATTAAGGGGGTCAGCCAATTTTGGCAAAGAGATAATTTAATAGCATAGAATTTAAGTGAGGTTTCTTAAGTATTTATGCAACCCCATCAAGCTACTAACGGCTTTGAATTTGATTCACATACCTACTAGATTACTGAGATTGATCAATTTGAAAAGAGAACAACCAATATGGCTTGGGTCATAGTTGAGATTGACGTGAAAAGAACGAGCTAGTTAATGGATTAGCTTGAAATGCTTGAGCTAAAATTGAAGCTAGTACACAATGGCTAGGCACTTTATCATAAAACAGAAGTACTTAGCAAAAGGCTAAAAGATTCATAAATATTTCAAATTTTCCATCAAACAGAAATAGCTATTTGACATTTAAAAATTATAATTTAACTATTATGAATTATTTTGGTAATTAATACGTTTTTCGGTCGATTTTTCGATATTGGGAGTATATGAAAATCAGGTGCAGCTGTGATGCACGTTTCGCTAATAGTTAACATCCTCCGTGTCAAGTTTTAAATTAAGTCAGTGGGATAAGTAATCTCTATGTACGGTCAATAACAAAAAAGTGGTAGAATGAATGAATATATTATTTATCAAAAAAAAAAAATTATATATAATAATCAAATTAAAAACTTATTTCAATTTGACCGAAAGTTTATGGTACTTTAATATCATTTAACCTTAGCAAAATAAAACATGGAAGAGGAAATTATAGAGTCAATTTCGTTTTCAGTAAGAGAAGTTGATGGACATAGAAAAGAAAATTATAGAGTCAATTTCGTTTTCAGGAAGAGAAGTTGATGGACATAGAAGAGGAAATTAAAGTAAATAGATTATAATGGGGTCCAAAATCCAAATCATACATGCATGCCACAAAGTTTTTATGTTTTTTTTTTTTTTGCTTTCTCTTTTAAAAGTCAAAATCATGTAAACCTATGAATAAATGCTCTCTTGTATTGAGAAAGGCTCAAAGAACCTTCAAGCAGTAGTGTTAAATTTTCCAGCCCTGTTTTACTTTTATTTTTGTCAGTAAATTGTTTCGGGAAGGCAAAGTTCAGCAACTGCAAGATGCATAAATCAGAAAAGGAGATACCTTAGTTAAAATACCTCGTCAATGCATGGAGGGAGGGGCATGTGCTCTTTACAGTTTGTCATTACAAGCTAGCAAGGCGCGGAAAGAGATTGAAAAAGACTTCGACAAATACACATGCATATATAACCATATCTTGATTTCTTCGTGAAAAAGTTTTGGTCCCGAAAGGCAAATGCAAGGACAAAAGCATTTGTGAGCCAGTTCAATTTTTGCCAAAAATAACTCCTAGCAGACAACCTTATAATTTATGCTATAAAAACCCTCACAACCAGACCACATTACAAGAACTCATCATCGTAAAAAACAACAGAGAAAAAAGAAAAATACATATACCATCTATCAATGCCTCGTTATGCTTCCATTCGTTTCTTTCTCTTCTTGCAGCTGTTCATGGCTGTCCAACCATGTCACCGGGTAGTGACCTACGCTGCTGGTGGTGGCGGGTGGCAACTCTTGCAAAACAACATTGGCATAGCAGCTTTGCATATGCAACTACTCAACAATGACCGTGTAGTAATCTATGATCGAACTGACTTTGGCTTATCAAATATTTCATTACCAGATGGAAAATGTCGGAATGATTCAAGCGAATTAGTTGTCAAACATGACTGCACTGCTCATTCTGTTGAGTATGATGTTTTGGCTAAAAAAATCAGGCCACTTATGGTCCAAACGAATGTTTGGTGTTCTTCAGGTGCTGTATTCCCTGATGGGAGACTGATTCAAACCGGTGGTTTCAGAGATGGTGATCGTAAGGTCAGGACTTTCTTCCCATGCAACGATGCTAAATGTGATTGGGTGGAAACTGGTGATGCTCTTGAGGAAAAAAGATGGTATTCCACTAATCATATACTGCCAGATGGTAGGCAAATCATTATTGGTGGCAGAGGGCAATTCAATTATGAATTTTATCCAAAAACTTCTGCCCCAAATGTCTACAATTTGCGATTTCTAGTGGAAACTAATGATCGTGGCATTGAAAACAACTTATATCCGTTTGTTTTTCTCAATTATGATGGCAATTTATTTATTTTCGCCAATAATCGAGCCGTATTGTTCAATTACAAGGAGGATAAGGTGTTGAAGACTTATCCAGCAATACCTGGAGGTGATCCAAGATGC